TCTCGTTAGATTTAAAATGCCAGGATTATTTGATAACGGCTTTAAATCGTACAAAGTAGTTATAAAATAATATATATATCAGATTTGTTAAAGTTATTAACCATATTAACCATATTATTGAAACAACATTTTCAAGATAAATGGGTTATAATTATGCTAAATAAAAATTTAAGATAGAATATATTTAATTAATAAAATCTTCATAAACAGCTTTACGAATTTATTAAGAGGCTTAAAATATTGAAAATTAATCGCTTTCTTAAGTTTAAAGCCGGTATAATAATTTAAAAAGGTTATATATAAGGTTTCTAATATAAGATAATACCTTTATTTACTTTTTACGAAAGGTTAATTCAGAGGTTTTACCGCATACTATTTTATACTGCTTATTCAATTAAAAGATAATAATAATTTTAATAATAATTTTCTGGTGTAAAAAAATCTTTTTTAATAAAATCTAGCCTTCTTAATACTAGTTAAATTAAGCAGGACTTTAAATAAAGTGGTGTAAATAAAATAGCTATAAGTAATTTATACGTAAATTAAATAGATCAAAAGTGGTTTAAGCGCTTTAAAAACGGTCAATTAACAACTATTACCTTATATCTTTAACGTTACGTTAATTAAACGCGTTATACTTATTGTAAAGAGATATTTAAGATCTTAATACGTAGTCCGTACTTATAGTTATAGATTATAATAATAGTGTATTATAAGTTAAAAAGCAATATATTATATAAAGATAAGAAAAGAAAAAAAGCTTTTTTCCTGTTATCTACGTAAAATAACATTTAAATCGTTAAACTAAGCTAAAAGATAGTGTGTTTTAACACTTAACGTAGATGACAAGCGAGAGGCAATTACAAGCGAATGGCAACTTTTCACCAGCCACCTAACCTTTCAATCATGGCTCCTAATTGATCAACCAACAATAATGGCATTGCGTTATAACGAATCAGACTTACAGCTTCCTGTCCAAGCTAAGCGACGCAACCCTCATATTACCATTGGCAAGCTTTCGAAGACTTTTCATGTCCCATATAATACCTTGAAGGCTAGAATCACCGGCCGACCATTACAACGCAATAACATGCCCAATACTTTGAAACTTACGGTTTCTAAAAAGAATGTCATTTTTTTCTTTCATTTTTAATGTAGATGCGCGAGTATTTCCGTCCTCGTATAGTTATATTAAAGATATGGCAAAGTAATTATTGACGGCACACAAGGCTGGACGCGTTAAAAAGAACTAAATGCAAAACTTTATTAAACGTAAACTAGGCCTCCAGACGGGTTTTTGTTAGAAGATAAACTACTAAAAGGTTTTTAATAAAGATCCAGACGCGTATCGCGCGTAGTTTTGCTAAGTTGCGGCAGCAATCGTAAAACGTGGTATCTAAGACGCGGATATTTATAATTTTAACGAGACTGGGTTTATGATGGGTATTATTGGGTCCGGCATGGTCATTATAAGTGCCATAAGACGTGGTAGGCCTAGACAAGCTCAGCAAGGCAACAAGGAATGGTCTACAGCAATTTCTGCTGTCAATGCTGATGGTTGGGTGGTCCCGCCGCTCATCATTTTACAGGGCAAAACCCACCTTGCGTCATGGTATTGCGACACGATATTACCACGCAATTGGAAGGTGGCCGTGTCCGATAACGGGTGGACTACGAACGAGATTGGGTTGGAATGGATTTGGCATTTCGACAAGTATACAGACCGCGTATGACTGCCGGTAAACGCCTCCTCATCCTAGATAGTCACGAAAGCCACCATTCTCAGATCTTTGAGGATTATTGCCAGAACAACAGTATTATTACCCTTTGTATACCTACCCACTCGTCACACATACTCCAGCCTTTAGATGTCAGTTGTTTTAGCCCGCTCAAACGAGCGTACGGTCGCATGATTAAGGATCTCATCTGGCGTTATATAACCCACGTTTCAAAGGAGGACTTCCTTGCAGCATTTTGTGAAGCACACAACGCTGCTATGACGCCAGGAAATATTCGAGCAGATTTCAGTGCCACTGGGCTTGTTTCTTTCGACCCAGAAAGTGTCATTTTGAAGCTGGATGCTGTCGCTGTTATACGAACACCGTCGTCAGACCCCAATCTGCCACCCACTACTTGGACTTTAAAGACACCTACAACCATCAACGAAGCGGTAAACCAGTCGGTTTATATCCGAAATCGAGTCAGAAACCACCAGAGAAGCTCATCTACATCAATAGTTGATGCATTGAGCTCATTTTAAAAGGCTATATACGGTCTTATGCACAAGGTTGCTTTGGTTGATTCTAAGGTCCGCGAGCTAGAGGAGGCCAATCACCTACTAAGTAAACGCCAGAGGACAAAAAACAAACGTCTAGTGAAAAAAGGAGTACTTTCTGTTGAAAATGCAGTAGGTCTCCAGGCTATAAAGGATAAGGGAAGCCGGAACGTGTTGACGAAGGGGAACCGGAACATGTGATACATTTGTTGAGCAGATATTCTTAACCCAGCGTGTAGAGTCATAGCGAGTGAAGCCTTTAGAATCGTGTACCAATATAGACGTTCAGCCGCGTGCACCTTCATGCTGCGATAGTAATGTGGTCCTCCCATTGCTGTGCTGTCGTGACCTTGTGTTCTGACATGCCCTCCACGAAGTTGCATTGACATGGCTATGGTCGATTTTCGAAACATCTGTTGCATTAGGTGGCGACCTCACCATAGCACGAGCGAACTTACTCTTCTGCCACTTTCTTTTCACATATATCTTGCCTGATTGCCATCCACTCTAGACATGGAATGGAACCAGGAATGGTCTGGCCGAATAACGAATTGCGCTCGAACAGGGCCGTCTCTCTACGCCGAGGAGGGTTCATACGAAGTCAACAATGCACAAGACACAAGGATTCGGCTGGTACGGCTATCCACTGAGGCTATCTTTCCAATACAAGGTCCAACTGTGACGGCTAAACCGCGACGGCTCAACTGCGACGGCTCAACCGTGACGGCTCAACTATCACGACTCAACTATCACGACTCGTATCCCCAATTTCCACCCTTTTTCTCTGGCTTCGCCTCTATCCGCGGCTTGATCCAGAGTATCGCCACTCCTATGGCGTCGGTGTAGTTGACCTCCAGCTTCTCGAAGAATAGTTTTTCGAAGCGATCCAAGTTCTTCTCAGTTGTGAATTGGGTTTCATCGTTTATGGCTTCGTCTAGCCAGTTGTACATCGGTTCTGCCGCCGCGTTGAACTGTCCGGTCAGCTCGTGGCCACCTCGGGTAAAAAGGAGCGCTATCTCTCGGGACTGGTCGCCCAGCGCGATGGAGACACAGACACGGTGCAGAATCAAGAAGACAGCAGGAACGTACGGGCTCGATGCGCACCCCTTCGGCAGCCGAAGGGTGTGTTCATGGGAAGTGGGATAGTCATTAACTATAGGATAATCATTCAGGACTAAGAATAGAAGATGGCGAATTCAATTAAACCTGCTTATTCTATGATGCTTATTCCACTAATGAATGTAGTGATGGGATCTGAATTTTGCGATTTGATAAAGCACGCTTGGATGGATTCTTGATCATGTCTGAGGACATTATCGTAAGTTTAAAACACCTCGCCGGTAGTGGCTGTGATCCTGTCCATGTCAGTGGCCTTGCTCTTGTACCAAGGAAGTCAGTAAACCAGGTCGCTTGAGCCACCCTCGGGGGAACTTCCTAGATCGCGGCGGTCGATTCCTGGGTGCGTTCTATTCTGTTCGACTTGGCGTACAGCACGGGGGCTCTGCTTTTTGTAGTATTTTAGGGTATTTGGGTTTGGCTCTTCCCTTGCGGTCGAAGAGCTTAATGTATAAAAAATCTATTCCCGGGTACGTTGTTGCGGCGCTGTCGCTGGTCACAGAAAGGTTGGGCTATGCCTCGGTCATTGAGGACTTAGACTCGTGCCTCGCTTGAAAGGACTATCGGAGCCGACTCTCTGCTAGCGACGTCCTCCGGCTCGCCTTGCCACGCGCTGCGAATGCTGACGATGATAATCTTGACACGCGCCGCAATCTTTTCAGTGTGCCACCTGCCGCACATAAAGGTACTGCGTGACTGGATGAGATGCTTATAAGAGGGAGTACTTATCTGCTCTGGCGCCTTGGATACATTGAGCCATTATAAATCTCCGCACAGTCACACCACAAGTCCAGCAAACAACGGTATATCAATCGTAATTAGGAGAAGTATACTGACATAAGCGTCGAATGTAGTGTATAACATCAGAGCTGCTTATTCTTACATCCTTGTTCCAGTATTTTGACTCTGTGCCGTAATCTAGAATCTTATGAACATACGGGTACAGAGACTTATGTAGGCTGAAGGTAACGAGCTTTCAACTAGACAATCTCTCGTCGACCTCTTTTTCTTACGAAGCTCATCTCAACGGTATTGACCAGGCATTTATTAAGTTAAGGAGGATGACAATTTATAAGTGACGATAGTGCTCCGCCTCCTGAGATTCCATAACACAGGAGCGAACCCGAAACTCAAAAGGTACAATAGCGTCCACCGCGCCGAAGGCGGGAGTTGGGACCAGCGTAGAACACAGACCATTTCCTCCTGACATAAGGGGGCTATCGTCACAGAGCAGCCGTGAGCATCATCCGCACGCTCAAAACCTTGTCAAGAATGTAGGTGCAGCGAACACCAAAACGGCACAGTCTGTCAACTAACGGAAGTTTGGTATTGCTGAAGACAGTAACAAAGTATGCCTGCCTTGATATCATGTGTCTGCGACTGTCTCGCCTGAGAGCCTTCGCCTTCGCCTTGAACGGACCCAGCTTCTCACAAATGCTTTTCCTTTTACCCGTGCCTCACGGCGATTATATAACAAAAGCAAAACAGGCCATCAGTGGTAATATGGTACAATGAAGTCATGCAAGAAACCGCAACACGCCAGCGCAGTATGTCCATCGAGGACCGAATCGCTCCCTGCCACCACACTTGCCACACTGTTAGTGCGTACCGTTTTGTCCGTTCGCAGCCTCCAGAGCCTTGAGCTGGGTTTTCTTGGACGTGCGTTTAGAAGAAAGGCTTGGCAATGCTCGCGTTGCCGTGAAATTGTCGAGTTCCTGGTCCACCGCCTCCTTCGCAAACTTGAGCGTTTCCTTTGCCCATTCGTCCAGGCGGTGCTTCTCAACGTGCTTGCAGAGCGCGTTATCCTCCCATCGCATTGCATCGAGAAGCTTCTCGCGAAATCCCTTATCCATCTTTTCGAAACGCCGGTCAAGCGTCTCGGTATATACCCCAAGGGATTCCCGTGGGGCGACTCGGCGGAATTCCGTCCCATTGCTTGTATGTTGTTCTGTGTTGCTGTTAGCGGTTACTCGTCAAATTGATGTCCCTGGCCGCCTACCTGACGCATATAATGTGCAGTAAACCTGGAAGAGATCTGTCTGACCCAAGACGTCCATCACGTCATCGTCGTTCTGCAGTGAGGTATTGTTGACACGAGTCCAATCTTCTCGGAGGTAGCACCTTCTCCAGATGAGTCGCTCGGCTTGAGCGCGTTCGGCGCCATTCAGACCGTTATGGGCGACCTGGATTGCCAGGAAAAACTGGTCGGCTATCTGTTCTTTCGTCTCCGGTGGCAGGCTGGCCATGGTGAGGAGGTCGATCAAGGTAAGCGGGTCGAGAGCTTCGTGTTTGAGAAGTCGTTTTAAAGCGTCCTCGAAGATCTGAGAGATTATCTTATACTTCTTAGGGTGCTTCAAAGGGAACGCTTCTCGTACCAGTCCCAGCTCTTCCGACTCGTCAAGGGCCACGCTGATCACTGGGCGGATCTGCGTGTCGTAAAACTCGTTTTGAATCTCGATGATGGTGAGTTCCCTGTCGATAGCATCCACGCGGGCATCTTCGGCCGTCCCGTTGACGTTGACCTCTTGCACACTCATGGATGCTTTACTGGAAGGTCGGGACGACTCGGCCATGCGAGCCAGCTTGCCAAGACTCAGCTCAATCTTCTTGTTCCAGACCTGCTGCTCGCGAACAAGCCCAAGGTCGAGAAGCGTGTCGGCGGCATGATCGATGTCTTCTTGAGCGATGACGTCGTTGATCCAAGAAATTTTGGCTAGCTCAGGCTTCGAATGGAGATACATGGTCTTGAACGTCTTTTCGCCATCATACTCAAGCAGTGCATCAACACCATATGTTGTGAAAAGGTATTCGTAGAAGGGAAAGGCGAAGTCTTGTCCGTATCGAGCAAAGCAATCCTTTATTTTTTCTTCCTTCGAAGCCATGCTCGACTCTAGCCGTGCGACTTCATCGGGGGCGCCACCGCATGCAGCAAGTTGATCGCGAAGCTTGTCAATCTCGCGCGTCAGTATCTCAGCAAGAGCAGGGAGTGAACGATGCGATTCGGCAATTCTGATGGCTGATTCCCAATTCTTAGATTCGGACAGAAGGACAACCTTGGAGTGACGGTCCTGCTCATAGAGGCTCTCATACTTTAGGCCGTCTGCACTCATCTTCGCGTCGTCGCTCGCCAGAAACGACCGGGCCAGTTCTTGAAGTACGGTGAGATAGATCTCAGTCAGCTCGGGCAAAATGTCCCGTGTCTTCTGATTCAATGCGGTCAGTGTCTCGACTTGGGAGTCCGGAGACTCCCAATGCTCCTTGACCCATTCCGTAGCAAGCTCCAGCTGTCGCTTCACGTTGTTGACGGTGGGGGAATAACATGTCCAGGGGGAGGGAAGGCCAGCATAGTCATGTGCTATAATCCCATTCTCAAGCTTCTCTCCCTTAAGCCCGTAGAGCTCAAGATGACTCCTGCGAAAAGCGAGGGCATCTCTAATCGCGCTGTTGTAGAGATCCGCAGCCTCGTAGATCAGTCGCGTTAGGGATGGTGCGTCGAGATTCGCCCTGGAATTGTGTTTGATGACTTCGTACGCCCAGGCGACAAAGACTTCCATGCGATCGACATCACGAGCGAACCAATGACGGAGCTGGTCAACTTCTCCTTTTGCCGCGTTGGGTTCCGACTTCTCTTCCGATCGGATGTACTCCACAATCTCAGCAACAATGCTCTTTGTCGAGCCAGCCGGCCGCAGCTGTGTGAACTCCTCGTGCTTACGCCAAAGCGTGCTGGCAATGTGCATCTTTTCCGCGTTCCAAAGCAACGCCCATTTCGTACTGCGGTCGAGATTGACTTTGAGGCTGTTCAAATGCGTCATGATTTTCTCGAGATATCGAACGCGCTCTTTGATGTTGGCGTCAACTCTTGCAGCCAGAGATTGAAGGTGCTGTCCAGATGAGGTCACAATCTCTTGGCTCACTTCCAGCGCGGCCTCGCCATACTCTCGGTCGGTAAATCGCACGTCATGATGGATATCGAAAACAAGAGGGCTGTCCTCTTTGACTCCGAAGAAAACGGCTTGCTCAAGCTTCGACTTGGCCGTGACTGTAGGGGGTTTTTCGCTTGCAAAGCGTTCAACGTCTGTAACAGCGATGCGAAGTGTGCCGGAACCTCGGACAAGAAGCACGGCTGACGGGTTCTTGGTCTTGACTCGTGATGCTCGCACTCCGTCACCTGCGAGGCCAGCCATGTGCGGCTCTTCGATACCAGATCCAACAATCTCAAGGGTATGATCTTGTCGCAAATCAACCACATCCTCAAAAGCCGATGGTAGAATATGGTTGTCCTCCAATATTTGGGACTCGGGAGAGTCGGGAGGACGCGCGATTGAAACAACTACGGTAGCATGATCAAAGACAAGCAAGGCGATGATTGTTGGCCTTGGAAGATACAAACGCGGTTTGGCAAGAGCACGAGCGTCTGGTGGCGTGGAAAAAGCAGATATTGGTCGAACCATTCCAACATCCACGGTGTTATCTGGCAAAGCCCCGTTGGGGATCATGATCTCGACCAGTGTGTAGCGACATGAGTATTCGCTCGATAGAGAAGTGAGAAGCAAGATATGTTGGTGGTCCTCTGAAGCAGGTAGTTGTCGAAGTTGACTCATTTCCGTATACCTGTGAGGCAAGCCCTTGGGCACAAAGCAGAAGTCGAGCAGCTTCAAAGACTCCGAAGGCAGCTCGGCGGCCGTCTTATCAGCCTGTTGAATCGCTTCGAGAATCGGGGCCCGCGCATCCACCTCGGCAAGGACGTCGTGATGACCCCCACGGTGTACCCTCCAGGAATGTATTCGACCCTTCGCCGTGGCTGCCAAGACCGTGCATTCACCTTGCTTAGGGGATCGTTCTGACCGTATTGCCGCGATATCGCCCTGTAGAGCCGGAGAGAGGGCGTGTCGAAGGCTGCCGAAGAAGCCACTGGTAGATGGACCGAGACTTGTGCGCAGGAACTGAACCGCGACTTTGGGTCGGCCATGCGCATCTCGTACACTCAGGTATGCCATGCGCCCACTGCTGAAAGCAAGGACGAAGCCTGGTGCAGATTCGGCATTGATGATCTGAATGGCCGTCTCCCCCGAGAACATGCCCGGGATAGAGTCTTCCACGCCGTTCCGCTGCTGGCGCATGAAATCCAGAGTCGTCGCGCTTGATATCGATTCCCAGTAGGTGACTTTGCCGCTAGCTGGCATGACTACGACAAGACCGGGTTCGGAAGAAGACGCGGAAGGTGAGACGAGTGCGCCGAGAGGGAGGGGGTCGGTCGAGTGTTTCGACGGGTACGGCAGGGTGAAGGTGAACGATTCGGGAGATGGCGTCGAAGTATTGTAGGGCCATACGGTGGCATGCGTGTGTGTGAGACTTAGAGCATAGCCTGTCGAGCTGTCGATCCATCCGCGTTGGCGACCTATTTGAGCGTCAGAAGAGCGGGCTTCCACGTTCCATGTATACAACTTACTCGTAGCATCGAGTCTAAGCCGATCTGGGAGCGCAGGAAGCTTCCTGACGTCAAACGCCGTGTTGGTAGACTGCAAGTGTACGTGTTAGTACCTAGACCTAGGACGGGGGAGTCGCGAAGACTTTGGAGCATAGGCCACGTACCAAGAGCGTACTGCCATCTCCCTTGCTGAAGCGATCGTGGGGTCTCGACTTTTTGGGTCTCACACTAAGATCCTGCTTCGGCGCGGGAGGTTCCTCGATCCCATCTTGCTTGACCTCGACTATCGAGGGTCTCGCGGACTTGACCTCGTAGGTCTCCGGGGCTGGATTCGGATCGACGTAGGTCTGGTCTGTCACGGTCGGCCGGTCATGCCGCTGTCGCTTAGCTTTAGGCTGCTGGGCCGAGTTGTCTGAGCTCAAGGGTCGCTGGCGCCGTCGGCCACGGGTGGTAGCCGGGGCAGGTGTTCCATTATGGCTACCGTTGTTGAGCGCTGGCGCGAACATGGCCGTATACGTAAGTGGGAGGTTGTCGTGGTGGGTGGTTTGAGGTCGGTCGGTTGGAGCCAGACTTGCACGAGTCACGCAGCTGGCGTCGCGATGGGGGCGGTGTAATCCGTTGATTATCGATGCGTCGATTGATGCAGGAAAGGACTGCTCATCGTGAGGAAATGGAAGTTGAAGGAGACGGCGTAGTAGCGGTCGGCGTGCAGATGAACGAGAACTGGACCTGGACCTGGATGGATTGACAACGCAGAGATGCAGAGATGCAGAGATGCAGAGATGGATCACTGGTGAAGAATGACGAGACCTTCACGACTGGGACTGGCTATTATTGTTGAAGGTTGATTGGGTGTTTGTTGATCCCGGTAAAAAACACAGCACCGCAACAGCTAGAATTGGCTAGTGGAGCTTCCGGCTGCCCAGCTGCCCCAGGCACTCAACACAGCGGTGACAGCGCCCCGAGGCTGAAGGCTGAAAGCGCACAGGGCACAGCGCAGCCTGGACAGCTTTCTTCTGATAGTGGAGGCCACCTAGGTCGGCCGCTTTGAGAACAGCAGGACGGGACCATTCCTCAGCTCGCTCCTGGCCACTCAGGGTGCACGAGCAATTTCCTTATGATCTTCAGTGTTGGGCCTGGCGCATCAGCAGAAACCACCGCATTAGGCGAGGTTGACGTGCCTGCGGCTATTCGCTGCCCCGGTCTACTCGGCGTTGCTGCACCGACCGCCGGGCCATTCTCCGGCACCGGGCGGACGTCGACAGCTCCATTCGCATATTTCATATCGTCATGACCTCAACTAGTAGTACATCGAGGCACACAATCCTTCAAGCTACATCGAACCAACAGTATCATATTGTATACCTTGGAGTACCAAACTGCTTCTACGATGGGTTGATATCTCGTCATCTACAGAATACTTTCTCTCTTCCCTAATATCTATAATCTGTGTTTTTTCACTTGTCTCATCCAAGATCCTTTCATCTCATAGCCTGCGGCACCTGATCTGATAGCTCATGTGTCAATGTCGCAACATTGAATTAAGGGATTCAGGAAGCGCCGAATACGTGTAATTGGTTGGCCTTGTATCATGTTGAGACTCTGATAGAAATAGTGGTGTGGAACAAGGACTCAGGATGAGACGATTCAGCAGCTCTGTCACCATCACAGACCCCCTTGTGAAGTATCAGTCCCTGCTGGCGACCGGCCTGTACTGTCCGGACCCAGCACAGCATAGGCTCGCCATTCATCTTCAGAAAGTGTACCATCGTCTGAAAGATTACTCACCTTCGATCGAATATCGCACAAGGCTCAAGGCTGTCACCAGTGCTCTGGACCAGTCCAAGCAGAAAGACGATGCATCTCGCACACTCGCTGCCAAGAGTCATCCCATCCGCCGGAATCCCCTGTTTGCGCGATTCTTCGCCCGGACCGAGAGCAAAGATGCCCTTGCGCTGACGAGGGTGCTTGCCGGTTATGAAGAGGCAGTTCACATACCCTCGCCGCAGGGGCTCTTCCTGTCTGGGGAGGTAGGGACGGGCAAGTCAATGCTACTCGACCTCCTTGCGGATGGGCTACCTACCAGTCGGAAACGAAGATGGCACTTCAACACCTTCATGCTGTATACAATGTCCCAGCTGGAACGACATCGCAAGGCATATTCGCATTTAGAGAACAGCGATCAGCAGTACTCCCTGCTGTGGATGGCCAAGGAGATGATCGAGAAGTCTCCAATCCTTTTCCTGGATGAGTTCCAACTGCCCGACAGAGCAGCAAGCAAGATTCTCAGCAACCTTTTCACCGCCTTCTTTCAACTGGGCGGTGTTCTGGTAGCTTCCTCCAACCGCATGCCTGAAGAACTAGAGAAAGCCACGGGTTTCCAATACACGGCGCCCACAGCGGGTGGGATGATTGGGCGAGCACTTGGGCTAGGGAAGTCTCGCAGCAAAAGAGAGCTGTTCGGCTCCGCGAGCGATTTCGCGTCATTCCTTGAGGTGCTGAAAGCGAGATGCGAATTCTGGCAGATGGAAGGGGGCAAAGACTGGAGGCGGCGTGAGGCCGACGAAGCCTCAAACCCACCTGCAACAGTCTCGAGTCAGAAACCCAATTCGCAGGATTTCAGGGAAGAATCGACAGGGCAGCCCGAATCTGAGATTGAGCTGCAGACCGCGGAGTCCACTGTTGCTGCCAAAAGGCCCAGGAATTACCTCCTTATGGGAGAAACGGACGATTCGTCGTGGGAAGAGGCTTTGCAAGACTTGACTATAACTTCCACTCAGGACATTGTCCCCTGGCAATCCTCAACCATGACCATCTACGGCCGTACAATAAACATACCGCAACAGCACAACGGGGTCGTACGCTGGGACTTCAAGGAGCTCGTCTCCTCCTTTGGGCCAGCCGCCTACATCACCATGGCATCAACCTTCCATACATTCATCATCGACGGCGTCCCCGTCCTCACCATCCTCCAAAAGAACGAAGCCAGACGGCTCATCACACTCCTAGACGCCCTCTACGAAGCGCGCTGCAAGCTCATCGTCCGAGCAGAAGCCGGGCCCGACGACCTCTTCTTCCCCGAAGCCAAAGCCTCCAACTCATCCCCATCCCCATCCACACCACCATCACAAGACCCGCGCCAGACCACCGAAAAGGTCGACGCGGATGCCATCCACTCCGAGACCATCGCTGAGGCCTACCAGGACACAACGTCGCCCTTCCGGCCCAACATCTCCGCGTACACCGACGCGGACCAGGACTCCGACTTCGACGTCGCCGAGCCGTTAAGATCCAAGGTCGACTTCAGCAACACGGGCGCCTTCACGGGCGAGGACGAGCGGTTCGCGTACAAGCGCGCGACGAGCCGGCTCTGGGAGCTCTGCGGCGCGCAGTGGCACGCTCGCCAGGGCGACTGGTGGCAGCCGTTGCCCGTGGAGGCGCGGCATTGGGAGGGAGGCGCGCCGGCTTCGAAGGCGCGGCCGTGGACGCCGACTGAGACCGTGCCGGGAAACGTGCAGATGGGTCCTTCTGTGGAACTTGATGAACCGGCGGGCCTGCAGCGCTACCGTCTTGACTCCTTACGAAAGGCTGTTTCCGGGAAAGGAGATCAGGGGAACTCCTAGGAATAGAGCTTTGGCTAGCATTTATTATCATATATCTCGAATATGGCCCTGGTAAACGCAGTAGAAGCAGCAAGTTGTATTTCACTTCCCTCCCAAGCGCCAAAACTCCGGGCTCAATGCCAGCCGTTATGCCACAAGAACGATGTGCACGCATCATCATCCCACCCTCTGAAGGACAATTCCTCGTCATCCACGCCATGCCCACCCACCCCTATCCCCCCTGTCTCCCTCCCTCCCATTCTCCTCCCTCGCCCACACCCTCACAAACTCGTCACCCCCGGCGCCCAGCCCTCCCCAATCCGCCTCATCTCCTCCGCGAACCTACGACTAGTAATCCTCTTCGCGCCCCCACCACCACCCGCACCAACCCCCACGCCCGTCGCCTCCGGCTCATAAAACGGGTTCTGCAACAGCCTCACATACGCCGTCTGCATAGCACGAAACACAACCTTCAGCTCGGCCTCCCTCAGCCCGACTCCCCCCAAGCCAGCTCCAGCTTTTGTGTTGACACCAGCAACACCCCCACGCATGTCCACCACAGCCACAAACTTCACCCCGGTATTCGTCTCAAACCCGTACACGGCCAGGCGCTCGTCGACGGCGTGCAGCAGCCCGAAGTCGCCCGATAGTAGCAGGTTGGAGGCCGAGGCGCCGCGGGCGCGCGCGGCGAATATGTCGAGGGTGCTGCTGAGGAGCAGGCTGAACTGTAGGGGCGTGCGGATGGGCGCGGGTGGGCGGGTGGGGGCGGAGGCGTACTCGTGGGAGGGGAAGATGGTTATGTGGAGGGGGTTGTTCTGCAAGAGCGACGGGTGGTTAGCGAGGGGGTTTGTTGAGCGGAGATGTAGGTAATTAGGTAGGTAGGCAATTGGGGCGCCTGGGAGGGAACAGGAAGTATGGGAGACCACGGGATGGGATGGCATGGCTATCAAACGGCTGGCTAGAGGTGCTCGACGGAAACGAAGTTAGGGACGTACATTGCGCCCTATGACGCCCAGACAGGCTATGGAGGGTATTGGATTCGCCATCATCACCCGTAGTCGCGTAGTTTGTGGTTTTCGGTGCGCTCAGTGTTGCTGGTGAACTAGGAGGCGTCTTGACTCGTGACGAAGCTGGGAGGTTGTTGAAGTCGAGGTTGGAGCTCTGCACTTGAAGCTCCCGTCCCCAGTGTGCCCCACCTTGGATACCTAATCAGGGTCCTGCAGCATCATCAGGGTCAACAAGCAACGCAGATAAGTTAGGTAGGTACACGACCTTTTGGCAAACACAAACTGACATCTGATGCGATGGGCAATGCTCATGTGGTTTAGTAGCATTTGTCTATTCCTTCCGGTAACATTGTACACAGCACTTTACAGACCTAATAACCCGAAGCTCTGATGAAGAACTTCGCGACGCCTTTAGTTTACAGGGAATGGGTCGCCTGTCAGATATATGTACATCTCATGTAGTCTGCTCTTCGTCGTCATCCACCAGACTCTCCGTCTTCTCCAGACCCCTCAGCACCTCCTCGATTTCCAAGGGATCCGTGATAGCCCATACACCACCACCTTTGACCGTATCCACGCCCCTCATGCCGACTTCTTTGCCGACAAGATTCCTGCCTACCTTCCCGGGGCCGATACCTATCCATCTCCGCACCTTCTGCTCCTGGTCGAGATATCTGATGCTGTCCCACCACCTCACCGTCTCGAGACATTGTCTGGAGAGCAGATCTTTGACGTCTGCGGCATTTTCGAAGGGTCGGGCGCTGACGTTGCTCACACACTCCACCCTGCCGGGGAAGGTAACAACATCTTGGTCTTCCCGGCCTCGGACTATGCTCTTCCTGGCGAGCAGTTCCCGCATGACATCGACAGCAGGTCGCATGATGGGGCTGTGGAACGGGCTGTCACTATTGAGCTGCACTGCCCTAGGATCATGGCCGAGGAACTGTCGGACGTGTGTTATAAGCTCATTGATCTTCTGCAGGCTCCCACTCAGCACGATCTGGTTCTTGCTGTTCACGTTGGCGATGAGCACCTGGTCGATGGGTTTCCTGCTATCGGCACTTTCGCTCCTCGCGCCGGCACTGCGATAGCCCACAAAGTCGTCTATAGCCGCGACAAGCGAATCCAGGTAGTCGCTCTCGGTAACGAGGGCTACCATGCCGTATTCGCCTCCGTATGTTTCCACTGCTTTGCGCGTCGCCTCGGCCATTGCTTCAGCGCGGCGTCGTACCATGAGCAGGGCGTCTTCGAATTCGAGCACACCGCCACCCACCAACGCTGCAAACTCGCCGAGGGAGTGTCCTAGCGAAACGTCTACGCGCTCCGAGACCTTGAAGTCGAATTCGCGCTCGAGGATGCGGAGGATCATAATCGACGTGGCCATAATCGCAGGCTGCGCATTGGGGGTTGCTGTCAACACTCGACTAGGCCCATTCTGTATGACGTCGGACAGCTTGTATCCCATGTAGGTGTCGATCTCGTCGAATAGGGAGGACGCGGTGCGTGGGAAGGCTTCGAGCCATGGTGTCAGCATGCCGACCTTCTGGACGCCCTGACCTGGGGTGACAGCGCGGGTTAGCTTCAATGATCGTTCCAGGTGCCAATGACGAGTGTGTACATTACCTGGAAAGAAGATGGCCGTCCGTGGCCTCGATGCAGTTGTTGAAGCATGTCGTCGACTGCTAGCTCGGTATGGTGGCAATGACGTCGCAGCAGCTGGTGAAGAGCCCGAGCCGAGGTGGGAGACGATCCCGGCAATGCGGGACGGCCGGCAGCAGCGCATTGGAGAAGAAAGCACACTCATCGCCGTGCGCCAGCTAAGTTGGAGGCGCAGTGTACTGTCATCCCAGGCATTGGCTGTAGTATGTGCCGGAGTTTATGTAGCATCAAATGTGAGCTCGGGGAGTCGGGGACAGAGGATACATGGAGCAGGTGGGAGAAGTGGGAGAAGATCTGATGGTGCGTTCCTGAAGCGCCAAGACGATAACTTCCCCACATGCTTCCCCGGACCGGGGTGTGAAAAATATACTATGATATTAGTACTCTACTAGGGTACTAGTGTGCCTTGTGGTAGCGGTATCCAGAATAAGGACCAGGGTCACGATAGGTGGCTATTGGTCTGTATTCTGGAAGTTGCTTGATTGAAAGAAGGGATGGGTGGTGTCCCCATCCCAGAAGTAGCTATCATCCCAGTTGGGTACAAATCAGGTACAAACGGGTACCAGTTGGGCTCCAAGGTACCTTGTATCCTTGTCCGTGACCCATCCGTCATTGTGGCTGGAAAATGGGTTGAGGAGCCACACTAGCCTACTCTACTCAGTAGAATATCAGGCAAATACTCTACTTGGGATACTAGGGTCCAGAAAATGACACTTTTTACCAATTTTAAATTTTATTAATTTAAAATACAAATAAACGTGATTCAAATAACTATAAACTGTTACGAACCAACGAACAGTGCGGCCTGATAGCAGACCTAGAAGGGACGATTGGAAACAGATTGACCAGAGAGTGGGGTGCTGATCAGTGGAGAGATCGGAGCAACGGAGCAACGGTACACAGATCACGCGACCAGCAGAGCCTGGGTCACGTGACTAAGAATTTGGATCACTGGATCACCATGGTGATCCAGTGAGCAGGATCACCTTAGATCACCGGTGATCTAGGGTGAGCCACCTGTTCAGTGAGGGAGAGATTGGATATATAAGGACAGACATTTCCCAACCAGATAGATAGACAGTCTCTACCTCAGTGATCAATCTAAGCATCTTAGCCAACCCTAAGGTGGGAGAAATCTCCTGACGACTCGATTACACAGTGAACCCAGTTCAGACCAAGCCCCAGCATCTGAGTGTCTTCTAGTTGACAGAAGCCTCTATCATCCTTTGTGTTGACTTACCTCAGAACATAAACCCTATAGAACCCTTTAGCCTTATAGGTTAGACGGCTCGTCACATAAACCACTTTAATACGATAAATATTCATTCGGATATTAATTATTTAAGTTATAAAAAACTTTAATTTTATTTCTTTATATATTACGTAATGTTTTTATACGACGTATAATATTTTTATACAAAGTATAAAAACGTAACATTTCTATATATAGATTAATCTTTAAAATACGATTTTTATACTTAGTGTGAGATTCTAGAAGGGTCACAAGCCTTGGGGGTGTGAGCGGTCGCTGCAAATGTTGTTGTCAATCTCAAGTATGCTCGGCAGGGCTAATTCACAGCTAAATACCATACTGCACCATGCCAGGGTAGATCCACTGTTCCCTTGACAGCCCTCTAGTGGGTACTGCACCTAAGGGCACCATATCTGGGATCCAACATCTGACACTTAGATTATTTTAATTTAACTTTTTAATATAATAATAAGCTTAATTAAAAAAGCAAAATTTACATAGTAGTACTTTAGTATCTTATAGTACTACATTAGGTTAGTAGAGTATCGGGCAAATACTCTACTCAGTAGAGTATTTTTCTCACCCCTGCCCCGGACTCAGCAGTACCCACCCGAACTGTCCCGCCCCTGGTCAGTGATCAGCTGCCCCTTGATCTCGGCTCTCTGGTCGTGTGTGTATGGTACGCCTCACCTGATGATACGCGCACTGTTACATGGAATAGTCAGACATCCAAAAACTGGAGAAAGCGTGACTGTATGTGACGTCTCTCCAACATATTGTGATTAGGTAACACCATCTCATGCATGGCAACGACCAGGGTACTCCAATAGCAAACCCTGATGCAACGTTCGCTCAACCTCTTCACTTCTATAGACACCTATAGGTAGGTACGAAGCTCTAGCATCTGATTTCAACACCACCTTTGCTGACAGTAAGATACTTGACGCCCTTGTACGGCTTGACTCCTTCACCAATGCCTCGACTTTTCCTGGCGTCAATGAGTATGCTCTCAACCTTGACCCCGCTGGGCAGCCACCCCTTGACAGAGAAACTGACAGACGCCGAGCTGGGCATCAGAATCTTATTCTGTGCCACCTTCTTCGCGTCCTTGTCCTCTTCCGTTGCCTTGCCATTCTTCTTGGGCTTCTCTTCTGCTGCATCTGCAGAGCTCTGGTACGGCTCGTCGTAGGTGTAGTCTTCTCCAAAGCCGAAGCCATTAGGATCCGCCTCTTCCAGATCCTCCACCACCGGGCCCAAGACGGTACATCGAAGTCCAAAGTACGATGTTCCGGCTGAAAGCTCCTTGGCCGGTATGTGCCACTCCAAAATCTGATCTCCCGGGCTATAGCTGGCATCTCCTTTGCTCGGCCGAACATCCGACAGGTTTCTAACATCTGACGGTAGTGGTACCGAGACAACCACGTCTTGCAGAAGCGGTGAGGCGGCAGTGCCTGGGTGTGGGCCGCCGAAACCTCGGCCCCCTGAAGCGCCTCCTCTGCCAGAAGGACCAGATAAGGAGGAGCTGGAGTGCCCGAATAGCTTGTTGATGTTCAGTCGGACCTCGAACTCGGACCCTGCGGATCCAAGACCCGTCTTAACCTCGATATTAACAGGGAGCTTCAAGCTGTTCGAGTTCAGATTTCCACTCTTCCCATTTGTAAAAGGCAACAAGTCGACTTCGTATCCAGCCAGGATGAAACGACCATCTGGGGGTATGAAGCTCAATTCCCCTGGGTTCTCCTTCCACCGGTTCAGCCGTACGCACGGATGAAAGACTGGTAATTCCATTATACTCCGCAGATTGTGTTTCCCCGAAGGTCCTGTGAGGCTCATGACAATATCAGGAACTCCAGACACCTTGGCTGTGAATACGATAGTGCCGTTGGCAAAGGCCGCGATCGGTCTACCGGATGGCGCAAGCGTGACCGACAGCGTTTCCACGACGTCGGCGTATAGCTCGTTTGAAGTGTGACGTACGTTTGCCCGTCGCCAAGGAAGTGCTGGCGCATTCTGGGCTATCAGAGACGGCACGTTGGGGTTGCTCAGAGGTTTGCTAGGCAGATTGATGCTTCCCAGTAGCTTTCCCAGTAAGCCTTCTACTTCAACTACGTCCCTCAAGGCATTCGGTTCGGTTGTGTTGATGGTGCCAGCATCGCACATCTCGGTAAGCAGTTGGGCGACAACATCGTAGTTCGCTTCTATCTTGTGGGCCAGCACTGGCGCACCAAGGAACTCCTCGAGGGTGTCGATGACGCGGTGGAGAAACTCGAGGACCAGTAGGGGTTCTATCTCGGACGAGGTAGTTGCCAGGTAGAGAAGATTCGCATGTGTAAGACTGAAGACTAGGGTCGGCGGGTTCGTGTTTGGAAGGTAGATCAGGTTCGGTCGCGGTGCCGGATGTTCGAGATAGAGGAGTAGGACATGTGCTGCGGACAGTGGGCGGGAGGTATAGGTGTGAGAGAGGATGGCGCGACTGCATCACCATGTTAGCACAAGTGACAACACAAATCAGCGTGGTCGGTTGCCAACTGACTTGTGCTCATCATAGATGCGCAGCGCCTCTATTACACCGTTCATGGTGGTCGGGTTGTGACGAGCATCGTCAGCCCTACCGGTTGAGGTTGATAGAGCTCTCCGACCTGCTCTGGTTTCGGAGGGGCAGTTAGCGGGCGTTGGTGGGAGGCTGAAACCCCTACGGGCAAGGTTCAGTGCGGCGGGTCCCCTGGCTCAGCCACCAGCTTCATGATTGGTCAATGAGCTTCAAGCCTGGTAGCGGGGTCCTGATCATCCAATCCTTGAACCTGTAAATTTTTCTGAGAGGACCGTTTTTTCGTCTTGCCTTATGCATTTAGGTATTAGCTTTGGACTCGTTTCCGACCTTCACACGAACAACTTAGCAATGGCAGGACCTTCTGGCTCCTCCGAGTCTTCCATGACATCTACATCGCATACTCTCACGAACACTAACCCGCCTTCATTCGCCCACCCTTCGAAACCTCCTGGAGCAATGGAAATGCTGGCGCTTTTCGAAGCTATCAAATCGGGCAACCGCCACGACTTCTTACAGCCCTCGTCCTCACTACCGACAGCCTCGTTGCAGCTTGCCAAGTCTACCCTCGACGCGTATGCGGCCCAAGTCAGTGACGAGCAACAACAGCGGCAAAAAGAGGCAAACAAGAAGCGGAAACGCGCCGATGGTCCGAGTAAAACCGAGGTACTCAAGGTCAGGAACTTACATGTAGACGGCTTTGAGAGCGGTCAGGTGTGGCAGCAGGCGAAAAGGATCATCACGAGCACCCTGCAAGACTCGAAGGATACGTTACAGGAGCTGGAAGACCGGAACGAGGTACAACTGAACGGCGTCAACGGGGCATCGGATGACCTAGAGGTTGAGGGAAGTGACTTCGAGACTGGCTCTATCAACAGTGGCCAATTCCCTGCTTCGGAAGAAGATGGGTCCGAGGGTGGTCTAGAGGTCGGTGATGAGGACGAGTATTCCGACGAAGATGGGCTCGAGGACGATGTTGAACTCCTGGAAGATGGGATGGAGGAGGAAGACGAGAACATCGATATGGAAGAAGAAGATATGGATGATAAAAGTTCGTCAGAGGAAGCCGCTGAACCACTCGTCAAGGATCCAAATGGTCTCAATGATGGGTTCTTCTCTATCGATGATTTCAACAAGCAAACCCAATTCTTTGAGGACGCAGATGCTCGAGCAGATCCGAATGCCGACGAGGCAAGCGACGACGATGAGCTCGACTGGCACGCCGATCCCTTTTCCGCATCGCAACCTGCAGATTGGAAGAAATCAAAGAAGTCTCGAGACGAAGACGACGAACTTCCCTCTGGTTTGATTGAAGATGATGAGGAGGAAGAGGACGACAACGAGGACGACGAAGAAGGCGGTGCTACCTTTGGCGACATGGACTTGGATGCACCAGAAGGAGACAGTGAAAACGAGGGTGAAGATGATGCTATGGACGACGGCGATGAATTCAACGCCAACGACGTCTTCTACAAGGACTTCTTCGCTCCACCACAGCGAAAGGGAGCAAAAAAGAGCAAGTCGCGGGGGTTTGAGAATTCAAAGTCAACACAGCCGGATGACGGCGATATTGACCGCGCCAAGGCTGACGTCCGCCGTGACTTGTTTGAGGATGAGTCGGAACATGAAAACTCGGACGACGCCCTCTCAGACGTTTCTGCAGGGGATCCTAAATCAAGGAGATCCGCCCATGAAAGGAGGCAGGCCAAGTTGACCGATGAGATCCGCAAACTCGAAGCTGCCAATGTAGCGAAGAGAGATTGGACCTTGTCAGGTGAAGCTAAAGCCACTCAACGACCAATGAACTCGCTTCTAGAGGAAGACCTCGACTTTGAGCATGTCGGCAAGCCAGTTCCAGTCATTACCACCGAAGTCAGCGAAAGCCTCGAGGATTTGATCAAGCGCAGGATCCTAGCTCAAGAATTTGACGAGGTGATCAGAAGACGCCCAGATTCTGCTGAATTCTCGACCAACGCTCGGCGAGGACTTGTCGAGGTTGATGATAGCAAAGGCAAACAGGGTCTGGCCGAGCTCTACGAGGAAGAGCACACGAAGAATGCCAACCCAGATACCTACGTGAGCAAAGCCGATGCGAAGCTGCAGAAAGAAGAGAAAGAAGTCGAGCAGCTGTGGGCCGAGGTCAGCGCCAAGCTCGACGCTCTCAGCAGTTGGCATTACAAGCCCAAGCCTCCTGCGCCTTCACTCACTGTCGTGTCGGATATCGCAACGATCAGCATGGAAGATGCCCAACCTACAACAGCACAGGGTGTCAGTGGCGGTGACAATACCCTGGCGCCTCAAGAGATCTACAAGGCTGGCAAGGACACGGCCGAGAAGGGCGAGGTTGTTGCCAAGAGCGGCCTGCCCGTTGCACGACAGGAGATGAGCAGGGAGGACAAGGCTAAGAGACGTCGGAGGGAGAAGGAGAGAACTCGCAAGGCCGGTGGCACAGACAGCAAGAAGCCGCAGAGTGCAAAGGCTAGAGAACGGAAAGACACGCTCGGCGATCTCAAGAAGGGTGGCGTCAAGGTCATCAACAAGAAGGGCGAGATTGTGGACATGGAGGGTAATAAGGCAAGGGCAGCGAAAGCTGCGTCAAGCGGTAGCTTCAAGCTGTAAGCCATAATATGTGGTTTCACGTGAAATCAAGAGGTGTCCACGAGTAATATCCTCCGACAAACATTCTCACGTCGTCCCTGTCTGTTCAGAAACTTCTCCGTATGACGGGACTTCGTTGGCAGGTCATCACGGTTTACTGCATCGTGTGACTGCTACATGGCCGTGACATCTATGCAGGTAGCCATGTATCCAACCCGAATCGCTGATCATACTATCTCCCAACTTCGGGGGCAGATATCATTTATCCTCTATGTCTCTTCTCTGCATCCCAACTGATCAGCATTCCGTATAATCCATCGGCACAATCATCCATCAGCCCAATCATCCATTAATTAGCACAATCATCCATCAGCACAATGAGGCTCATCAACGTCGATACTTTCGAAGTCCAAGAGTTTGTGGGCACTCCCGACTACTTCTTTCCCAGATATGCGATTTTGTTACACACATGGGGGCCCCGAAGAAGTCTCCTATCAGGACATCCATGATCTCGACCTTGCCCGCCAGGAGGAAGGCTTCTACAAGATCAGGAAATGTTGCGAGCAGGCTCGAGCTGATGGGTTGGCCTGGGCATGGGTCGACACTTGCTGTATCGACAAGACATCGAGCGCTGAGTTGTCCGAGGCTATTAAATCGATGTTCAAGTGGTACCAGTTCGCCTCTGCTTGCTACGCCTGCATTGGTGATGTCGCTTCTTGGTCGGATTTGAGGACACCTTCCGGACCGACAAACTTTTCGATCAGAAAGGAAGACGGCCCAAATGGTTGGGTAGAGGTTGGACTCTGCAAGAACTCATCGCTCCACTCCACATCCTGTTCTTTTCCAAGACATGGGGTTTCATGGGCACAGAAGAGTCACAAGTCGATGCCCTCAGTCACCGGACGCAGATTCCAGTCAGTATTCTGAAACGCGAGACTTCCCTGTCATCTATCCAATCGTATCACGGATGAAATGGGCTTCATTCAGGTCAACGACGAGAATTGAAGATGAAGCTTACTGCTTGCTTGGGATTTCTGACGTCACTATGCCTCTCCTCTATGGCGAAGGCGACAAGGCATTTCGCCGCCTACAGGCAGAGATCCTGAGTTCTGCTCACGGCCACACTCTTTTCCTTGGGTACATTGGCTCCGACAACGGACACGACGAAAAAGATACTTCCGGGGAACCCATGCGTTCGCTATTACATGAGGTTTATCACGGAAAGGTTGACAATATCATCGTTCGACCTGCGTCGACTCCTGGATGGATCCCTGAAGAGATCACCTCTTGTCCGGAGTTCCCGTTCAAGTGGGAGTCTCCGCAACTCACCGCCTCGGGGATTCACTTGAACCTACCATTGAAGCAACATTGCCTTGATATTGGTGCTGCGTCGAGCGTATTCCCCGAGTTCGTAGCACTGTCCCTGCTATACCCGCCAAATGTTCCTCGCCAAAATATATACCTTGATGCCTTCACTTGTCTGCTGCCAGACAGTTAATGCCTCTTCGCTAGGTACTTACTCGGCCCAGATCTGTCTGATAATTCGATGGAGCCTATCATACTATATCCCATAGGTCAACACCGTTGGGTGCCGCTAAAGGAAGTGTTGGCATGGGACACCAAAACCGCTGTGATAAAGCAACAAGATACTACTAGTCAGAGACTTAAATTGTAATGGAACTGGGTGAAGAGCCCGTGCTGGGTTGGAAAACCCTGAGGGCATCTTATGATGTTGCTCGCGGAGGTTACTCGTGTGTCTTCGAGCACATGCATACTGACCAGTCTACACTCCTCAGGATACATATCCCATCCGAGTCAGGTTCTTGTCTCGTTTACTTCGAGCCCTGGGCACAAGAACTTGAGTGCACAATAGATATCAGCTCTATCTTGGGTTCGTTCGGCGTATGGGACAGGACCAGTGGTGGAAATCAGCGTACCAGTCGCGCATGATGATTGCCCTGCAGAAATGGTGGCCACCATTCACGCTTTCATTCAAGGTCCAAACACGACATTCAAACCAGAATTACGCATACGAAAGCTTCTGACCCAACCCAGCTCAGACGAGTAGGCGGTGAGCTGTATAGACCTGCTCCTGAAGGCGCTGGGGGGTCCGGTAGTGCGTGACGGCTTCACAGTATGGTACAGCGTTCTCCTGACGGGACCCGACCTAGTTTACTGCTTTGGGATGCGAAGGATGGTCGTACACTAAGACTAGTTGTTACTTGTATTTCTCGTCTCGTATATAGGGTCCTGATCAATAATTTTGCTTTCATCGCCCGTAACTTTTGTGACCGCAAACCTCCTCTCCGGGCCCAAGGAATAAAATGCTCACAGCCTGTAGTCTACCAAGCCGCCTGTGACCACTCTTCTCCACTCTTCTTTCACCAAATGCCTAAGAACTTGATCCCATCCTTCTACACCACTCACTCCCCCCATCCGCCGCCAAACCCCCGTCTCCATCACCATCCCCTCTGTCCGAGCCAGTCCTCCCACTCAACGCCGAACGAGCACTCTGCCATTCCTCCGGCACCTCAGACTCCACCTCCACCTCCACCGCAGGCCGCAAGTCGAAGCCCCCTCCCTTCGCATCCCCATCAGGCCGCCGTCCCATATCCACGTCCCTGCCCTCCGCCGCCGCCGCCTCAGCCTCCCGCTTAGCCTCCATCGTCTGCTTCCGCCTCCGAATGCGCTGGCTCAGACCGTATGCTACCACTGCCGACATGATGACAACCAGCAAGGCGACGCCGACTGCGATGCCGGCTATAGAGCCGACGCTGAGGTTGTGGTTGTGGTTGGTATGTCGGGGTTGGAGGGGTGAGATTGTTGTTGTTGTTGGTGATGAAAGCCATGATGGCGGTGAGAGGGCTTGTGAGAGATGTGAGATATGTGGGGATATGTCGATGTGATGGGGTTGTGGTATGCTGGGCGGGATCATGCCGATGAGATATGCTTCGCTGCTGCTCGCGAGCAGTGCCGGTAGTAGGTAGAGATAAAGCGGTGAACGTCTCATGGTTCGGTATAGGATGGTGTCGGAGTGGTCTCAAAGTGATATAGGGGCTGCCAATGCAGCTTCAGAACAGCATGGCTCAGAAAAGGACTTGAAACTTCAGAAACTCACGAAAGCCCGCTCCGTCGGGAGGAACTCGGTCGGAGGCCTGCATCTATCCTATAATTATCTACCAAAATTGACCCATCCACGGGCCATGGTCGAGATACAGCGACCCATCTGCCGTGCGCCAGCCAGCACTTGAGGCTCCGGCGGGCAGGCGGCTCATGCTAGCGCGGCTCCGAGGCAGACGGTCGCTCTCGCCGGCCCGCGAAAAAAGGGGCGGCTACCAGCAAGATGCAAAATTTGTCTTTATTCGAAGGTTTTCTTGCTGGCTGTCTATACGCTGATTCGAACATGCACACACTGGCGAGTATCTACAACGCCGCGGTTCAATGTGGATGACAATGAACGCCATTCCACGGATAACTCCTTTGCTCCTAAAAATACAGACACGTGGAGAGTCGCCGTCTGGTGCCTCTTGCTTGGTTAATTAGAACAGTCGCCGAGTCAACCGATATTAATAAGTAAGATTTAATGTCGCTAGGTTGGTGTAGTCGCCGGATAAAAAGAGCCGCAAGCTACCGCCGTTTCTAGGCAACTCCTTTACGGGCATGTAAGGGCTACCTGCAGGCTATTACCCTGCTAAGCTATAAAAAATCTAACTTATTCTTATCGTTATTATATGTAAGTCTTACTTAAACCTATTATATTAAAATATAACTTTATATTACTATTACGGTTATAAATATAGAACTAAGTTAAATGAAAATCGTTTATATATAACGTAAATAATAAGCGAGCTGTGAATATAAGCGAGCGGCGAGGTAGGGCTTATATATATAAAAAAGTCGGTGCGTAACCGTTGGTCTACCTTTTATAAAAAAATCAAAAAAATCAAAGACTTGCTATATTTAATATAGCCTTCTTTATAAAGAATAATAATATGTAATAATTGTTTTTCATTAATTAAATAGACTGTATATTATAAAAAAGCTTTTTTATAACGATAGTTTTAGCATATTTGAAGATAAATCTTGAAATAAAATAGCTATAAACCGGGAAAAAGTGATACTGATGTATTTTTTAAGTTATAAACTTAGAAAAAAAAGGTCCGAAATATTTTGGATTTTTTTCCCATTAAGTTGAAAATTAACGTATCGCCATTTTTTATATAAAAGCCTCATCTCGTAGCTCGCTTATATTTGCAGCTGGCTTATCATTTACGTTAAGCTTATTTTTTAAATAATGAAACATTTTTTAACTCGTTTTAAGCTTTTTTATTACTAATCGTATTTAATAAACGTTACCTACAATTTTAAACACTTTTATTACTTCGTGATAAAAAATACTTATTTTTCGCCTTTTAAAGTTTTTTGACATTAAATGAACTTTAAAATATTTTTAATGGATTTTATTGGTATATACATTATGACTGGTTAAAAAAAGTCGTTTTATTTGTTTAAACATTATTAAAAGCTAAAAAGGCTATTATTTATACAGTTATATAAAAAAGTAGTAATAAAAGGATACCCTTTATATTAAAATTATATAACGTAGCTGACAAGGGAGTTGGCATTACAAGCGAGTTGGCACTCATCATGAACTTTCCAACCAACACAATTCAAACCATTATATCTCCACTAACAACAATGACACCGCGTTACAATGAATCAGACTTATAGGTAACTGTCTAAGCTAAACGCCGTGACCCTCATATTTCTATATTTCAGCTTGCGGAACTCTTTAATATCCTTTATTCCACTTTGAGCAATAAAATCAAAGGAATGCCATCACGACGCGACAGCATGCCCAATACTTTGAAACTTACGGTTTTTGAAGAGAATGCTATTCTGTTCTTCATTCTTGACCTGGATGCGCGAGCATTTCTACCCCGGCACAGTTATATTGAAGATATGGCAAATCAATTGTTGGCAGCACGTAGGGCTGGACACATTGGAAAGAACTGGATACAGAACTTCATTTCACGCATACCAGGCCTCCGGAGGCGTTTTTATCGGAGGATGGACTACCAGAGGGTCTTGAATAGAGATCTTGACGCATATTGCGCGTGGTTTTGCCAAGTTGTAGCAGTAATTGCAAAACATGGTATCCAAGACGTAGATATTTACAACTTTGACGATACTGGGTTTATGATAGGCATTATTGGGTCCAGCATAGTCGTTATAAGTGCCAAAAGACGTGACAGGCCTAAACAAGCTCAGCAAAGTAACAGAGAATAGTTTACAGTAATCTCTGCTATTAATGCTGATGGTTGGGTGGTCCCGCCGTTCATCATTCTACAGGGCAAAACCCACCTCGCGTCATGGTATCACAACACGACATTACCACGCAATTAAAAGGTGGCTATGTGTGATGGTTCTACTATCCATCAGGTCTAGCAATGGTCCATATGGTCCTCGGGTCACGTGACTGAGCACGTGACTAATCGGACGATAGGTTGATCTATGCCCTGGTGGGTCTGGTGGTGGACGACTGCCCACATCTAGCTGCCCACCAACTCAGGTGTATCTCCAGAACTTTTTTTTCCTTTAACCAGTGTTCGTTATATGTCAATATTTGATAAGGGTCCCTGTATACTTGCAATACATTTACGAAATTGTAACACCGTGTCTGACAATGGATGGACTAGAAATGAGATCGGTTTGAAATGGATTCAGCATTTTGATAAGTATACCAGACCGCATATGACTCCTGGTAAACGCCTCCTCATCCTAGATAGTCACGAAAGCCACAATTCCCAGATCTTTGAGAATTATTGCCAGAATAATAGCATCATTACTCTTTATATGCCTGCCCACTTGTTACACAGGCTCCAGCCTTTAGATATCAGTTGTTTTAACCCACTTAAATAAGCTTATAGTCGATTAATTGAGGATCTCATGCTGTTGAATACACGGATGTTGATTGATTATATTGATTGTTCTGCTCTGCGTGCAGAAATTGATCATCTGTCTTCTTGGTGGGTCATATGCCCTATGTGTCTCTGCACTACTGAAGATCTTTTGGTGCCTATCTCTAGCTCTCATTCAATACATTCGTGCTAGTATCTAACACATCCGGCGTCATATAACCAATGTTTCAAAGGAGGACTTTCTCGCAGCATTTTTTAAAACACACAATGCTACTATGACACTAGAAAACGTTCGAGCAGGTTTTAGTGCCACTGGCCTTATTCCTTTTGACCCAGAAAGTGTCATTTCAAAGCTGGATGCTGTCACTGTCGTATGAACAATGTTGCCAGACCCCAATCTGCCACACACTATTTAGACTTTGAAGACGCCTACCACCATTAGTAAACCGGTAAATCAATCAGTTTATATCCAAAATTGAGTCAGAAACCACCAAGAAAGCTCACTTATATCAATAATTGATGTATTAAGCTCGTTTTCAAAGGTTACATACGGTCTTATACATAAGGTCATTTGGTTGAGACCCAGGTTCGCGAGCTAGAGGAGGCCAATCACATATTAAGTAAATACTGAAAATAAAAAAGAAATATCTGATAAAAAGAGGAATACTTTCTGTTAAAAATGCAGTAAGTCTTCAGGCTACAAAGGATAGTACTGAGCTGGCAAGACAGGAAATGGGTGAAGATAGTCGTTATCCAAGGAGGACGGCAGCGCGTGAGTAACGGTGTGGCATTTGCAACAACACTGGCTATAATGCGCGAACTTGTACAATAGATATAGAAACCTCTGAGGAAGAAGAATCCGATTGATTGAATTGAATTGAATGTGTTGTGGTGAAGTTATTTAACCTGGTAGTTAAAGAGTTCATGACAAGTAACAACTCGCTTGTCAGCTACGTTATATAATTACTTTTTATTTTACTTTTTATACCTAATAAATAGTTTAAGTTCATTTATATATATAAAAAGGGTTTTTTTTAATGCGCTTTTAATATTAGCTTTAGTATTTTTTATAGTTATTTTAAACAAATTTTATTGTTTTTATTATTATATTAACGTTTTTTTTGTAATCTAGGTTTTAAATAACTTAGCGTATTTTTAATCAATTTATTCTTTATATAATATCTACTTTTTGGATTTAAAGCGTTCTAATTTATATTTTAAAGGTGATTTAAGTAATTGTTATTTTCAATAAATAAATATTAATATTAAGTAATTTAATGTGACGAGCCGTCTAACCTACAAGGCTAAAGGGTTCTATAGGGTTTATGTTCTTAGGTAAGTCAACACAAAGGACGATAGAGGTTTCTGTCAACTAGAAGACACTCCGATGCTTGATCCAAGGTGATCCTGCTCACTGGCTCACCATGGTGATCCAGTGATCCAAATTCTTAGCCACGTGACCCAGGTTCTGCTAGTCACGTGATCTGTGTACCGTTGCTCCGATTTCTCCACTGGTCAGCACCACACTCACTGGTGAACCTGTTTCTAATTGTCTCCTCTGGGCCTGTTATCAGGCCGTACTGTTTGTTGGTTTGTAACACTTATATAATATACATATTATTAAACAGTTTTTTAAAGTCACTATATATAATTATGCGTTATTAACGACTTGAATAAGTATAATCTTTTAATCAGTAAATAACCCATTTTTAAGAAGATAATCCTATTTTTAAATCTATTAATATAGTTATCAGTTTTTTTTAGTTTTTTTTCAGTTTTAAACTAAACAGTTAAATTTAATATTTAAAAATTATATAGTAATTATAAAAGATAAAAGAACAAGTGTCGGTATAATATTATATAAATTCAAAATTTAATTGGTTTTTTTCGTTTTATAAAAACTAATAATACTTAAATTAATTCATATATTGTTTTCATTTTTTCATTTGTATAATTTGTCACGTTTTAATCATTAAATAAGTCCTTTTTATTATATATTATATTATTAAATTTGATTATAAAATTTTAATTATAACTTAAAAATTTTACTTTTTATAAATCAATTTTTATTTTAAAAAGGTAAATTTACCAATAAATCTTGGATCCATTAGATACCGGATTGTTAGGTCACTTAGCCAGACCTTCGAGTCCAGCTAGACCTCACAATCCAACCATCAGTAAGATTAGACCTTGACCAAATACTCGAGTATTATGATTGATCGTTCAAGCCTGTTCCAATAATAAGGATATATAGATTGAAAATTAATTAGCGTTTATTCTATTTTAAACGCTTAGATTTATTACTCACGAATTTAATATTAATAATTTTAAATATATAGGTATTTACTGATTTACAAATATAAAATTTATATTTATATTAAAATTAAAGTTTTATATTATTATTAAAAAGAGCGCCATTTATTGATATTATTTAAGAAAATAATATAATAATAATCTTGTTTGAAAACTGAATAAATAAATTATATAAACTTATTAACTTATTTTCTGATTTTTTTTATACTTGTAAATAGTTATGTAAACAATATAACGTTATAAAATATCGTAGCGGTCATAAAAGCTTAAATTTAATTCTTGAAAATTCAAAAATAATGAAATGTGTAAGGTATATTTTCGTAAATTAATTAATTACGCGGCCTATAAATAAATATTTTAGAAATATTTTATATATATTTTCGAGTTTCAAAAACCTATTATTATAGTTAATTTTCGACATTAAGCTGTTGAAAGGTATATAACTTTAAAAATCTTTTCTTATCTGATTTCATATTTGTTATTAATATAAAACAATTTTTTAACTTTTAGAAAATACTTAGTTACTTTTTATTTTAAAAAAACTTATTTAATTAAAAAATAATAATTGGTTTTTAAAAGCTTCATAATTATCATTTTTAATTATGTATTTTTTTAAAAATACGATAGTTTTTAAGGAAAAATAATATATTGAATTTATAATAAAGATAAAATTATTTAAGCCGCTTTAAAAAGATATAATTATCTTTCATAAGGTCTTTTTATTTTGAATCAAGTTTTTTCGCTTAATAAAAGTACATATAATAATAAAAGTGGTCATAAAAAGTGTAAAAAGAAATAGTTAAAGTAGTTAAAGTAGTTAAAGTAGTTAAAGTAGTTAAAGTAGTTAAAGTAGTTAAAGTAGTTAAAGTAGTTAAAGTAGTTAAAGTAGTTAAAGTAGTTAAAGTAGTTAAAGTAGTTAAAGTAGTTAAAGTAGTTAAAGTAGTTAAAGTAGTTAAAGTAGTTAAAGTAGTTAAAGTAGTTAAAGTAGTTAAAATATCATATATGTAGGAACAGGCTTGAACGATCAATCATAATACTCGAGTATGGGGTCAAGGTCATGATGTTGCTGATGGTTGGATTGGGAGGTCTAGCTGGACTTGCAGGTCTGGCTAAGTGTCCTCACAATCCGGTATCTAATCTCTTATCTAATCATATATGTGGATCCGGTATGAATGGTTTGAAGGTTGGAATCGCATGGATCCAACAATATAAAAGTTAAAAAAAAACGTTGTAATATTTTTAAAAAGTATTTAAAATGTTCAAAACAATAATATAAGGAGAAAATTTTATTTTATGTCGTCGCGATATTCAATATTACATATACTGAAAAACGATATAAACGAAATTATAATATACATTATACTATTATTATTTTATAATTATAACCTTATAAATATACGCGTAATAATAAGGCATAATAAGAAGTGTAACGGTTTAATTAGTACTTTATTGAATATTTTGTTTCTAATAATATTTTTAAAAATAACATTATAAACTGCCGTTTAGTGTGTATAATTTATCAGATTTATTTTAAATATAAAATATAGCTTTTATTTATAATATTTACGGCAATAAAAGTATATAACTGTCATGGTCTGGTACAGGTAGTCCATGTGGTGAGTCCTGGAGCCCGGATATGAGTACATGTACCACCATTGAATGTCAAGCTGCCACGCTTGATATTCGACACCCTTTTTGGGAGGAACAGCCGTAGCATAGTGGTTATGGTGAGCGTTCTGTTATAATAATGTTTTATTTATTAAATTACTACGTATTTCACGTATATTAACTCGTTTAAAAATAAAAGTATATATTATTAAATGAAGTATATAATCAATTAATGTTATTTTATAAAAAGATAATTTCGAAATATTGTATATATTTATAATATTTATAATAATATTATTATTATATTAACCTATTATTTAAGCTTATATAAAAAATACTCTTTGAGTTTTAAATAAAAAAGTCTATTAAATTCAGATAAATAGGTTTAACATGTTATAAGATATTTTAAGGTGTTATAATATTTTAAACTTAATTTATCAAAGATATTATAATATTTTTGCTAAAAACTAAACGTTATTATAAAAACCTTTTATATATGATAATAATAGCTGTTTTATTATAGGCCAGCGGGATAAACTAATGATATAATAAAAGAAATAGTTTTATCTTTATATTTTAAATTTTAAATTTTGGGTTTAAATTTAAGTTTCATAGAGTTTTATTTTATTTGTACTTAACGTAGATAACAAGCAAGCTGCAAATATAAGCCAGCTACAAGGTAGGGCTTCCCTATAAAAAAAGTCGGTGCATTAATTTTTAACTTCAAGAAAATTTTTTCGGAAAGATCTCGGACCTTTTTTTTAAGTTTATAACTCAAAAATACATCAATGTCACTTTTTTAAAGTTTATAGCTATTTTATTTTAAGATTCATTTTAAAATACATTAAAACTACCTTAATAAAAACCCTTTTTTAAGATGCACAGGCTATTAAATCAGTAAAAAGTAATTGCTATATATTATTATTATTTATAAAAAAGGCTATATTAAATATAGCAAGTCTGAGATTTTTCTGATTTTTTTGAAAGGTAGACCAACGGTTACGCACCAACTTTTTTATATATAAAAGCCCTACCTCGCAGCTCGCTTATATTCGCAGCTTGCTTGTTATTTACGTTATTGTTTTTAAATTAAAGTTATCATAACTGTCACGATTCCGTAAATGTATTACAAGGATACAGGGACCCTTATTAACTATTGACGTATAACGAACTCTGGTTGAAGGAAAAGAAAGATCTGGAGATGCACCCGAATTGGTGGGCAGCTAGATGTGGGCAGTCGTCCCCCACCAGACCCACCAGGGCATGGATCAACCTATCGTCCAATCAGTCATGTGCTCAGTCACGTGACCCCGGGACCATAGGTGTTGAATACGAGGGTCAATTGATGAGTGTATTATGATGTTGTGATCAGCACTGTCTATCTGTGTACGAGTTTTCAGTACTAGTTCTGCCCTGGTGGCTGATCGCCGTCTAATGCGCTGTCATCCACGTGACATGGTCAGTGCATGGCCCAAATGGTGCGCTGGTATCTGACAATAGGGACCATCGCTAGACCTGATGGATGGTAGAACCATCATAATAACCGTAAAAGTAGGGATAAAGCTATATATTATTATAATTATTATAATACTCGCTCTATTCAGCCTTTTCCGTTTATAGCTTAGCTAAGTAGTAGCGTGCGCCTTGTTGCAGCGTGGTCCCTGCACGCCGTAAAGGAATTGCCTAGAAAAGGCGGTACCCTAGATGCACGGGCCACCTACTTGCCTGTGGCTAAGATTTCGCCGAATACTTGAAGCTCTTTCCGAGCTGTCCCAAGAAGGCTCCATCAGTCTGGTGCGCGACCTCGCAGCGCAGTGCAGCTCGATAACTTCCCACAATGGCCAAAGATCAGGTTCCGACGGTCGGCACGCTCGACAAGCCCGAGAGCCCTTACGAGCTCCTGAAGCAGGATCGAGGCGAGGACTGTCTGTCTTGCAGAGTCGTAGGTCAGTAGTACCCCCGAACCCATTCACATGCGCCGCGTTGGCGAGAAGACCCCCATTGCCCCGAACTCTACTCTACGCAGCCTCTAGCTTACAATTGCTGACCCGATGTTGTAATACAGGCGGCAGCGCATTCCTCGGCCTCGCAGCATACAGCTACTTCTCCGGCCAGTCTCAACTCGAGCAGCAACGGGTGAAGATCCTCGCGAGCAAGTCCATGTTCGGCATGCGCAGCCGCAGGTTCGGTATCGCGGCTACGTCGATGGGGCTGGCTTGGCTGGGCGTATACAGGTTGTTCGTGTAGGAGAGATGCGCGCACTCGATCAATGCGATGATACGATGGAAAGAAACAAACTCTACTCTTGCGCCCCGAGCGAGCGTCGCGGACGGCTTCCAGGAGCTGGGAGGAGGGCCGACAGCAACACGGAGACAGACGCTGCAGAACGTGCTACACTATGGGTCGACGGACTGGTGAAGCCAAACATACGGTATGATGGACACTTTACAAGAGCACGATAGGCTGGGCGGGCCTTTGCGTGGATGTGCCTGAGAATCTACGTCGGGGAACATCGCTTCGCGAAACAAGGACGGACTGGGGAGAGCCCCCGGCCAGAAGCTGTGCAAGATGTGCGCATGTGTACACAGTCCACGGTGCAAACAGAATACAGGGCAGTCAGTTTGCGACCAGAGATCGGTGTATTCTGTGGTGCGAGATAAGGACACTTAAACAAATGCAAGCGCAGGCGGCCATATATGTACGAACGGGTGGACAGCGCCCCCTCCGGCTCCTACTACCGGTATTCTACAGGAGAGCCTTGACATGGGCACACGCAACGTGCGCCGCCCGCGGCACCTTCATGCTTGTCGCGGAGGCTGGCAAAGCCTCGTCACAAGGTCCTCGGGTGCGTCCATCCAGCCACTCATCGGGGAGTCCTTGGCGTAATCGTAGTACTCCATACTGAGCCATTCCACCTTAACCGTGTGCTTTTCGGCGTATGCTTTGATATGCTTCGTCAGAGCTGGCGATAGCCTCTTGAATGCAAGCAGGGCGTAGTCCAGTCGAGCAAACACATCCTTACTGGCTGGGTCGGCAGGCACGCTAACCTTGAGAATTACATCCATGCCCATTAGTTTTCGGGATTCAAGGCCGAAGATTACATTGAGCCCAGTCATGAGACTAAAGGGCACAAGGACCCTTGCTTCTTTGGAGAGGAAGAGAATGCCAGTGTCGAGAAAGTGAACGTGACCTGGGGAGTACCTCGTCAGTTGGTCAGGCCAGCGAGGTGGTGGTATCGATTTACCTTTCGATTTCTTTTTCAAGTCGGTGCCCGAAACAGGCTCCAGCGACGCCTCAACTTGGGTTATGACACCGGCGGTCTCCGTGTAGTCCGTGACGGCCTTGCCGAATGGCATGAGTTGCTCGTCCAAGACCTTCTTGCACACGGAGAGATACGTGTCTTTCTTAGCATCACCAGCACGGGCTGCAGCTCCACGAAGCTCCCCGTCCACCTTCTGATTGGGAAACTTGAACGAGATAAGCTGAGGATACCTGTTCTTGATGGGGGCGATGCCAGTGGCGGCAGAGGGAACGATGAATATCTCGTAAGCTTCCTTCTTCCGGGCAGACGACTTTAGGTTCTTCATGACGATGATCGCTTCTGTTCCTGTGTCAACGATGGCGTTCATGTTCGAGTCGCAGCCCCTAGCCTGTCCCGGCAAGCGGCTTCAGGGGCCAAGACTCACCTATTGAAGCAAAAGACAACGAGAATGCGGCGTCCATCCCCCACAACCCGCGCGGGCCATGGAGACGAATACCACCACCAGTCGGGCCGGAGATGACCTCAAAGCGCATCTCGCCCTCGAAGGCGACTGGAACGAGAGCCAGTCCGTCCGGACTAGGCATGTTGCCCCATCGGGACTGTCGTCCAGGCTTCCGCTACTCTGGCCTGGGACATCAGAGGTAGTGTCCGCAGAGGTAGAAGGTTGGATCTTCTTCGGTCGGGGACCAGCATCATCATCCGGGTTTTCGGTGGAGTCGTGTTTCCGCTTGGATGCATTCCCTGAGCGCCCCTGGAGGTGGCTTGAACTTGAAGACGCGTCGACAGGCTGCGCGCAAGCCGTGGAGGTCGCCCGTCGCGGAGGCATCTTGAATAGGAAGAGGAGAAGTCGTGAGTGAGACTCAATGGAAGAGAGTATAATCTCAACTTATGAAATAGAATTGAGCTCAAAAATCACTGGGTTTTGTCTCAATGTCGTGTCACAAAGCACTGCACAGCTGATGGACATCGCGACTGGGACTGCTATGATTGCTAGATGGCTAAGACGCGTCGGCACGTGACCACAAACATTTTCCAGTTGAGGCTTGCACCTTTTTAGCACAAGCTCTCTAAGAGGCGCATTTCTCGGCGTGCGAAAGAGGGTGCAGCGAAAAGGGGCTTCAGTCGGGACCCTGCAGATCGGGATCGTCAGGGAAAAAGAGACGGTCTGCTGTCACGGCTAAACTATTGCTTGATGCATTCCAGCGAAGATTGTCAGATGATTCTAGGGTGTTCAGGCAATCTATCAGAAAACGCGGTTCGCGACGTTAGATCGGTTGCCCGGGCGATTGAAGGATGAAAACGCGACGGTGGGAGGTGATGCCTGTTCGCATTGACGATAGCAGGAGGCCATCAACAAAATAAGAGGGAAAGAAACAATGTTTGGAAACTCCTTAGGCAGGCTGGCAGGATCCGGATTCGTGATGTTTGTTCCCACTTTGTCCAGGTCTCACCCACCTCCTTGCAGATGCAGGCCGTTCTGGTGACCAGTCATTGCAGCCAATTCCATTCCGCATCCTCGTTCCTGACTTGATGGATCAGTGGCCACACCGTTCTGACCGTGCCGCCGCGACCCTCGAGAGGCTCACGAACAGGACTGGCAACTGCAGAAGTCGGGTGGTATTTCATGCAAGGCCAAGGGCTGTTGCATCAACAAAACAATCGAGTCAAGGGGCCACTGGCCCTGCATGCAGCAACCAACGAGCAACGAGCGTGCACTTCAACTGCGGATTGAATTCACGAACAAGACGCCGGAGTGGGCAACGAGACAGATGGAACAAGGTCACGACTCACGGCATCATTGCATCAATCCCATGTACGCCGACCGTTTAAATGGTACGGGGCTTGACGCCACCGGCGAGGGGAACAGGCAATACCTGGTCATGCATATGAAAATATGCCGGGAATCATGTATCTGCGTGAACACTGAATGGGGGCCAATACGTCAGTTTAAGATTGCCCTTCCTCAATTAATTGCCCGGCAACCAGATCTTCTGTGGATTCGAAACAAGAAACAGTTGATGCAGGCAAATTGATCTATTTCTATTGCGGGTTGCAAGCAGGACATGATGATCATGAAGCCATATTTGCAGTAGACTCGTCACCTTGTATTGCCGAGCCAACTTGTCGTATCATCGCACATCCAATCTTTGACTACCCAAAGAGGACGCGAGAGTTTCAAACCATCAGTACACTTTTGCCAGGTCAATAATTGATACTTCTTTCTGATTGCAGTCCTTGAGTTGGACTTTGAAAAGTACCAGATATTTGAGTTGGGTCTTTTGGCGGTGATACCTGATATGATTGCATTGAGTGTACCTAGGCATACTGTCTGTCTTCGGCCTCAAAGTGAATGCAGATCAACTGACCACTTGAATTCCCAAAAGGGTAATGAGTGGTCAGGGCTTCTAGGGCTTAAGCTCAATTGGGCTAGCCACACAATAACAATCCCGAAGTCAGCAATTAAAGTGGCGCGACAGCAATACCTGCAACTATACCTAGTATGCACCTATTTAAAGTATTTTTTCAATTTATTTATAGCTTTAAACTAGCTATTAATTAAGTAAAGTAACTATATTAATATCTTATATAATAAAACCTAGCTACATACTTATTAAATAAAGAATAATTAATTACTTAATAAAAAGATATAACGTAGCTGACAAGCGAGTTGACATTACAAGCGAGTTGGCACTCGTCATGAACTCTCCAACTGCCATGTCAAATAACTTCACCACAACGCATTCAGTTCAATTCAATTAATCGGATTCCTCTTCCTCAGAGGTTTCTATCTCTATTGTACAAGTTCGCGCATTATGGCCAGTATTGCCGCAAACGCCACACCGTCACCCACACGCTGCCGCCCGCCTCGGACGACGACTACCTTCACCCATTTCCTGTTTTGCCAGCTCAGCACCATCCTTTGCAGCCTGAAGATCTACTGCATCTTTAACGGAAAGTACTCCTCCTTTCACTAGACGTTTGTTTTTTGTTCTCCAATGTTTACTTAGTAGGTGATTGGCCTCTTCTAGTTCGCGGACCCAGGAATCAATCAAAGCGACCTTATGCATAAGACCGTATGTAACCTTCGAAAATGAGCTCAACGCATCAACTATTGATGTAGGTGAGCTTCCCTGGTGGTTTCTGACTCGGTTTTGGATATAAACCGATTGGTTTACCGCTTCGTTAATGGTGGTAGGCGTCTTCGAAGTCCAAGTAGTGGGTGGCAGATTGGGGTCTGGCGACGGTGTTCGTATGACAGCGATAGCATCCAGCTTTGAAATGACACTCTCTGGGTCAAAAGGAACAAGCCCAGTGGCACTGAAACCTGCTCGAATGTTTCCTGGCGTCATAACAGCGTTGTGTGTTTCACAAAATGCTGCAAGGAAGTCCTCCTTTGAAACGTGGGTTATATGACGCCGGATGAGATCCTCAATCATGCGACCGTAAGCTCGTTTGAGCGGGCTAAAACAGCCGATATCTAGAGGCTGGAGCCTGTGTGACAAGTGGGCAGGCATACAAAGGGTGATAATGCCGTTGTTCTGACAATAATCCTCAAAGACCTGGGAATGGTGGCTTTCGTGACCATCTAGGATGAGGAGGCATTTATCGGCAGTCATACGCGGTCTGGTATACTTGTCGAAATGCTGAATCCATTCCAAACCAATCTCATTCGTGGTCCACCCGTTGTCGGACACGGCCACCTTCCAATCGCGTGGTAATATTGTGTTGCGATACAATGACGCGAGGTGGGTTTTGCCCTGTAGAATGATGAACGGCGGGACCACCCAACCATCAGCATTAACAGCAGAGATTGCTGTAGATCATTCCCTGTTGCCTTGCTGAGCTTGTCTAGGCCTGTCACGTCTTTCGGCGCTTGTAACGACCATGCCGGACCCAATAATGCCCATTATAAACCCAGTCTCGTTGAAGTTGTAAGTATCCGCGTCTTGAATACCATGTTTTGCGACTGCTGCTGCAACTTGGCAAAACCACGCGCGATATGCGTCTGGATCCTTGTTCAAGACCCTCTGGTAGTCTATTTTCCGATGAAAACGCGTCCGGAGGCCTGGTGTACGTTTGATGAAGTTCCGCGTCCAGTTCTTTCCAACGCGTCCAGCCCCACGCGCCGCCAACAATTGATTCGCCATATCTTCAACATAACTGTACCGGGGCGGAAATGCTCGCGCATCCAGGTCAAGAATGAAGGAACAAATGGCATTCTCTTCGGAAACCATAAGTTTCAAAGTATTGGGCATGCTGTCGCGTCGTGATGGCATTCCTTTGACTCTATTGCTCAAAGTGGAACGAGGGACGTTGAAGAGTTTCGCAAGCTGAAATATAGGAATATGAGGGTCACGTCGTTTAGCTTGAACAGCTAGCTGCAAGTCTGATTCGTTATAACGCGGTGCCATTGTTGTTGGTGGAGATATGATGGTTTGAATCGTATTGGTTGGAAAGTTCATGACGAGTGCCAACTCGCTTGTAATATCAACTCGCTTGTCAGCTACGTTATACTTATAATTTATTATTACTTTACTTTTTAATAATTATATAAAGTCTTTATAATACTAGTACTTATTAATATACTTAATATATACTTATTCTAAAGTATTTTTATCTCTTTAACTAGTAAGTACCTACTTACATTTTTACTAATATACTATTATAACGTTGTTAATAAACGTATAAAGCATTATATAACGTACTCAATTATAATATAACGTTATTAGCTATTTTATAATATATAATACAAAAATTAGAAGGTATTTCAAGCAATTAAAATCGTTTATAGTTAAAGCGTTTTAACTTTATTACCTTTTAAAAAATTAAGTAATTAATTTATAATCTCGCTTTAAATCACAAACTTAATACTAGTCGCTTTACCCGGCCGAACGATACTAATTAAAGTGATATCTTATACTTAAGTATAGGTAGGTATATATTGATAAAGAGCTCACTTATATAATCTAACCATACATATTTAAAGTTAAGATGAATATATCCGAAAACAGTTAACATATAAAGAGAAAGGCAAATATGTTTACAGTATAATAACAGGCTTCCCGGAGTTAATAGACTTATCTGTTGTTCCTACCTGGGTAGGTGCTAAAGAATTGATGATAGCTTCGTCCGGGCGATTATGCAAAATAACAAGGTGTGAGATTCTAGAAGGGTCACAAGCCTTGGGGGTGTGAGCGGTCGCTGCAAATGTTGTTGTCATTCTCAAGTATGCTCGGCAGGGCTAATTCACAGCTAAATACCATACTGCACCATGCCAGGGTGGATCCACTGTTCCCTTGACAGCCCCCTAGTGGGTACTGCACCTAAGGGCACTATATCTGGGATCCAACATCTGACACAAGGTATTATTTCGACTGTTCAAGAGGGATCCCGCCATTGGAAGTGACAGCCGGTCCGTCGCTGCCAGAGTGCCCCAAGTCCACTCCGGCTTAGCCTAGGGGCTACCTTAGTACCCGCTCCCACCTGCAGGCACTGGCAGACTGGGATAGGCAGCGATTAGGCGGTCATTCCAGTGGATTACCGCTGGAACAGCTTCTTATGCCATCCAATTCGATTATGCAAATTATTGAATTATTTCTCGTGCAATCAACCACGCCCCCCGTGCCGTCGACCTCTCATTTTCTACACCCCTTCCTAGTCCCCGTGACTCTCAATTCGACAGCTACCGGTAAGATTCTCTCTCCGTCAACAACGTCCAACGTCCACACATACCGCGGTCGAGTACGTTCACCACTGTTCTCGCCGTGTCGCGTCCCGGAATGCGGTAGCCCATGTCGATGCACTCAGCTCCTTAGCCGGACTGAGATTGATCGCGACTCTGTTCTAGGTGTTCTAGGGGGTTTCGCCTGCTCTCCTTGTCAGGTTGTCCGCTGGGAGTGGCCTGTGTCGCAATCTCCTGCGATCCCTAGATCCCGCACCGACCACAACTACCATCACGGATCCGTCACTGGACAGAGAACTGGACAGAGCGTGTCGACAGTCGTCCCTTATGATTAGCAGGGAGCATCAAGTTCCTGCTGGCCCAACACCAGCTGCGCAGTCACCAGTGTCACCTGTCCGATCGTGCGTCCCGCCCTCTTTACCTACACACCTACTATCTACCCTCGAAATGCGGTGTCGCCGCCTAGCTCCCTTAGGCTTGTAATATACTAACTCCGCTTATCTCATCAGAAGCAACGAAAACAAGGCCTTCACCACCAGCTCCGCTTCTCACGGTCCGATGCTGCATGCATCCTCGTCGAACAACCACTCATTGTTCTCCCTCGGTCGGAATGGCGCCCCTAGCGACGTAGCAGACACCTTAGCAGACACCTCGAGCAGCTCTTTCGACTTCCTACCGTCTGTCAACTTCGATGATCTTCAGAGTAGTCTCGAGTCTGCCTCCACCGACTTCAAGCTGACCCAGTTTCCCTCACCCACCGGTCAGGGTGCCATTCTCGACGACGACGGACCTCTGGTCGACAAGATGGCCGGCCAGCAGACAAACGTCACCCAGAATGGAGGAGCGACCCGCGTCGCCATCCAGCCAAATCCGACCCCCAATACCGCTTCGAGACCTGCTAGATCCGGGTCTATACTGAGGAGGCCGAGTCTGACTGGGAGACAGGTCGGCAACGGCAATGGGACTGTACCCGCATCTTCGGGCGTCATCGATGCACCAACTGCCCCGGCCGCGATGCGGAATCGACGTCAGAGTCATTATCCCCCAGTTTCTAACAGCAACATTGGGAAACCACCGAGGAAGTCCATTGGTCCGGGCGTCATTGATTCTGATTATGGAACCAAAACTGCCCAAAAGCGACGGCCTAGTCTGATGTCTAATACAACCGACAGGAATGGCGACGTGACCCGGCCGTCGATGGACACCACGGGCGGACAGGCCGACAATACGAGAAGCTTTGCGTCCTCGCGGGCGAATAAGACGCGTTCTGTACAGCCTCTCCCGAGATTGTCCGCCAACTTCTCTGCCAGCACCAGCAGTAATGCTAGTTTGGATCCTGAGAAGAGTCGGCTTTCCACAGCGTTTCCGAGGTCACCAAGGGGAGGAGGTGGAGCAGGAGGAGGGTCGAAAGGGTCTACACCGAATTCGGCGAGAAGGATGTCGGTAATGCCTGGTTCCCACGCGACCGGACTCGGGGCGAGAACCATTTCACCAACCGACGCCCAACGCATGAAGCGCATGTCCGCGCATCCCCAGAGCCTCGCATCGGTCGCCAATGCGCCCCCGCCCCCTCCTATCGACGTACGCCCACACTCGCGGTCTCCGTCGATGATTCCCCGAAAGACTTCCACGCCGTCATCTTCGAGAACGACACCCGATATCAACAACAGGAAATCGTACAGTTCTGGATTGTCCGTTGGCTCGACTACTAGTTACAATACGCACCGGACATCCACGGGCTCGATAACACGTGCTTTCTCACAGGGCGGTCCCAGTTCTCGACTACCCGCACCCAAAGGCCTGAACATACACAATGCTCCGCCGGCTGAGGAGGAGGAAGATGTACCGCCTGTTCCTGCTATTCCTAAAGCCTATGAATCGCCCAAGGACTCGCAGGCGGAACTCTCTTGGCTTGACAAGAGGAAATCGAACTATGCCTTTGAGACGGCCAGCATTCATAGTAATTCGACCGGTACGCTGTCAAACGCCCCATCGCAAGAGCCGTTGAACACAGGACAGCCCAAGGCCGGAGCTCGCAAAAACCCCCCGAGGAAGACACAAGCAGGTCCCTCTGCTGATATCGAACGGAGAAGCAATGCAAACGCATCAAGGAAGAACCTGCAGCCGTTGAGGCTCCCGCCTCTGAATGTAGGTCCTTTGAGCACTCCCACTGCCGCCAAGATCGCGGCCTTGCAGGACCAAGGCCACGACGACGGCAAGCTGAGCCCGCCACCGTCCCGGATCACAGCCAAGACTCCGACAACTCCCATGACTGCCTCAAAGAGCACATTCTTCTCCCGCCGCGCGGATCGAGATCAGCATGTGTCCGCCCCTCGAAGCAGCAGCTCAGTCCACCACAGCCGCGTGGAAACCCCAACGGCAGGAGACGCAGAGAGCTCATCCGAGTCTTTCCTGGATGCCTTGAACAAAACGCCTTCGCGCAAGCCGACTGTCTCTCCATACCTCTCATCATCTGCTCCTAAAGGTGGCGACACTTTTGGCAGCCTAATGACCAAGTCCAAGACCACAGGGGATGTGAATCAAACAATCACGGTTAATACTAGTGTTGATACGAGACCGCAAAGGAAACCAACGGGGCCGAGGGCACCAAAGCCGCCGAAACTGGTAAACAAGTCCCCTCCACCTATCTCCAGTCCGGAAGAGCAAGAGCCGCAAACTCCGTCTTCAATGAGCAACCTTCGAAGGAAGCTCAGTCTTTCGTGGAAGAGAAGCAACTCCAAGGGTAGTAATCATCAGCCGACAAGTTCTGTCGACAAGGCAACCGACAGGCAGGCGCGGCAGGATAGTATGCCACCACCTCGGATACCACTCTCAGCCGCAATGAATTTGACCTCGGGTAAAGCTTCCAGTCCAAGCCATGCGGCGAAGCCATCTGCCGGCTACCTGAACTCGAAACGAAGGAAGAGTTCTGCCTCGAGCTTGAATGCAGTAATGGCACAGGAGAAGAGCCGGACAACCTCCAAGAAGGACGTGGGCAACAGCTCGATGATTGAGACGTCTACGCAACCTCGAAGCTCGTCGATTCAGAAGATTCTTCGTCCGCGGCAATCAGTTGCCTCGATCAAGCGCGATGATCCGTACACTGCCGAGTTGGATAGAGACGATCTCGTCGCTGAGGATGAAATGAAGAAGCTGGCTTCGAGGAGGAAGGAGACGGAATTGGCAGCTCGTACTTTGGATGCGCTCCATAAGAGGGCTTCACCCAAGGAACGTGTGGGTCCTCACGACGCCATTCGGATCGCCATGCTGAACATATACGAGAGAGGCGAAATTGTCGACTACAGCGACATATACTTCTGCGGCACCCAAAACGCCAGCAAGGTCGTCGGAGACCTGAATTCGACTAGTTTGCCGAACTTCGGCTACGATGACGACCGTGGTGATTACACCATCGTCGCCGGTGACCACCTTTCGTATCGCTACGAGATCGTCGATGTGCTTGGCAAAGGAAGTTTCGGACAGGTCGTAAGGTGTATCGATCACAAGACTGGTGTTCTTGTCGCAGTGAAGATCATTCGCAACAAGAAGAGATTCCACCAGCAGGCTCTTGTTGAAGTCAACATCTTACAAAAGCTCCGTGAATGGGATCCCAGGAACAAGCACAGCATGGTCAACTTCACCCACAGCTTCTACTTCCGAGGACATCTTTGCATCTCGACCGAGTTGCTCGACATGAACCTCTACGAGTTCATCAAGTCCAATTCCTTCCGCGGATTCTCTCTCAAACTCATCAGACGTTTTACCAAGCAGATGCTCAGTTCCCTCAACCTGCTTAAGCAGCACAAGGTTATCCATTGCGATCTGAAGCCCGAGAACATTCTTCTTCGACACCCTATGCACTCCGAGATCAAAGTTATTGATTTCGGCTCGAGCTGCTTCGAGACGGAAAAGGTATACACCTACATCCAGTCCCGGTTCTACCGATCTCCCGAGGTCATCCTTGGCATGACGTACGGGCTTCCCATCGATATGTGGAGTCTGGGATGCATTCTGGCCGAGTTGTTCACGGGCGTTCCAATCTTTCCCGGTGAGAACGAGCAAGAGCAACTGGCCTGTATAATGGAGGTCTTTGGTCCGCCCGAGAAACACCTGATTGAGAAGAGCACGAGGAAGAAGCTCTTCTTTGACTCGATGGGCAAACCCCGCCTGACCGTCTCTTCCAAGGGCAGAAGGCGACGCCCGTCCTCAAAGACACTGCAACAAACCCTCAAGTGCGACGATGAACCGTTCCTTGACTTCCTCACGCGGTGCTTGAGATGGGATCCAGATCGTCGCATGAAGCCGGAGGAGGCTGTTCGCCACGAGTTCATCACTGGGCTGAAAGCTTCAGTTCCCATTCCGCGGACTCGAGAATCCTCGCCAGTCAAACGTAACAACACAATAAACACACCAAGACCACTTCCCGAACCACCTGCGGGTGCCAAGAGCGGCTCGGTTTTCCGCCAACGGGAGAGCTCCAATGCCAGTCCTCACAAGGCGGTTGCCGGGTCTAGGCGAGCCTCTGGCATCAATGGCCCAACGACAACTGGCACCGGTGCAGGTATCAAGCGAATAAGCACTGGGAACGGTGCCGTTTCGACCAGTAGTATCGGCAGCAGCCTCCCCCGTGTAGCTGGCCGAACAGCTAGTGGCAAGCAAGACCTGGCCTCGGCGGGTGCGAACGTTGCTATGAGTCGACGAGCTTGAACGCAATGGATATATCTTGACGCAGGGTACGACATGAGCTCGCAATGAGAGTTTCGGCATGCATGACGAGGTCCATTGGGTATTTCTTTTCGGCCGTATACCACAGGACGAACTCGACGAACTGTGGGTTTATAGATTTGGTTTCAGCATGGCGGCGCGATATGTTGTAAGCATTCTGGAACAAAGGGTTTCGGCAAGCGAGCGTACAAATTACACTTACTCCCGACCTGAGGACCAGTACACTACGTCCTCTATTTTTCGAACATTCCCTTCGCTATATACCTGGCATACCCTCCAAGCCAACGGAGGCATCACGACAATGGAATGACAATCGGCACCGCTTCACACAAGATCAATGGTGGGAAGTGGACGCCTCTAAGGGGTTCTTGAAAAGGACACCACTTCTGTTCTTCTGGTGCATGTACTATACTATCTTATAATGTGGGAGTGGTGAGCGCCTTGGCTTAAGCGTTACCGACGCTTCCCGTTCCGGGGCATTGTTACAACTCACCCGCTTTGACAAGGAGATTCAGGCTTTGTCCCTGTCGATGTTTGAGTCATGTAACCTACTCAGCTTTCCGACATGCTTGGAAGGGCTGGTGGGCATTACACACGGCTGGCAGGCACTCGGGCTGCTGGATCGGTGGACGGAGGAATGACCGCCACGGTGCCCCCTTCTATTACTCCGTGTTCTTGCGTAGTACCAAGCGGGCACTGATGGTGTAAGGGAGAGGTACTGTGCTATTATTGCACAAATACCAAATCAAGCAATGTACTCGGATTACCATTAGTTGTGCCCCTCCGTCTCATGTTCCAAAGCTACGTTGTATGAGTAAGGAATATGTAGATGCATGGATCTGCTTCCTCGATCCCCTTTTCTCCTGAACTGCTTCGTGATCGAATTGTTCCCGTTTTCGTTAACTAATATAAATCACGATCCAATGGCGCGGCCAAGAGGCCCTGTAGCACCGCCAGAAGGAAGGGGATGGACATGATATGTGCTTCCTTCTTCCTCTAGCATGCCCCCCTTCCTTCGACTGTCGCCGAGGGCCGAGGGACTGAGGACCGTGTATGAGAGGTACGGGACCGACGACGACGACGACGATCGCTTCGCCGTGCATCATCCAAGCTCCTTGTCATCCAAACCGCAGGTCTCCAGCAGATTCTGCGTCAGGTTCGGCGCTCGATCGTACTCATCCTTGCCGAGGTAGCGGTCGCCCCATTCCCCGACGGTGTTATCGTACGTGGTCTGCGGCTTCGCCTTGCAGATGTGCAGCATGTTCTCTTTCAGACCCTTCATCAGGCCTAAGCGTGGATACTCCTGTCTCAGGGTAAGTAAGCTGTCATGTACATCAGTGGCTCTGCTTTTTTAGGAGATAAAGCCTACCTACCTTCACGATGGCGTTGTACTCATTCCACGTCAACAGGCCGTCCGATACCCGAATCAGGCCCCTGGAAGTCGGCCCAGATGCCGTATGAAGTCGCCTGTACCTCTGGCTCCTTCTCGAAGACGATGCTGCCGGTGGTATGCAGTGCGATGGCATCCCAGACGAGCTGCAGGCGATGCTTGTCCCATTTGTCCGAGTCGTCGCCGGCAGCCTCCCGCTTCAGAAAGGCCCTGGCGGCGTTGGCGCCGTCCACCTCGAAGCGCTTGTCGCTGCTTAGTATTTTGCTGTGCGGCGGGTGGCCGATGGGAAAGCCCAGGTCGTGGAGCACGGCGGCGACGGCGTGGGCTTCGCGGTCGCGATTTAGGAGGGCTGGGATCTTGTCGGAGATTACGGTGCCCAGGAGCAGCGAGCGCACGATATGGTTGTAGGTGTAGTCGGTGCTGTGTTGACGGGCGTAGTCCAGCGCCGCGGTGATTAGGGTGGTGTTTGGTATGGTTACGCCGGCGACGGTCCTGGTTGGCAGTCCGCTCGTCATTTTGTCCAGTCTGTCAACCTGATTCGTACTGCTAGAGCCGATGTTGTTGTCTTGTCAAGCTGTGGCGGGGATACAAATACGACTGAGGGGTGGTCAGAAATCACTCGGGGGTGAGCGTCCGCTTTACGCAGCTTCGCAAGCTCCATTCGTGGCTTGTTGAGTTGTCACCCAATCCAGTAGCTATATGCACGTTGCTGCACTTTCAGCTCGCTTAGATATACATGCAGACAGATTGCCGGTTGTCAGGATATAATGACATTGGCCAGCGCATAGTTTATTGGGAGATGAGGCAGAAAAAGAAGTCCAGGAAAGGGATATCTATGAAAACGATGCTCGTTAGTACGCTCATATACTCAAAACTTCACAAAAGAATGTGGTGGGTGGAAAGCCGTCGTACAACCTGGTTTCTCCTTTTGATGTGTGCCGCGGTCGACGATGTATGTGTGTGTGTCTGTCTGCCTCTATTGGTCTTCACTACGAGATACGCAAAGCAGGTAAGTTAGCAGAGGAGTTGCCTTATTCTGTGCCGAGGCAGTCCGACTGTGCACTATTCTCTTCCATCCGTCTCAACACCACGGGCGTGATACTACCCGGGGGTTCTCTAACACCCTGCTCGTCTGGTGTTCCAGTTGGTGTCCATACATCTCCACACCAATAGCTCGCTCGACTTGTCTGCCTGGGAGCAGAAATGAGCAATCGGACGTAAGAATGTCCTGTCTACCATGGAGTGCCGCTGGGATAGGGGGTCTGATGGTGGTGGTAGTGGCTGGAGAACTCGACTCCGTTCATACATATCATTTCCAATTTTCCCCTCTCCCTTCGCGGTTGGCGACCACGAGTATCCATGTATGCTTGCTCTACTTTTAAACCCATCGGTAAACCGATATGGAAGAGAACAAAGGTTCACTGCAGCACAAGGCGCCGTAACACTGCTTCTCGGTGTAAGGCTGAAACCCACCCGTAACCTGCATATGCTGCAGGCAGACTGCTGCTGCTGAGACCTGCTCGCGTATAGATACTTAGGGTAGGTAGGTAGCGGCGAATACGAAGTACTTGTATGGATGGTCCTGTTCTGCTCCTGAAAAACTTGGTGTACTCGCTAGCATTATGAGAGCAGTTGTGTTGATCATCTGATACCCGCTGCTGAACCGAATCACCACTGCCCATCCTACTCAGATACGTGCCACGTGTATACGGGCCCGAGAAAGAGGCTCATGGGAACGTGGCACACAACAAACTCGGGCTGAGTAGCATCGAGAGTGTTCTCTCGCGTGCAACGAGCCGGGGGGTTCTGAGCATTTTGCCTTCGGTGACTGGTGACCGACTGCTACCGTCACACAAGACGCCGTTACCGACAGCAGACGGGCAGGTGCACAGGCCGCCCATGCACGCACGCCGTGTCTTGCTGATTAACGGAAACTGCAGCACGAGGCAATACAACTCGCCATGACAATAACGTGACCGGATCCCACCTCCTCATCCCACCGTCCCCCCGTACCAGCTGTGCCTCCACGTGTGAGTGGGCCTTTGCATCATGTGAGTGAGACGCCCCCTTTCGACGAACCGACCACTCATCGCCCCGTTCCTTGGGGACGGCCACCCGCGCTGCCCCTGACCATGTCATGGGATTTCGGCGGATTCCTTGGGGGTCAGGATGGACACATGGTGATGCCATGAGCTGGGCATGGCGAGGGGATGATGGCTACAGGGGCGCTGGGAACGGGTATGCGTATCAATGTCTCAGCCACCTAGCAAGTCAGCAAGTCTTCATCTCAAACGGGAGTCCCTTGAGTGTTCTGCATCGGGCTTTTCTACTGGAAGGATGGCCTTCAGGAAGCATTATTGCTGCCGTCTTCGTAACGTGATGTGCCTTCTGTAAGCTCTGCAGCTCCGTGCGAGGTCTCAGGGGGTGTCGACCCCAAGTCGGAGCCGGATCCCGAGAGCGTTATCTCTACTCTTCTATGATTAAACAGTACGACCTCCCATTGGACCCTCAAGCTTTCATGCACCCATCATACGCAACGGACATTGGTTGATGCATGTGGCTGAAGGATGGATGTTGATAGTCCAGTAGCAGCGTACTTACCCAGGGGTTACGGAAAGATTGCCACATGAAGTTGAAAGGAAGCATGGGGACTTCAGCGCATGATGGAATCAGGCCGCGTGGCATCAGGCGGGAAACTCCCATAATCCGAGTGCTTGACGCACCGCTGACCTGTGATTGCCTTCCAAGGTTGTCCCAGCCATCGGACTTCCAGGCATCGACTTCCCACGTTCTTGCAGCTCCCTAATCGAGATCGCATTTTCCGCTCTATTTACGATTAGTTTCGGCAGATAGGAGCGAATTCCGGAGCACTCAGAGTCACAGGGGCGAAAAACAGGTGTCATCCATGCATTGGTTAGTATGTGACGTACTCTCACTGCAGCTGTTGCATATGACTGCAGCTTAGTGTAGCACTCGCTCGCATGACACGGATGTATTTGGCGGATCGCTCGACTGTCAAGGTAGCACTGCTCGCAGAGAGGCACGACACGCCATGCAGAAGTTGGGGAAGAAAAGGACTGGGAGATGCACACTGAAGGCCCATGATACCGGTGTCATGCATGTCCAGAGTACTGGAATCGAAGCCATGTACCTGGTTGGACAGACCTCGTGTCCGCATTGAGGCTCGGCTGAGTGGCACTTGAGCTGACCTATGCAGTGAGCAGAGTCAGACATCGATGCCTGCGTGCCAAACAACGTGCATACTTGATGATTACACCATGACACGCCACGGTGAAGTCGTGCAAATATATATGAGACAGCCCGTTCTTCCACCACCGTGGGGTGCACACGAATCAAGACATGAGCATTAGGGGGGACTATTTGAAGAACTTACTAGATGTCTACCTGCAGTCATGTTCCCAGTACCTTACATCGCAAAGGGGCAACGTGGGGGTCTCGGGACTGTTTTCTGTGTGGTCAGACAAGCCTAGTCCTCTTGAGTAGGTACTTCCCTGTGAGGACGAGCAAGCTCAAGACAGACGCCATAACCAGGACTGCCTTCTTTGGCATTCGAGTAGCCGCCCTAGTGTTGGGAAATTCTCTGTTGATAGGCCTCGGGGACCATAAAACGAGGTCCTGTTTGTTGTACGGTAGTAAGCATATACCACCAGCTTCAGCAGGTTCATCGTACTCGGGGTTCCCAAAGTACGGAACGAAGACGATGAAGAACACGGCACCAACGTATTCCAGGCCGCCATGACACTAGTCAAGCTGGTCATTCCCTGAAGTAGGGCACCATGTCACTCAGTTGATGCAGCACATCAGCGTGGTAATTGATGTCACTGCCGAAGGAACCTGTCCTGGATGTCCCGAGGCGTCGATATGCGGCCCCATCCTACCCGGGTTCCACAGGCACGACCGCCGGCGGCAGTGGCAATGGCTCAGGCCGTGGCATGTTTGACACGCTGAGCTCGGCCGCGTCAGCCGATATGACGACGCAGTATAGCTCTACGCCCAGTCCGGGTGGAGGCTGCTTGCAATCGGTGGTGGCTGGACCAAGCTCATAATGGAGCTGGCAGGTGATGTCGACAAGCATTAATCAGGTCTGGTCATATCCTTCGAGCATGGCGCTGAAAGGAATTCTCCGACTCCTGGCTAACTCTGACTTTTAGACCCCAAAGGTGCTTCCCGCGTGACTTGCAACACCGCAGGTTGTGCATTCCCACCAGGATAGAGGTGTGCCTGATGACTGCAAACCGGGTGATGCCTTGCCGCGTAGAGATGGTGGCATGTGGTGATAGGATGGGCCTGCTGCAGGACGAACTCGTAGCGGTGTACGCAATTGATTAACCAACAAGGTTAAGTCAGCGATGATGTAGACGATGACCGACTCCGAGCTCAGATGATTACCTGATGCATATGGTTGCCTAGGATTTGGGCATCTGGGTTGTCAGATGAAGCACCGAGTGGGCCGCAGCTGTCAGGTAATCTGATAATTGTTAACGTCTCCGCCGGCCACGCCGGTGAGCCGGTGGAGTAGCCAGCGGGTAGCTTCGCCGGCTTTCGGGGGCTGGAGGGGGAATATGGGAAACATGGGAAACATTGGTAGGCATGTCGACGCACACCGGCACACCAGCACACCATCACAGCCAGGCGGCATTTCATCCGTGTTTTTGAATCACCCAAATCGGGCTGTCGGGTTCCCAGTTCCCAGGCCTTACCAGACGGCCAAATTGAGGTAGGCGTCCTCATGTTGGAAATGGCGGGCTCCGTGACGGTTGGAAGTTGGAACTTTGGAAGCCACTGTTGAGGCGCAGTGTCGCAGCGTGCAGTCACTTGATGGACACCTGCACAGCGTTGCCCGTTGTCCGTTGCCCGCAGCAGAGGGGGCCCCTCCTTGACCTCCTCACCCCTGACAAGTTTATCTCGGAAAACCCAGCCAGCCAGCAGTAGGGGTGGCGGTTGGCTCACTTTGCGAGACCATCCCACACATTCCCCACGTCGACGCAGATCATGAAAGTCGTCGGGTGGTATTGAGGTCAGCAAGGCTGACCGCAGTATAGTGATGAACAGGCTAGACAGGCCGACCGATCTTGACGGCCTTGATGGCTTCACATCCTCAACGTTGAAGGGAGGACAGTGGAACACCGCAACGACGTTGACGGATCCCGTCGGACCCCCGAATTGAATAACTAGGTACCAATATGCAATTGCTTGCCGGAGCCCTGGAACCGGCCTCCGGACCAATCAGAATCCACAATTCTGGTCAGCCACACCACCAGCCATGGCCCCTACATCCACCACATCCTCCACATCCCAACCACCACATCCACCACACGCACATACACATACGGACTTCTCGAACAACCTGTCATCACCAGGGCACCTGTTTCTGGTGTCGCGACCATGCTTAATCGCTTCAGCTCGCCCAGGGCTACACGAGGATGTCAGAAAACCCCCGAAAACTCGACATATAGATGACCCCCGAATTCAATTAGTTCAATTCAATTCGGGAGGGCTCGAATTGAATTGCAGTGGTTCATCAGGGTCCGAATTAAATTGATTGAGTTGGACTTGTTTAACTTGAATTTGTGCGCTTCGCAGCCATGAGCACGTAATAAGAAGAAGCTGATACACACGCCAACGCCTAGCTGTCAACCCAGTAGGGACTGCATGCGTATGATATTATCTTCATTCTTCAGTACGGGGCATTGAAGTTGACTGAGCAGACGGGCAACGGGACGGACATCTCAAGGGTCCGGGGTTGGCGAATGCGAACCTTGGAAACCCCGGCCATCGGGCGTGACCCAGCATTCTGGAATGGTTGCAGCCACGTCGATCCCTGATGTGATGCCGGGTTGTCAAGTGGGATGCCGGGCGAGATGAGATCTGCCTATGGGATACCAAAGGGCGAATGACAGTGTTTCAGCTCTCGATTCCCGAAGCAGAAGGGTGCAGGCTGCAGGTCGACAACACCGAGGTGTATGCAAGATAGCGGAGGTTTCTGGTCGAGAGTCGAGACGGAGGCCTGCGCTGCTGAATATACTGCACCAATGCGACATTTCCATTGGCTGGTCATACGAATTCTCCCAAGTTACAGCAGGTTGCCATGCACCACCCCATAAAACCCGCATTGGTTCGTGCACTTCCAGAACAACATTGGAAACATCAAACATGCGCTGCAATTCCAGGAACATTATGGAAGGACACCTACAACGGACCCTGACGTCTAAACTCCATACCGAACAGTACATACATGTCTGCCGATATAGCGAGCACCGCTCTTCTACGGCTAGCATATTCTTTGGGACCACATCTCGAAGTATCTTGATTCGGATTCGGGCTTGCTCTCACCAGCCTGTGCGATGGTAGCGACCGATGCATATCTACATGTTGGTATGATGGTATCTACCTAGGTAGGTCCACAGCCTGATGCACGCATGGGTTGGACAGACCCGATCGGTCGTCTCCAGATCGTCAGACGTACGACAGCCAATCGTGGCCGGCGCCGGTGGCTCGAGGCTGTCGGGTTGCAGCCACAACTTATAAGTTACAACCACAGGCCTGCTTATAATAGTCCTGCAGGGTCTGAGGGTTAGCCGGCATACCTAGTCAAGGTCCCGCGAGATACAATCTCGTCATCTCGTCTCGTCAGCTTAACCAACATCAAGGGTAATAGTATCCACTCCAGTGCCCACCGGCCTGGCTGTGCCTCTCCCTAGGCCCTAGGGGTGATAAGTTTGCGTCTAAATTCAGAACGACCTTGTTCGACTCTAATTCGAGTCGAAGCAAGGGGAGCAGGGGGGGATTCTCCCGAATCCGTTGAGCGGGAACCTCTCAGCCGCAACCCGCTACCATGATCACCATAATCATCATGATCAGAGGCTAGGACTAGCATCCGTCCAACATCACGTCCACTGCCGGGATTCCGATGAACGCCGTCCTCACTGCCGCTCTCATCATAACTAGCATCATGAAGCGGATACCTTATGACCCTACCTAGGTACCGGTATTAGGTAAACCAAGCCGCATACCCGTACCCGCAACTCCTCCTCGCCTGGACCCGCTATTAGGAGGCATACGATGGGTTCCACAGACGGCAAGGCTGATTCGCGATACAGGTACCAATGTTACAAATCATCAGTCGAGTGACAACGATGAAACCAGGCCACCGCGGTGCATCACCTCAACGACTGCCGCCAAACCGTGTAGATCTTCCAGCGGCTGCTCGGGCGCGGAAGCTTAACGAAAGGCCTGTCAGGGGTGGCGTGGATCCATCCCAACGTCCCGTTGCCCTCCAATCGCCCCTGGTACCGGTATGCGGAAGCCATACGCTATGCTACCCGACACGTTGCGGCCGCCGAACGCTCCGGGGTGCTGACAAACGCTGCAAAGCCGGGCACCAGTGTAGCCTGAAATCTGGCGGTTCTTCCTTGAGATCTGCATGTTTCCTTGTCTGCTTCTTTACTAATAAGTCGAGATGACAAACTACGCGGGCATATCGTAAGCACGAATATTGCTCTGCATGCCGCGTAGGATCTCATTGTTTCATAATCGCTGGGCCTTTGCGGACTGGTCACGTTTGCTGGACAAGTGTGCTCGAGCCGACTACCTATCACCGCCTATCTAAGTTGTTATTTGGCATCGCGGGCGGCTGCTATTCATGTGTGCCCTCTCGTCTCAGGCGCAAGCGCGGTGACACAAGGGACTCTTCTTGAGAATGGCCCCCACGCGCGGCCTGCCTCAAACATACGGCACAAGATCCGTTACACCCGCACGGAGGTACAGCACGTACATTTGAGCAGCATTGAAGCCAGCATATAAGAAGAGGATGTACTACATGTTATCTGGCTCCTATGTCGTTAGTCACCAGGTACAGAGAGCAAAATATCTCTGGTGCCAGTTACGTACATATGTACCTCATGGCCGATGCAGTCAAGGTGCTGCGGCATCAGCCCTGCTGCAGTGGAGTGTCTCCAATCCAGGCACGCCAGGACAGGGGCGGTATGACTCTTTCTCCGAACGACAAACGTTCATTCGGATCGCTGTCGTACACAACGCTATCACCGCCAGCCGAAACCCCCCGGCGCCCTTCCATTGCACCGGCATCCTCCACCCCACTCTCGTTCTCGTCACTTCACCTCACTGCCCCAGGAACGAGAGCAGGGTCGTTTCTGGCCGCCGCCGACCTGCAATCTACCTGGGTACCTGCTGCTGCTGCTACTGCTGCTGGTACCTACACCATGTACCATACCCTTCCACTGGCCTGCCATCCTGCCCAGTACCCCTACGACACTAGCGTCCCCCAAACCCATAGCCATCCATACATGTATGGACATACCTACCTTCGCTCTCCAAACGACGACTGCGCATGCACTCACCACCATGGCAAGCCTCAAGGCAGCTGCCACCCCTGCGCCTTCTTCTTCCCAGGTACCATAATGGTTCTGTGTCCTGCATTCTGGCGTGTACATGGGACAGACACAGATACGGACTGAGTTGATCACCTAATAAGTACCTAGCCGACTCGAGGTAAGATTCTTGCGTCACTGCTGCCTTCTGGTCTGGTCCCTGTCGCCCAGGCTGCAAACGTATAAGGCTACGATGCCTTCTCGCGTTGGGCCCTGGGAAGCGTCCCTTCAACTCAGAGTCATCTGCACACTCACTCCCAAGCTTTCCCTTTCGTGTCCTTTATAGGTCGGCTTCTTAATCCATTTCTGTTTCCTTGCCACTGTCCTCGTTGTGCTCTTGTCTCCTCTTGTTTTAGTCATTCATGGTGACCGTACAACCACCACTACACCACCACAGCCATACAAACAAGCATCACACAGTTATCCAGGCCAACTGCCTACCCTCTACATCCACGTTCCCTGTTGCTCGCCCTCGTCGTCGCCCGAAGGACCTACCCGAACGCCCCTTCGTCTCCCATAGCTGTCCCAGCCACCATGTGTTATCAGCTACTCGAGATATACTCGGCATGTCGCTGCCTCTACTACCAGCACTCGGTTGATCGGTGTGCGGCATACGGTCGACCGGGTCACGGCGTCACCAAGAAAACCATACTGGTGGGGTATCAATGCCAGGAGCACTCGCAGTCGAGTGGCTATGGCTCATACGCTGGCGGACAGACATATTCAGACTCGGGATACTACAGCGGCCAGTCGGCCAAGGACTCACGTCGCCAGCGTCGATGAACGGTCCTGTCTTCGGTAACGGACTGCATCTTGCGGTCATGTCCGCCATTGCTCGCTTTCGAGTTCGGGAGCTGGGTCTTGTATCTCTACTCATTTAGACCCAGACCGAGAGATATGTCGCCGTCTCGTCGGCCCTCACAGCTTTCGCTACTGTTCGTGGGTCACGACCGCCTTGTGTCAACGTCGGCTCCTCCCGCCGTTCACCAAGGCAGGCGATTGGACCTTGAGAGCCCCCGTGCGGATCCCGCCACTCCGATACGGATGCCGTGACGCCACAATGTAAGCAGACGTTATCGAAGACGAAAAGACGAGTGAATTCACTCCGGAACCCTAACCGACGACACTTACCGACAGCTCTGGCCGTTGCCTACTCACGACGGTCATGTTACCTTGTCATCACAGCACACGCCGCCACGATCTTGACTTCACGACTTCGACGACGACACATCTTATACACCTCGGAAACATCACAACTTCCTTCCTTCTGGACCATGGGCTTGGCTAGCGTAGCGTGTCTGGGCGCATACTTCTTGCATTGGGATACGAAGAACACATGAAAGAGTCGGGACTTAATATGACTTCATACACGACCGGGACCACCCACCCGAAGACACACGAATGGGACGGCCCTGATATGAAGGTGTTCGGAACAGTTGGACATTATCTTTCTTCGCGGCATTTTGAAATTATGGGACTCATGCATTGGGCTACGGGGCGGGATATACCAGGCGTTTTTCTAGGATGGGATGGTTGAGATTTTCAGGTTTTCAGATTCCTTTGGGCGGATGTTTGTGCCAGGTTCTGTTTCTTCATCCAACCTACATCTTCTCTCATTCCAACGTTTCTTTCGTCTTCATGATCAAGGCCGCAAGTCTTTGGGTCATCGAACTTTTCACATGTCTCGCTGCAGGCCAGCCATATTGTATAACATCACCTGTGCATCACTTCGCTCAGGCAGCGGTTTCATTCACTTTTACCATGGCTACCTGCGCTTCCAGCTAGACTGGGCCAGGACCTGGAATACAGGGACTACAAGGCGCAGGAGCAGGGTCTCCCGCCTCTTGTGGGGAGCATCGCCTTGGTCTTCAGCGGTCTGTCTGGCACAGCTCGATATGCGCCGGCGATCTCCACATCGTTCCTTTACTACGCCGCCCCTTTGGTGGGCACGGCACTCTAACTCGTCCGGCTACGAGGCAAGGGACATTACATACACACCTAGATCGATGCTCTCTCAGCGAGATATACAAAGGAGGACTTTGTCGATTCTGGGGATGGGCGGGAAAGCGGACAGCGCGAGCTCCCCGTTATGTTACCACACAACTCAATACACATATCAGTCTACTGAGAACTGCCATGCGCCTCAACATTACAAGACTTACAAAACAGAGTAACATCCATCTACTGCATGGCCGCTACGTGCAGCTTACGAGAATGGTAACACGTTAAGCAGCAAATGTTGTACTGAGACTATATGCTTGACAGCGGCCACGTCCCTCCTTTTCGTGCGCATCAACGTCGTCATCTACACCTCTGGGAATAGAACTCATCTGCATGTTTTTCTCCTTTTCAAATTGCCAGCACAACAGCCGGTTGCCAGCCATGCTAGCCCCAGCGTCCTGGGAGATCCAACCAAGGTGCCATGAGGTTACACTGGTGGACGTCTACTTACATAACATACCAACAGTACCTTGTATGCAAGGGCCGTCAATGCTGTACAACACCTTGTAACAACCTGCCTGGGACTTACCAGTACCACATTCCCGCGGACCAACGAAACGAAATAAGGCAACATGCTATTTCCAGCCACCATGCTTGCGTTAAGCACCCACCTGACAGACATAATCGTCTTCTGGCCCCCGATTGGCCACCAAGGGGAAGGGCTTGTCTTTCCAGTCTTACCCGTGAGGCCGAACTTAGCATCCTCCAGGTATGCATATACGGACAGAACCAAGAAGGGGACCGAACAGTGTGGGAGGCCCCCAATACCGCCCACGAATGGCAGGCTAGTTCTGACATGTAGGTACACACATGGCACCTGCAGCAAGACGGAGGACGTACATAGAAGACGTGTGTCGCATGTGCATTGCTGCATGTCTGGGATGTGCAGGTGTCACTGCATCAGCAACCACAGCCGCTGCGTGTGCTTGAGACCGTGGTCTTGGTATGTGAAGAGAGATCGATATACACAGCAGCCAACTCAATTGACACCAGCAACCCAGGCTTAATCCAGGCCCAAACCAGGCTCATCCAAAGAGGGCACCTAAGCGCAAGCGTGAGATTCTCCAACCCAACATACATGTACCCCGGCTCTTCCGACTTCCTCTTGCTGGGATGATGATGGGATGATGAAGTGAAAGTGAGATGGCAATGCCGACCACACCGCCCCCTGGGTACGGTACCCGTCAGTGGTCACCCACCTAGGAACCCATGTCCGTCTGATCTTTGGGTGGCTGCCTCCTGCGTCTGACGCCATATGACAGAAGACGCTGTCTCTGTTTCCCACGTGTGTCAGGGTAAGCGAACACGTCTAGAATAATGGCTGGCATCACCTCGTGGCTTGCGTCTGCTCACTGATCGTCGGGGCTTGGCAGCGTCCAGGTCATACTTTCATTCTATGTCAACTTCTTTCACTTCATCAACGTCACTGTCGCCTCTTTAAGTGCCGAAGAAGGTGCCAGGTTGATAGCCCGGATCTCATTCCCAAAGCGAAGAAAATTACTGTGCCACGCGTCTAAGGCTGTCGCTGGACCAATACATTGCCATACCGATGCATCCCGGGGATAGGCCTTTGTTAACCAACGAGTGAGCTGCTCTAAGATATCCGTCAAGAGTCTGACAAGACTCAGGGATCGGTCCAAGGATAGAACGATGATGCGCATGTCATCCTGGAACCGTGACTCCTCCACCGCCATCTCCCTGCACCACTTTCCACACGTGGGCAGGGTTCGCTTGGACCTACGACTGATTCCTCGGGGCTGGAGATGTCATCCTGCCCCTATCCCAAATTGTTGTTGTCCCGACTTAGAACAACCTACGGTACAAGCGGTCAACAACCTCTCCAACGAGTCTGATACCCATGACAGCTTAACCGGTTCAATGCACGCTTCCTTCTTTCATAGAGTACCCCAAGCAGCTCTCCAGGTGTACATGCTAACCACGTTGGCCCGCATGCCGTGTCGCAGGGCACAGTTGCTATTTGCGGAAAGCTGAATCCAGAAGGATTCCCCAACGTGATCAACACGAGGCTCGGCTCGTGATGGGGTCGATGGGGTCCAGTTCTAGGCGACCAGACCAACGACATCAAACGAACAAGCTGTGTTGATTGTTGGTCTTCAAACCTTGATGCCTGCCTGCATTGCCGCATTGCGTGCGGGCTGCGGGCTATGGGGTGGCCGGCCATGACCGGGTTTGGACTCCCCCCGTCGATCTCGCCGGCAAGGGAACTTATTGATCGATGGATCAACTATTGATCGTTGGATCAACTATTGATATCGATGTCCACCAGCCAATATCATGTGGGTTACTTGTTATAGCCTTACGAGTGGGATGGGCATCACAGCTAGAACTATTGACTGTCTGCCTTGCAGTCTGCCTTCCCCACACGGCTTGGCCAGATCGTAGGAATCTCATGCCGGGATTCCTCACGGTCCCTGGCGTCGGTAGGGTCGCTGCCTGGTCCGAGGCCGTGAAGCGCCCCGTCCCGCCAATGAGTCACGGTGCGCACCAACAACAACCACCAGCACTCATCTGCTTCGAGTTCGAGGATGGTGAAGCGGAATCCCTACCTCGCAAACAGTTACATCTCCGCACTTGACAGGCTGATGCCCGGCATTCCACATTTACATGGCCGAGCTATATGAATGTCTCGACTCTGTGGATAGCGAGGGAGTCCCTGTTCTCGTAAGTTGTCCCTTGCCCCGATCCTGTTGTTCTCTCACAGCCTTCATAGGATGGAACACATGGGCTCTGCCTCCGGGATTCTATGTATATACCCTGACCTTGTCTAGACACTGCCGGAAGCCCACATATATCCGTGATGTGTATGCTGGGACTCCGCTGCCTACCACTGCGGAGGACGGCACGGCGCGGTTAGGCGGCACGACCTCTCGTCTCAGCCATTCTTCGTCAAGAGCGGTCTCTCGCCAACAACGGCAGATCCAAGTGGGCGATCTTGGCATAACAAGGCACGACATGTTGTCCACAGATTCACGTACCGTGGCTGATGTTCACTGACGCCAGTCCACTTGGATGAGCCAAGACTGCTGCTGCTAGTGCGGACAGACAAAGCCGAGCTTATTGCAGAGTCCAAGGGATGATCAAAGCTTTCAGCTCTTATTCGTTGCGGCCTCTCGTAAACGGCACACATCAAGCCAGAGTGAGAAGGCGCACGCACCGCATGGCGCCACTTCACCCATGCATCAGGGGGAGATAGGGGGAGATACACAACTTCACCAACCACCACTTCACCCACCACCACTTTACCAACACCTTGTGCCGGGGATCATGGCAGCAACCCCGACCATCAGCCGTGAGGCATATGCCTGAAATGTTGACGTATTCCACAATGTAAGATCTCCAACATCATCACCCCTTTTCAACCAACGGTCTAACACCATATGCTGGCAGGATATCGCTGATCGCCAGTCCGTCAACATACCAGGCAACCTTGAGGTGGGAGTAGCCAGTCCACTCAATACCTTGTTGGTACAGGTCGATTACGGAAGCCCGATGAATGGAGCCCCTGGAACTTGCTGTATGGTGCAAGCAAATACTTTGCTCAAGCTTGGACGCTTGTTTCTGCCGAAGGTATATTTACTGTCTTGCCCTTATCTCCCTGTCATGGCCGAGCTCTCTTGGGCGCTAACTCCGGGAGCAGCTTATACCCGAAGATGCCGCTAGCCCTAGCGCCACCTATGTGGCTTCGCTTATCGAGACCCCGCTGCACGATGATATCGATAAGGTCGATAATATCCATAACGGTTTCCACCCCACCAGCTCTTGACCGTTGCCCCAGAACGCGTCTTCGCCCACCTCCAGCACCATCGCACTTCTACCACGCTCGGTTGGAATTGCAACTTCGCAGTCGGATTTGGATCTCTTTGCGCTTTTGGGACATCTCCACTGGTTTTGAAGTCTCCTTTCTTCTCTTTTCACGCTTTTCTGGCCTGGTTGCCATCTGAAGCATCACGGTGCGCAACACGCGTCTGCCTTTCGTCTATTGTCTCTTGGTTGCGGCCTCATATCGCGCGCACGTCTGCCTCACACTTCCCACCACTCACCAGTGCTCACGCCCTCCGACCTCCCTTTGTTACCTACCGTCTTGGGTCTGATCGTTTCTCTCTGGTTGACGCAGTCTCGCTGGACCAACGCAGTCTTAGTCTCTGGACCGACCCAGTCTCTCTCTCCCTGAGCGACGCATTCCCTGTTGACGGACGCATTCTCTCTCGACAGACGCAGTCTATCTCTCTGGACCGACGTCTCTCTGACCGACGCAGTCTATCTCCCTAACCGACGCATTCTCTCTGGACCGACGCAGTCTCTCTCTTGACAGACGCAGTCTCTCTCTCGACCAACGCAGTCTCTCGCTTCAAGGACGCAGTCTCTCTTCGACCAACGCAGTCTCTCGCTTCAAGGACGCAGTCTCTCTTCGACCGACGCAGTCTCTATCCGACATCTTCTCCAACCACAGCCATGGCCCCTGGTTCATCTGTCGAAGACCGCCGGCGGGAGCGAATTGCTCAATCACTGGAGAATGGTAAACTCCACTACAGCCTGGGAGAGCTTGGAAAAGCCGCGGCATGCTTCAAGCGTGTAAGTCCATCCTGGTTGCCCTTCTGCCCTGTACACAAAGACCCAGTCACTTACTTACACGCAACTCAGGCCATCAATGCCTGCGCCTGTGGCATGCAGCTCAGAGACACGGTGTGTATCTGCAAGAATATCCTCGATGCAATTGAGGACGGAAATCTGGAGGACGCACTCAAGAAGAAGTGTATCTGCTCGGCAAAGTCTACCAGACACTGCTACGACCCTCACCACATGAATGCCCTCAACTATCTTGCTGCCGTGTGTGAAAAGCAGGAAAAACTTGACCAGGCCTCAATCCATGGGCAGAACCTCATCACCATCGCGCCGTATGAAGCTAAGGTATGGACTCCCTACCAGTTGCTTGCTCTTCTAGCCCAACGCTGACTGATCTTCTAAGGGCTACCTCCGCCTGGCGAAGGTTCTGCGCTTGCAGACAGAGGCGAGTCTTGCCATTGCTACATACCAGGAAGGCATTTACATCATCTCGCAAAAGGACAAGTACGATGGTTCTCTGCCGGTAAGGATGTTGACATGAAAAAGCGATTCTTTTGCTGACTGCTCGATCTAGACAATGCACCAGATGATGACGAGAGTTAAAAAGTCAATCCGGTTTGACTTTGTCCAACGTCTGCCCATTGAAATCAGCACAGCCATTTTTGAGCTTGCCGGTTTTCGCGCTACGTGGTGAGTGGCATTCTTGTTCTATAACCAGTCATGCGACTAATCTGGTCGAACCAGCCGTTGTCTACGAGTCTCGACGACCTGGAAGAAGTATCTCACCAACACTGGTGAGATGAAGAGACTGTGGCAGGTACAAGCCTTCCGGGCTTGGAAACCAAAGGGTCCAATCAAGACCCAGGCACTGGTGAAGTACGTGGCATACGCTGACAAGCACGTGACTCACTTTTCCGTGGAAACTTGTACCGAGTTCAAGTTCGACATGCAGAAACTGGCCGTCGTATTTCAAGCATGCCGCACTCTAGAGAACCTGAAGCTTCGGGTCCCTTGTTACCCCTCCAACATACTTCCCATCAGCATACGGTACCCGCAACTGAGAAGATTGTACCTGGGCCTTGGTGTAAAGGCCACCCGGGCCTTTGTCGAGGCGATTGTCCAGGCGTCCGCAGAGACGCTAGAGGAGCTGTCGATCTTTGATATCGACAGTAACAACGTCGCTGACGGCGAAGTGATGCCACGAGAGTGGCCTCGCATGGAGAACCTGAAAACACTAAGACTGTCCGCCGGAGGACGTCAGTGTCAGCTTACGCTGGTAGGTTATCCCGCAGACCTCATGTGCAAGTTCCCCTATTGACTGTGTGCAGTCGGGCCTAATGGTCAACACCCCGAACGTCGAAGAGGTCTGGTTCGAGGGTCTGGCGCTGTTCTTCTTGAACGAGCATACCGGCTGGAAGAACGTCAAGAAGCTCTACCTCGGCGAAGGCGTGAGCATTCCCGTGATCGCTGGAGGAGCCCTGATCAGCCCTAGTATCCGCGAGCTCCATCTTGCGGGAGGGGTCGTGCTTCAACTGTGCGGATTTAGTCGGGCGAATCACAACGCCTACACCGCGTGGCTACACGGCACTCACCCAATCCACAGCAGCGTCAACTTCGCCAACCTGGCTCAGCTCGAGAAGCTCAGCCTACGCTACCTTGGCCCTGTTGGACCCGGCTACCTTGACTCTTGGGTTAAACCGAGCATGGAGTCGGGCACTATTAGGGAACTAGAACTCAAGAACTTCCCTTTCTCGAACTTCCCCGACGACCAGGACGGCGAAGAAATCACATGGTTCACCAGCAACAAGCTGACACACCTAGGCATCACAGGCCTGACCCAGGAGGTCGGCTTTGCTATCAATAGCGCCGAGGATTGGCTGGTGGATTTCGTCGCTCGGTTCCCCTCCCTGAAGGGCCTCGATATTGGCCAGGAATTGATCAGTGACGCAACCTTGGGCACCATCATTAAGATGGGTGTTAGAACCATTTTCCATCGCCATGGGCGCTTTCAGGACGACGAGCTGGTGGCCTGGGCTGCACGACAAGGCAGCACCATTGTCGACGGCCCTAACTTCTGGTCTGTCTCTCAGCACCCCGACCGCTGCCCGCCATCGACCCGGGGAGGTTGGTAGGGCGCAGAAGCCGTCCCAGGCTTCAGGAGGCAACAGGCTCGTTTGATGGCTCTTTTGATGACGACGTGCGGGAGAAGGGCAGCGACCGCTGATCTTTAGCACTCTCCCTCAACTCTCTCATATTCCTACCTCTAGGATGAGGGTGCCTCATTCGTCACGCCTGCACCTCAGCTCACCCGCCCCCTTCTGGAAGTACGCCGACACCTTAGTACACCATTGAAGCGGGAGCAATACGATAGTCTACTAAAGCTTCTTGGCCTGACATCGCTTTGCCTACCCAACACAGCAACCATCATTCACTTCTCTGGTAGCTCATCAACACCTCTCTCTTGGTGGCTAGTCAACGCTTCTCTCGGTGGTCGCTCGTCAACTCTTCTCTCGGTGGCTCGCTTCTCAACGCTTCTCTCGGTGGCTCGCTAGTCAACGCTTCTCTCGGTGGCTCGCTCGTCAACGCTTCTCTCGGTGGCTCGCTCGTCAACGTTTCTCGCGGTAGCTAGTCAACGCTTCTCTCGATTTTCCGTCAACGCTTCTCTCGGTAGCTAGTCAACGCTTCTCGATACCTCGTCAACGCTTCTCTCGGTAGCTAGTCAACGCTTCTCGATACCTCGTCAACGCTTCTCTCGGTAGCTCGTCAACGCTTCTCTATGTGGTGGCTGAGGCGAAAGAGGCTGCGGGTCATTACCAACTTGCTCATATTGCCTTGCTCGGACATGATGACGATCTGTCGGTTTTGGCTGGTGTTCCCAAGGTTGACTGATTGCGCGCTGGTGGCGATAAAGTGGCATAAGCACTTCTTCCTTGGCCAACTGCAGCATTTCCTTTTCTCTTTCTTTCCCCTCCTTTTTTCCCTTCATCATTTCTGTTTGAGATACCCCCTGTCGCGATGTATTGTAGAACAATAGGAACCTCATTTAGTTCCGCCATGTCTGTGTTGATAATTTGTATGATCTTTGTACATATATGGAGCTTCCGGGTCATACTCAAGTCATCTGCAAAGATTACTGGGGTGCCGATGATTTGTAGCTGCATGATGAGAAATGCTGTGTGAGAAGAGCGTTTTATTTGCAGTGATGAAAAGTATCATATTGGAGAGGCCCGAGACCCTCGTAACCTATCGGGTTATCATTAGAAAATCGACACTGTCCAAACTCCAAACCCCAACTCCTCGTGAAACCATCATCAGCCGTCCATTCAGTCAGTCAGGCCGTTTCCCCTTGCACTCATGTATGCCATCAACTCCACTGCGGTTCAAGGCCCTGAACTTCTATTACACTACCTCCACGACACAAAGCTCACCCCTCTTCAGCCTTCTTTCCTCTTCTCTTCTTCTGTTAGTCCCCCTCTGCTGCTCCCTTACTCCTCCCTCTCCTCACCTCCCACCAAACTCTATCAAAGGCATAGAACAGTAGACGCTGTGCCATAATGTCATAATGCCAGAACACCACAACAGGACTCAAACAGCACCAACCCGGGCCGTTCAAGACTACCGCGCCGGACTCTCAACCCCGACATCGCCGCGGATCAGACTCTGCAGCTCCCACGGATTGAGCGTACTCCGACGGCGTGACGCGACCCTGCTGGTGCGGCGGGTCTCGCGCTGCTCGCGCTTGCGTCTCTTGGGCGGGCTGAGGCCGCCCCCGTTGTAGTCATGATGGTTGTCGTTGCTGCTCGGGTCGTTGGTAGTAAGTTGCGGTACGTTGGTGCTGAGGGCGAGCTCGTCAGGCTCGTCGTCGTGGGCGGGTTGTTGCTCGCGGGGTGGTTCTCGGGTTTCACCACCGCTCTTCTGCTCAATTTGGGGTTCCTGGTCTGGTTTCCGGTCCTGGTTTTGGGTTTGGCTCTGCTGCCACATTGGCAAAGCAGGGAGCGGCTCGATGTCCTTCTTCACGGGGTCGACATCCTCGTCTTCCGCATTCTCTACCAGTTCAGCAGCCTGGCTCCGGGCCAGTTCAGGGGCGGGAGAGGTTTCCTCCGCGACCTCGGGCACCGTTCCCTCAGCTAACACGGTCGTCGTCCGCCTCCCCTTCCGCACGGCTCTGAGCTTCGCCCGCACCCTCGCAGCGTCCGCCTCGCGCTCCGAGGCGGCTAGCTTGGCGGCTATGGATGCCATGGTCAGGGGACTCTGCTGCGGGGGCGGGTTGTTGCGCCGTGGCAGACGAGACGAGACCTGGGCATTGCGAACGGGCGAGCGGTTCTTCTTGCGCGCTGACTGCTGCTGTTGCTGGTTCTTGGTGTTCGCCCTGTCTGTCGGCGACTTTGACGACGATGTCGAAGCCTGAGAGGAGGAGACTTGTTGATGCGCTGGACTGGGGTCCGAAGCCGTGCGCTTGGCCGTCTTCGGCTGCGGCGCTGGAGATGGATCTGGAGACTTCCGCTTCGCCGATCGAGTGACCCGTGCTGTTTCCGGCTCGGGCTCGGGCGGAGACAGATATTTGGCCTGGGGCTTCTGGGCGGGCACTGATGGTTTTGAGAAGAGTTTCCGCGAGGGCTGTGATTGCGATGGCCTCTCGCCCGACTTTCCGAATAGCGGGCTGTCGTATGACGCATCAGAGCAAGAAGGCTGATCTAGCTGTTGCGGTGGTGGTTTTACGGACGCTTTCTCGGTAGACCCGGGCTTGACAGCGTTCACCAACACAGCCTTCCCTGACGCGATCACTGGAGACCCCTTCCAAGCCGTTGAATGGGGTGGCGGTACCGGCGGTTCCTCTTCCTCTGCCGCCGCCGCCAGATCCCATGTGTTCTCCTCGATGATGGTCGTGAAGTCACCCGGTCTGTTGCGGTGGTAAGACGCGTCGTTACCCAGGCCTCTGTTGCCCGACGAGTAGTTGTCCTTGAGCGGACTCGGTTGCGGCGGATCGGGGAGGGGAGGCGAGCCCATAGACATAGACGTGGCCGTAGACTCCTGCAGGACCTCGAAATTCGGCTCCTCGGCCTCAAGCTCGTCGATCTCAATGTCATCCTGGAAGATGCTCGAGTCCGAGTCTGATTCGTCCTCGTGCTCTTCCACCTCGTAGCCAGGCGCGGGGACAAGATGAAGAGACTCAACAGGACTTGGTGATCGATGCCGCCGTTCCTGTTCCCGCTGCTGCAGATAGGAAACTTCCTCGTCCTCGTCTCCTTCCTCCTCCTCCTCCTCCTCCTCCTCCTCCTCTTCTTCTTCCTGCACACACGACAGCCGCATGGGCATTACGTCCGCCGTCTCCTCGACATCGTGGACGCGCACGGGACTAAGTCGCAAGCCCATCTGCAGATCCTCCATGTCGACCGACCGGCCGCTCGACACCATGCGCCTCCGCCAGCCGTCGATCATGTGCACGGCGTCCTTCCACCTCGCCTCCATGGTCTCGAGCCCCCCGCGCAGCCGCTTGATGGCCTCGTCGCGGACCTCGACCTCCTCGATGGGCACGAAGGACGGGTTCGTGAGAATGGACCGCAGGTGCTCGACGATGGCGTCCAGCTCGTTCGCCAGCTCCTCTGCGCCTTTCTCGTTGTGTGCCGCAGTCGCCGTCTGATGCATCGCGACGTCCCCGTCGGCATCATCACCGTCGCACTCGCCATCCCCTCCTCTCTCGCGCTCAAGCCCGCTCATCTCGCGGAGGCCCTCGACAGCGCGCCGCAGCACCGCCAGCAGACCCTCGTTCTCATCGCTCAGCCCGCGCGCCAGCTCCGTCAGGAACTCGTTCGTCTCCAAGCGCAGGCTATACCCATCACTCTCCGTCGCACCCGGCGGCAATCCTCCCGCCCCGTCGTCACCCGCACCACCACCACCACCACCGCCCACATCGCCCGTGACGCAAATACTAATCACAGCGCGACTCCTCGCCCCACCACGCACGCGCCCAGCATCGCCCACAGCCTTCTTCAGCGCGTCGACCTGGCGATCGCGCCTGCGCACCTCAGCAGCGCACGCGGCGCGCGTCTGCGCCACCAGCGCGCGCAGCCGGGCCAGCTCGTCGCGGAGCCTCGTTGCGCCCCCCTCTGCGGTCTTGAGCTGGGAGCGCAGCACGCGCTCGGTGGCGTCGCCCGCGTCGAGGCGTCGGTGCGCGTCGTGCAGCTTGTCGGCCTGGCGCGTCAGCTCGGCGGCCTGGCGTTGCGAGTCGGCGCGCAGGGTGCGCAGCGTCTCGGAGAGGGATTCGCGGGTTTCGGCGTCGCGCTGTTTTTTTTGGAGAAGTGGGTCAGCTTGTCTTCCTCTCTTCGATAGCTACTCTGATGCTGGGGGGTTGACGAGTCCAAAACAGACCACCACGGGACAGAAATACGTACATCGCGCCTCAGAATCAGATCGTTGACCACGCTCATGACCCTCCCCATCGTGGCCTGCAGTCCGCCACCATCGCTCGCGTCCGGGTCGGCGAAGTCGATGCTCTGGCCATCGCGCAGCAGGCCGCGCGACAGAAGCTGGTTGTTGATGTACAGCGAGGCCGTGCGCAGGTTGTCCGACTCGATCATGGTGTCGCCGTCTGGTGTTGTCGTTGGTCGCGCCCCTGGCAGCTGGTTTCTTTTTCGCTCAGTGGCAGCCGGCGGGCGTCGTCATGCAGGGAAACTCGAATATGAGGACTGGAGCTTCGGTTGGTAATGCTGAGATCGTAGGTAGAGCCTCGGCGGCGCGGTCCGCATCCGTCTATTCGGCAAGTACGCAAAGCTTCGTTCGATCTCGTCACTCTAAAGGGTACGCGATGCTGCCAACTTGATCGAAACAGCGATTAGAAGACAAAAAGCAATGTTCACAGTGATATCTAGAAGCTTGGGCTGGGGAAGGAAGCTACATGATAGTAACTCACCTTGGAGATGTTTTGACAGCTCCAAATCTTAAGTGACGGTTGCTATGCGGGGCAAAGTAAACAAAACGGGCCCACGCTCTGCGGCCGCTCCATGACAGGAGGGACAGGAGGGACAGGGACCCTTGCGATGACGACGACAACACCACCAAATCGGCCAGCAATGGCCTTACTTTAAATTACGTGGCACCTGCTCATTGATGACTTTTTAACAGATGTGTCAATTGGGCATCCATCTCGGGCTACGGGCGGAAGAATTTGCTATCATGTCCACCTCTGTTTCGTGTCACGCAGCAACCGCTTTTAACAAGACGAGTACAGTAGCAAGTCACGAAGATCATATGCTTTCAATCATGTTGCTGTACGACATGTCGCGCAAGATAAACGCAGTTCAGTATCAAGACATCAACCAACCGTGGAAGTCCGCCTGTTGATTCTGCTCCGCTTAGTCCCAGCCTGCAACGATGCAGACAGCAAACCCCGGGCATTGCAGTACTAATATCCAGCTGCTGACAAATGCTGCCCATCTATTGCCACACTTCGCGCGTGCACAGGAGGAGCGCCTACGTTATATGTATAGCCGACCATCAGATCCCATGCTTGATCCCCATGAGCCCCTCCTCCAACTTGTCCCCCAAAGCCGACTTCATGTCAACGCCGCCCGAATGCAGTTCCTGTCGCGGGTTTGCCGAGTCGGCTTCCGTGTCCTTTTAGGATAGGTTGGCCTCATCGGGCGTCTCCAGACCACCGCGGATACGGCGATGGGCATCCAGCTTCTCAGCATCTGTGACCTGGTTCTCATCCTTGCGCCCATCTGGCGTGAACCGTGGCACGTGCGGCGAGTGACCAACTGACATGCCTGCCCGGATCTGGAGCGCGAGTCAGCATTTTGAGCATCATTCCATCGAGGGCTTTTGCTTACCAGTGTTTCTACGGCACTGTTCGAGTTGTCCACCAGATCATCGTCGTACACCATCTTGCCTTCCTCAAACAGGACCAAGATAGTACTGCCACCAAACTTGAAGTATCCGAGCTCTTCGGCACGTCTCACATGCTCTCCCTCCTTTCGGGTAATCACCGTGCTGCCAACCATCATCGCTCCGACACAGATGACCATGACACGTCCGTGATGTTCCGTATCGATCGGGCAGACGACACGGATATTCTCACCGTACACGTCGAGGGCCGAGCGGATGGCCATGGGATTGACCGTGTAGTACTCGCCTTCGATGAGCTTGGGCTTACGCAGAATCCCATCCACGGGGATATGGAACCGATGGTAGTCTTGTGGAGCCAGACGGAAGATACCGAGTGACCCGTTCTCGTACCGCTTGGCATCTTCCGGGTAAGCAACGCCAAGGAGACGCTTGGTCGTGAACTCGCGACCCTTGACCCAAATACTCTTCGCCGAGTCCATCGTGTTGAAGACGACGGAGCGGCAGTCGGCTGGTGACACGATGATATGGGGGTTTTCTGGTGCCGAGCAGGGCCGAGCCTCGGGCTTCAGTTCACGGTAGAAGAACTCGTTGAAGTTCTTGAACTCCTCGACGGGCCGAAGGACCTCGGACATGTCGAGCTGGTGAAAGTCGATGAACCCCTGGATTTGGGACTTGGAAGCCGGGTCATCGTATTTCTTGCCCTGCTTCACACTGAGCCCCTTCAGCAGCTTGCGAACTAGGAAGCGTCAGTACGGGGCATGCATGTTCACTTTCTCTTCACTTACTTCTCTTGTTCTCCATATCCTTCGACTTCAGACCCTTGTACAGCAGCCTGATGCCTAGGCGCACATAGACACTCATCTTCTCCTCGTTGATCTGGCCAGTCAGGCGATCTTGCACAAGGATGTTGGCAGAGTTGGCACCGAGCTTGTAACCGCCATACGAGATCTTGGTGATGACCTTGGAGTACCATTTTCTCTGCGCCTGGCTGGCTGTGACGAAGCCGCCCATCATGACCGAGTTGACCTGACGCCAATCTTGACTGGCGCAGGTGGCGATGTGAGTTATGATGTCGGTGTCTTTCCGCTTGTTGAGACGGGGTTGATGGCAGATGGGACATTCTCGGATTTCTACCACATGTTCCTCACCACGGTCGATGTTGAGGTCGTCCTTCTCCAACACATCACCTTCCTCCCCAGCCGTACTAAGGTCGGGGACAACAAGGGTCGAAGTGCCAGAATGGGTGCCCTTAACACTGGAGTCTTCGGCACCAAGAGTGTACGCGTCTTCCCCGGACGGCGGCGCGTTGCTGTGCCCTGGCAGATTCAACGTTTGTTTGACTTTCTCCGTATCAGGCATCATATTTTTAAACTTCTCGGTCACGGTCTGTGGTTTGCCAGTCTCGGCTTCTAGCTGATCTTCGAGACAGATGACGGCTTCGTCCATGGTAAGCTCGAGCTCGCCATTCGTAGCCTTGTGTGGGAAACGTTGGAAGAACCTGTCGATTGTCGATTCTCGCAATGTAGACCCCAGACTGTCCAACATGGTGGTCAACTCGACCTTACTGATCTCGCCGCTCTCGTCCGTGTCGTACTGCTTGAGCATCGCTCGCCAGAACTGTTGCCTCAAAGCAGGGTACGGCATGTACTTGGCTCGAATGGTAAGGACCGGGCTGTGCTTGGCTTCCCACTTGTCCAGATTCTTCATTTTCAACGGGATGGTGAAAGTGAAGAAGTCGCCATCCTCGGTCTCGGAGATTTCCTGCTCGTTTCCACCGTTCAATCCACCGTTCAGGTTTGGTACTTGATCAGCTTGTAACAGACCCGGGTTCGGTCCAGAAGTCGGAGCAAGCTTGTCGACAGCGGCGTCGAACTGTGTCAATGTCGAAGCCTGACTAGGGTTCTTCGACAAGATCGGCCGTCCTTTGCTCAAGCTCGTAGCGGAAGAGGACCGGGACATGCCTAGTCGCATGAGTCTGGATTTCTGGGGTGGCACATATTCGGCAGGTTCTTTGAGCCCGTAGAGACCATTTTCGGGGTTCGCCTTGGGGCTTCTCTCGATGACTTCCTGGACGGGGAACGAGGTCGACGCAATGAAGTCGTTTCCAGAGTACTTGTCACGGTCGATGACAGTAAAGGCAAATTGGTAAGTCTGCTCGTGGTTGAGGACATGGAATAACATCTTCTCGTTGAATACGGGGTTCAAGTTGTGACGAATGACCCTTGTTCTGTACGTCTTCTTGCCCAGAGACGCCACCACGAAGGGATCCATATCGAAACTCGTCTTGGTGAAGTTGGACTCTGGTGGAAGATCGGTGATGCTGACTATCTCGAGGAAAATAAGACCGACTACATCGCTGCCACCGTTGACGAACTCGTAGGGGTTCTTTCTCTTCTTACGCTTCAGGCTCTTAATCCTAAGCCTCCTCTTCCTCTTCTCGATAGCCTCGGGCTTGGTAGGATCTTCGTCTTCGGGCGTGTCATCATCATCGAGGATCTCGTCATCGTCGTCATCATCCTGGGAGCCCTCTGTGGCATTTCGAGCGAGAGGCGGAATGGACGAACCCGATCTCGACGTCGCGGTGGGGCCAAGCATGGGCGTCATGGTTGGGGTGACGTTTCTCGAGACGGCCTCGGGCACACTCGAAGCGAGCGAGCGAAGCTTCTCCAAGACCTGGGCGTCAGTAGCATCCTTGTCTGTGCCGTCGAGCAAGGTACATTGCAACATGACCTCTCCCGATACGATGTTGGACTTCTTGCCCGGCTTCTTCTTGCTCTTCAAAGGGTACCATTTTGGTGGTTGTTCGGTCTTGTCGTTGGAGAAGATCTCCTCCAGGGCCAGGTCGAACTCGCCTAGGTAGTCCTTGCTAAAGCGGTCCTTGTCCCAGCAAATGCAGTCGAGGAGGAGGCTGTCGACTCCGGTGATGGGGATGGTGCAGGAGACGTTCCATTCGGGGTTCAATGTCTTCTGGACGCAGTGGGTGGTGTACTTGGTTTCGCCGCAGGATAATTGGACATACTAGAGCATGGGGAGTTAGCTAGGCAAGCAGTTGGCTGAGCGGATGGGGGACGGATGGGGGACGGATGGGGGCTTACGGGATCTGAAGTGCCTCCGCGATCCTTAGCAGCTAGGTCGCGTGCACGTAACACGACGATCTTCAAGATCAGACCGGTATCCTTCTGCTGGTCGGAAGCCATGGCTGCCCCTTTCGTTGGGCGGGTCGGACTCGAGTTGCGGCTGGTGGTGGTGGAATGGGAATGGGTGGTTAAGCCCTTCAACCGCGAAGGTATGATTCGGACCATGGTGAATATACCCTTTGCCCCAAAGGAAGGCAGGGGGGAAGGGAGGGAGGGAGGGAGGCCGGTGGTGACGTGTTGGACGGTCGTCCTATTGGACCTTTGCCCTGTTTTGTGTCTTGAGGTGCGTCTGCGACTCTGCAATAGAGTGTCAAGCGCTTGATGTCAAAAGCTGTACAGGTATTTGTTGATAAACGGTCAGATCTCCTGCTCGTGGATCAGGTGTCTCCGTAGCAAACAGTAGCAATGACAAATGGGTACATGTAGTGAGCGAAGTGAGTGAATTGAGTAAAGTGAGTAGAGTGAGCGCCGTGAGTGTCCCGCCTGGAGACAGACCGGACTTTGAGAGACTTGAAGCTGATGGATGCCAAGGCCCAAGATTCGCTGTTGGCGGGCTGGCGGGGCCTTTGTCGTCATTCAGGGGGCAGAGGACAGGGCAGGACAGGGCAGGACAGGCCAGCTAAACCTCGGAGCTGACATTGGAAGTCACGCCGCACAACTAAAGCGAACTGGCCTCAAACTTCCAAGGCTCTGCCACTGCAGTCCGCCTACTCCAATTAATAAATCCGGGGGAACGGCAGACTCATTAAGTTATCATTAGCTTGCAACAGCATGAAACACCAATCACCTCAAGCAGGTCCGACAATTCAACAACGGTAGCAGGCAACAACGCTGGACCATGCAACAACGAGTCGAACTTAACATATGTCAAGACGTTATGCCCAGTAGATGCATCTGACTTATTACCTTAATTATCAGGTTTCGGGCAGAGCTAGACTACTAGTCGATAGCCAGAGCGCTGGGAATGGAGATGCCAAGCTATCCTCAGTTGATGGAGTACAGGTACGATGGACTGGAAGCGTGAGGCATAAAACCAGTTGATTCCCTGCACTCACTCATTAGTATCACCACCAGGCTGGTGTCTTCAATGTTGTTAGCTGCAGGCTGGCAAAGGGATCGGCACACGACCACAGCCAGACTTCGGACAGCTGATAAGAGCCGCTGTAAACCCGGAATCGGCTATTCGGATCGCTTTGGCTGCAATGAGGTAGGTGGCGTGCGTGGATAGGGGGTTCGATACCTCCCGAGATCTCCGTTCGCCATCTTCAACAACTTACCAGCTTGCTTCTAGCACTTGCTACTGAGCTCGATTCCCTACATTGAGAACGAGAGACTCCATTACTGCAATTATCTTCCCTTTTGGCAGCACTCCTGCCAGGTAGCAGAAGCGAAATGAACATTGAAGGCGAAAGCAACAACCACCAACCGAGAGACGCACCCGGCAAGATCGGACAAGCGCACAGGAATTCGGATCGCGATCCCCAGTGCCGCCTGCCGCTAAGTTGGGGCCAACTACCCTGAATGATTCAATTCCTGTACATCCCATTGGCACGATGGCCTCGCGAACTCCAATACTGTAGTTGGTTGGTGGGGTAGGACAGGCACCACCCGCCGCAGTGGATGACAAGACGCGAGGGGGCATTGCATTCCATGATGAGTGACCAAATGTGCGCTTATTCGATTGCTTCCGTTTCTATTGGGAATGCGCGAGATTCCAGTCAGCCGTTGACCCGACCGTTTGGAGGGGTCTGTTGGTGGTTGGCAGTGGATCCACGGTCGGCGGTCGCGTATCACCAACTTCAACGCCGGCCTCGTCGAGAATGCAGTGTGGCCTCTCAATGAAAGGTGGTAAGAGTCACAATGTCATGTTTTACAGTGGCGACCAGAAGTCGACAGACACAACGAAGAAACTTGATAGGTAAGTTGATCGGGTTTTAATTATCAATCATGTGTCTTATCTTCCTTTGCACCAGTTAATACTGGTCTATCTCAAATGCCATTCGGAATGCAAATCCCTCAGTGTGCCTCTCGTCTTACGAGATAGGTATCACAACGCCTCATATCTATATATGTCATGTGACCCGAGTGCGCCATTCAATGCCGTGGGTTACATAGGAGAGTAAAATCAAAACGCCAGTGTATGCAACCTCATCTCATCCTATCTCAATTCCCACATGTCATTCAAGACTGGACAGGCTGGACCTGCATCTCGGTGAGCTCAACACCAGGCGTCTTGAGCTCGGAGAAGGCCTCGGGCCACAGGAACATCTTGTCCTCGCGCGACGGCGTGTTGACGACGTAGGTCGGCACCGCATTTTTGCTTGAGACGCGACGCCAGAGGTTGGCGCGAGGGTTGAAGCGTGCGGGCACGCCCTTGCCTCCTGTGATCTCGTCGTCCTCCTCGCGGATCTTCTCGATTTCGCGCTGGATGTCGGCGAAAGTGTCGAAGGGGATGTACGCGATCTTGTTCTCGACGCAGTACTCCTCGAGCCGCAGCCCGCGCCGCGCGAACAGTACGTCGGCGTTGCGCGCCGCCGGCAGGTCCGACACGCCGTCGCCGATGAACACGATCAGTGGCACCGTGCCGTCGTCGGCGCACAGCGTCTCAGCCTCCTTGCGCGCCTCGGCGATGGAGAGCGCCTTGTCGTGGCCGAGCTCCGTGTCGTGGCGCCAGATGGGCTTCCACTTCGAGCCGTCCGGCGTGATCTCGGCCTCGTTGGCGACAATGTCGATGTGTGCCGACTCCTCCTCGCCTAGAAACTTGTCGAGGACCCGTCTGAGGATGGGCTTCAAGCCGGCGCTGATGACGTTGAAGGGGATCTTGTTGGCGATGCAGTACTTGTGGAAGCTCTGGAAGTCGGGGTCGATCTCGAGCGTCTGCTCCATCACGTCGAAGCCGTCCTCGAACGGCACGTTCAGCGAGCCCCACATCTCTTCCGAGACGTCGCGGAACGAGCGCTCGCCGGTCTTGATCTGCTCGTCGAGGATTTCTCTCCGCTTGGCGCCGCAGCCGTACGAGTCGAAAAGGACGTGGCCGGTATCTTGCATGAAGATTGTGCCGTCAAAGTCGGAGAAGCAGATGATCTTTCGCTTCTGGTTACTGGACTGGCTTGCGGCGTTCTTCGCCGCAGGGGCGGCCTGGGGTGGGACGGCGGTAGGCATATTGGCGGATGATGGTGGTATGTATGTGTGTATGTGTATAAGTGTTGGAAAGGATCAGAGATGGTCTATACTCTATTATATGCTCTATGACAAACACAAAGAACGCTGACGGTGAACACAGTGGTGGGTGGTTTGGTATTTGTTTGGAAATGGGGAAATCATGGAGGAAAGTGGCGGAGGACGAAGACTTATATAAAGAGAGGGCCACACCATGGGGAACCTGTGGATTAGTCCTCCACACTAACGGATTAGGCAATACCATGAGGGCCATCGTGATGACGGTGTGAAGAATGAGACACGATGGAGAGTAGGTAGTCCTCGTTACCCTGTCACGCCTCTGATATGCGGCGTAACTCCCTGCATGTTGACAGGGCAGGGGATGTGTTGGGTCTCCCGCAAGTCGTGAAGGGGGTGGGTTCGGAAACAGAAGACCAACGACTGCCTGCATCCGTCTGGAATGACCCAATTCCACATATTTTGTCGCCAGAGGACCCACTGCTATGCACCAACGTGACACGGAGTGCATCTGTGTCATCTCCAGGGCTAGTGAGACTGGAGGCGGACGCCTGTTGAGCCTGGGATAGTGTAGTTGTAGATGCAGGCGAGGGCAGACATCCTCGCCTGGCGGACTGCCCGCATGCTGAGAGCCTGAGTCGACTCCGATATGGGTCCCGGTCCAACTTTCTGGGACCCAGGCCCATCCTGCGCGTCTCCGATGGCTTCTGGGCCCTTTTCTTATAGAGGACCGGGTTACCAAAGAGTATATGATCTTCAGGAAGCGCTCGGTATCTCCTTCATTTCGTGGCCTTTCCAGCGTCTCCAGCCCGTACCCAGACAGACAGAGATAAGAGTCGTGCCGGTACTGTACCTCTGACGGACAGAAGCGCCAAGTCCTGCGGTGGCGCCGAAGACGCTACTCACGTAGGGAGGCTATACTGTAGTGTGGCAGTGGTCGACGAAACTTTTCGATAGCTGACTTCTAGCCACCACGACGAACATCGTGATTCCCATGCATGCAGTGTCGAAGTCACGATAATAGAAACGCACACATAGCCCACGCAGGGAGGCATGTGTGTCGAATGGTAGGCTGAGAGAGATGGAACCTTACGGCTCGGAATAGGGCCGAAGGGCATGGCAGTGATGTCATCGGCCGCGATCGAAATGGAAGAAAACAATCCCACGATGTCCCACTTCACACTATGATGTACAGGACCACTAATGTGATAGAGCGTGGATGGGCCATCTGAGTAAGAAAATAGGAGAGAACAGCGTGGAAGGGGCAGAAGGGCCACCTTTCCGCAACGAGGTTGACTCACGCGTGTCCTGCTGTGACCGATCGTCAGAGGCTCTGGTTGCAGACATGCAGACATGGCCCCAGACATTCGCTAGGCACGAGCTACGTATCATAACGATGGATTGCAACATGGTACGCATGGTTCCTGAGCCGGCGGTGCGTGAGGACTTCACATTGGACGGCTGATTGGTAGATGGATAGATTGGACAGATGAGAACGAGATCGAGGGGGGATGATGGGGGGTTGGAGGGGTGGAGGGCAGGGTGGGAGGGTGGGATGGTGGGAGAGTCAGACTGAGCCTTGAGGGGCACAGGCACAGGCACATGCACATGCAGAGGTTTGCAGCAACCAAGTGAGGGGCAGTTCCATACCTATCTCCATATATCCATGTCCCGCCTGCACTGCCGCAATTTTTGTATCTTTCTTCCCCGGCCCCACCCCTCCCCCCTTTCCTCTGCATCATCAGACTGGTGGCAGAAGAGGCTGTAGGATTCTTACATGTGACGGCGATGCACCGGAAAAGGGCATAGTCAGTCACCATGCTGCAGTCGGGCGTCATTGCGCATCGAACACCAAACACCTCGAGACTCCCGTCACCTGCAAATCTCACGATGCTTTCCGGGGAATCAATGACGTCGGCTGACCTGACAGGGACATTATACGACCTTCAGTGGTAGACCGACCCTGCATGTCACAGAGCTGCATCTGTATTTGCATCGTGACTACCCTACCTATGCCATCTGTCTTGGTGACGAAAGACTATACGTGACGCCGTCCTACGCAACGTTTCCTCAGGCAAGTGATGGAACGATAGCGGCCGCATCCACCGCTCTGCATTCCATGCTGCCCATTGCACCCAACATGCTGACCTGCGAAACACCACGAAGAGACCATCAAGAGCACAGCTGCATACCTCTCCTTGCGATGGATCTCACTCTCAGTGCTGAGACTGTCGGCTCATCAAGTCATTAATTCTCTTTACGACTGTCCTAGCCCCTTTTTGCCTGACCGTCGGCATCTATAGGGAATATCAACAACGCCAGCCTCGGAAAAGGACACGACCTCGCCGGCTCTTCAAGCGGAAACCTTGGGGCTGAACTTCGTCGCCGCCTTGTCGAATAAGGAGCTCTTCTCTTCGATGTCGGCTAGGAAAGGGTGCTGCGGTGCTGCCGTCTTCAACGAACTGTGGTCCACGTCAGTACAACGTCGGCTTGAGAGCTCAATTGAGTGGGATCCGTACCTTGTGAGTTCTGTAGCGTTCTTGCCAATGACGACAGTCAGCACCAGGAGGTTGGCAATAGCTTCAGCGTAGTCGGGCTGCTTCTGCACTGCCTGTTCCAGCGCAGTCTGCGCCTCCTCCACTCTTCCCAGGTGTAGTTCGCATACGGCCTGCGAGACCAGCGTTGTGATTGAGGACGTCGAGGGAGCTTGTGCGAGTTCTTCGAAGACGTAGAATGATTGTTGGTACTTGTCACCACCCTGTGCAGCGCATTAGCACGCCTATTGGATATGTGTTTGATCTTAGGATATACGTACCAGTCGCAGGCCAACCCACGATTCCGCAAGATTGACAAGCAGGCTGTCCTGTGCCCATCTTCGTGCAGCAGCGACTTCCTTGACTGCCAGGTCCGTTCGGTTTTGTTGAAGGTGGATTTGCACAATTAGAGCAACCGCGTCAACTATGCAAGCCTGTCAGCACTTCTCCCGCCAAGAGCTTCGTCCCAGAGGTTGTAGACGTACGACTGCCAGTGTGCTGCGAGAGGAGCGCGAGAGCCTCTTCCGACTTGCCAGCGGCCTGCAAAACAGTACCTCCGAGAACCTGAACGGTCTGGTTGTCGCCAGCCGACGAAGCCAGCTCCTCGACCGTCTTCACCGCCGCATCCGTCTTGCCCAAGCTGTATTCTGCCAGCGCAGCCACAGCAGCGAGCTCCGGTTCTGACTCTCCTTGGACCTCTGCTAGCACATCTTCGGCTTGGCCTAGGGCGAGTCGGGATCGGAGGACGAGGATATGGGCGGGAAGCGCATTCTCGGCTGATAGGGCAGAGGTGTCGAAGTCGACTACTTCCTGGTACTGGCCCTGGTGGAAGTGGTTGTGTATGTTGATGAGCTCGCCTTCTGCTGAGTAGGGATCCATGTTGGGCTTCGTTACTTTCGGTTTCTCAAAGTTGCTGGTGTGGGAGTTTGCGATGCGCCGTTGGCCGTTGACCTGGTAGTTCGCACATGAATGTCAACGTGGAACTTGGGCATGGCTGAGCTGCCAGCTGGCAGTGCCGGCTGGTCTGTGCACTCCATAACTCATTTGCATAACTCAAACCCCTGGCATAAGCGCTTATTCCGAGGTCAAACTGACTGGAATAACCACCAATTTGCTGCCAGTGCTTATTCCACTGCAAATCATCACGTCGCCCTGCTGACCGATGGACTTACGCTCAACCGCTGCTGGAGATTTTGAGGGGGCGACCCATACGACTGAGACCAGGGCAAGTGCAAAACAACAAAACCACAAGAAAGATATATAGGACAATAACGGCGATGTCTTCCTCCATGAGGAAAAAGGGGTCTAACCAAAGGGGGCTTGTTAAATTGGTGGTAGACGCAATGGTCTCTTGCGGTGCGTCACCGATCGTGGATGGTCAATGGATAGTGGTGTATCGCTGATTGAGAAGACAACAACGGCGAGGTTGAGAGTGGCGTTCGGTTCACTCTCAACGGGTACATGGTAACGATTCGGCCTGAGGCATCGTACTAGGAGCCTTTGTTGAGCTGTTATGATGTTACTGAACTTCAAAGCGTTGGGAAGACCCAGCTGGCGTGGGCTACTCAACTACAAGAGATAAAAGTAGTAAAGAGTAGTCACAATGCGGTGCCAATAGGTGAAGCGTGAAGTGGATAGATTCAAATTTGTCGGTGTTATATATATATAAGTAATACCATCCGACCCCCCGAACCGGCACACCCCCACTACCGGCACAGCCAAACCCCGCCACCACCACCAAAAGACCCCCCTACTCACTTACACGCATTTGAGGCTGTATAGGGTCGAAAAAATCAGCAAAATTATCATTCTGTGGTGTTTTGGCTGCTCAATCGACGTATCTAGCCGGCGCCCGGATTGACCGCCCAGATCTAGTCATCTGGGCTTCTGCAACAGGGGCTTCTACAGCCTCCTCAGCGTCCGCAACCTCCTCGTCCTCCTCCACCCCGTCTTCAACAACCTCTGACTCTGAAGAAGAAGAAGAAGACTCTACAGCAACCGGAACTAACGGATTACCACCCTGGGCTAGTATTTCTACCATTGTCATGAACTTTTTGTTGGGATTTAGTATCTTCTTCCTCTTCTTGGGCCGTAGCCGCTCTAGTTCAGCCTCCAGGGCCCTGATCTTCTGGTCTTTTATGGCCAGCTCCGTCTCCTGGTTCTCAAAGGCATGGGAGATCTTCCGGAACTTCAGCCGAGTGGCTGGGGATCGGTTTTTCCCGAAATCCCGGATTTGCCGGCTCGTGGTAGGGGTCTGTTGGTCCTCCGGCTCCGAGTCTTCCTGTTCTTCCGGCTCGGGGGTCTTCCGCTTGTCTTCTTGGATTTCTGGATGGTTTAGACACTTTTTGCGGCTAATTGGGTAGCATCCCGTTACTCGGAAGCCCGAGCGGATGTTTTTTGGCGTAAACGTCATGTCCTTGCCTTGTTATAATAGCGGATAAAGTTGATCTTGTTAACAAGAGAGGAATCAGTCAGAGAATTTAACTGGGTGAGGAATCTCTGGTAGTAGGACTTGAGGGCGTTATAGGGGCCGTTATCCAGTGGTTGCATTCCATGGCTGGTATGTGCTGGGAAAAAGCATAGCAAGATGTTGGCAAAATAACACTGCATCATAAATTCGTCCTTTCTACAATCAGTTGCTATTTAAATCGGAATAAATTAAATAACCAGTAAATAAAATAGAAAAAATTGGTGTACGTACGGAGGTATGGCTACCATGGCCATCTAGGATCAAAAGGACTGGTTCCCACTGCTCCTGGCCACGAATTTCATCTACTTGTGGTATGAAAACGTGCTCAAGCCACTGGCAGGCGATATCGTTACTGGTCCAGCCGTTTTCCGACGTTATATAGTACCAGTTGGCTATCTTCTGGAATTCCTCGAGGAACCACTACGCTTGAAGATCTTTTCCCTTGAAAATCAAGCCTGGTTTGAGTACTCTACCGGTAGCTGAAATGGTCTCGATGAAAGATGTCCACGAGCGGCCCTGGGGGCTCTTTAGGAAAGCTTTCCTCGTCTCAGAACTTCCCAGAACTAGGGAATCGATGCCTATAAGGGTAGTTAGTTGACTGTGAGGATAGGGGGCTCAAAAGAGTTACCAAAACCCGACATGATGCCGCCTTTATCGACATTGTACGTATTTTCTGGCTTCACCCAGCCGTAGTCCTCCAAGATGTTGAAGAACCAGTTCACAGACTTAGGGGTAAACCCCTTAAACCGAGCGGATTCTATTCGCTTGCCGATTTTAGTCTGAATGGTAGGGTTGCGTCGTTTAAAGCTGTCCATATAGTGGTTCCCAAGTGGTGCGAAATCCCCCTTTCTTTTTAGGAGTTCTACCATAATTTCCCTAACGGCTGAGTGAGAAGGGGCAAGCCCCAAAGTCTCCTGGCGCAATATCCAGGCTGCTACCTTGCTTTCTTGCTCGGGAGAAATTCTCTGCTCGGTGGTGTGAGCCTCCGTTTTAGTCCCTCTCCCCCTTATGCGTGCTGACAGCGTGCTGGCCGGGACGCTGTATTTTTGGCTGGATTTTCTCACGGACATGCCATTATCTGTGACGTCTAGGTAGGCATCCACCACATCATCCTCTGTATACGTGGGCGGAGGCATCGTGGCTGGCTTCAGGATGCTGTGGTGCATGAGGGACAGGGGCTCACAGAGAGAATTCTACAGCAAATTTGTATTTAAGGGCGGGGCACGGAGGCTGCTAAATGCCGATGCCGATGGCCCAGCAATTAAATAATCTATATTCCGCTAAACACCAAGAAAAGGGCTATTTAACCATCTAAAGAAAGTCTAGATACCCTCAAAAGGGGCTATAATCCGTGTAAGTGAGTAAGGGGACTTTTAGTGGTGATTGTGGGGTTTGGCTGTGCCGGTTGGGGGGGTGTGCCGGTTCGGGGGGTCGGATGGTATGTAAGTGTATGCATCAAGCGTCATGGAGGACTGGTTCGTCACCCTGCAAGCCGATGGTGAAAAGGGCCCTGGTTGTGCATGTCTCCACACTTCAGGCAGTGAATCGAGCCACTGTTTAACAACAAGTTCAGTATGCCTTTGGGGAGTCATGACGTATGAACATGTAGCCTCGTCCAAAACTGAGGACCTCGTGAGTTGCTTAGAGCATGTTTCCCATGAAAAATCCTTTGAATCTCGGTATAATACTAATGCGGCCTTTTGCACAGCCTCCTGTTGATACCAGTGGGCGTGTTCAGAGTACATATAACCCAGCCACCAAATCAGTGTAGTTGCTGGATAAGACTCATATGACTGGTCATGTCAACTAGGGGTATGACAACACCCTGCGCTGAAGTAAATATAAGGGGCACTCTCTTAATCTGTTTCCATACTTCTTTGCCCTCTGTTTGAAGGGCGGTAAGCTCGATGTTCGTCATCTTCCACCACCAGCCAGGATAGCTGAAGGTTATTACCATGAGTACGACGACTAGGAAGTATATAACGGCTGACGAAGAAGTCGGAGCCATACCCAACGGTTGGGATGTACAGTGTGTGGGAGAAGCGAATCGTATTGCCTTCTACCCCATGAACGATGAAAATGGCACTTTTGAGCATCCCGTCTTCGGCTTGCTCCCTCAACCCTGGGAACTCCGGAAGACAATAGGAGCACTGCATTACCATTACTTCAACACGTCCATCAACGAGGCCTCTGATCATGGGCCACGCAGGGTGCTTCGGCCCGCAAGCCCACCCTCTGGAGCTATAAACACCCGGCCGGCAGGCATGGGAGAACTCGAACGAAACGTCATAGCCCAACATCCACTCCACGGCGAGTACACCCGGCTGAAGACCCTCGATACCGGCACCGGCGACATCGGGGGGATGAACGGCGGGATCTACGTCGTCGGGAGCAGTACGACCGGGCAACTCTATGTCGAGAAGCGCTACAAGACGACCAGCCCCTTCATGCAGGAACTCGTCAAGTCCGAGATATACCAGACAAGACAGCTTGTTCACCACGCCATCATCCACTACGTCGACGCGTACATCGAGTACAACCCCTTCAGGGCCTCGCTCTACATGGAATACTGCGATCGCGGAACGTTGAAGGATCTCATCGTCAAGTACAAAAAGAAGAAGAAGGCTTCCAAGCAAGACAGGATACCCGAGAGCTTCCTCTGGCACACGCTCATATCGTTAGCGGACGCCCTCGCGTACCTCAAGACAGGCCGGAGTTTCGCAGCCCCCGAACTCGATAAGCCCGACCCCACGACGTGGAAGCCCATCGTCCATCGCGATATCAAGCCAGGCAACGTCTTCTTGCGCTCGCGCGACTCGCCTACCTCGCAGAAGCCGTTTTATGTGCTGCTGTCCGACTTCGGGCTCATGGACTACGAGTCGCAGGACCAAGGGGGCGGCCCCGAGGGCGCGTGCGGAACAGCCGAGTATCACGCGCCCGAACTGACCTTTGATCCATACCCCAGTGAGGAGCAGCGGCATTTCCAGGCACGCCCGCACACGGGCCGATCCGACGTCTGGGCTGTAGCTTGCACGCTGCTCTGCATGTGTGAGCGCGACGACCTGCCGCATATGGACCGCGAGTGCTGGCCGTTGCGCAGCCGGAAGGCCCTGGGCCGCATCGCGAAGCTGGAGTCCCTGGACATCACCGACGTCGGGATCTACTCGGAGTACCTGGCGAGGACCATCTCGTGGGCTGCCTCGAGTGATCCGGCAACGCGGCCTGATGGTGAAGAGCTGATCAAGGAGGTGCTGGCTCAGTGGGATTTGTGGAGGTCGGATCCGAGTTGGAAGGAGCACGTTGATGTGGGAGGGATGCTGCCTTCGTGGGCTACTAGAAAGCGCACCGTCACGTTTACGCCTTTGCCGTTACCCTGATGACGCTGGCTGGCCGGATATCGGGTATTGGCGGCTCTCTTGAACTGCGCGTCGACTTGTGTACCTACGGTTTTTCACAGACACTGGCTTGGTCATCGAAAAATAGGCAACTTACGATTTGAGAAATCAGAGAGTTCAAATGTGTTGCTTGACTCGATTGTGATTGCGACCCGCGGCACCCAACTTCGTAAGCATTTACTAAACAGAAAGCACATTATGAATCTACTTGCCTAACCAGCAGCCAGTTTGGGGGGGGGGGGGGGGGGGGTGCTCGGCGGAACACCACCATCTTTTGGTGGTGATATCATGGGTCGCTCATATTTTACGATCGACCTGTCAAGAAGAACTCCCCAGCTTTCGCGCTATCATCACCAAGCCGTTCCTGCATCTGCGTTGATAACTCCATTGCCTAACCTACATGCAGTACGAGCCTTCACGCTATAGGTCCACTGCCAATATATGTAGATTACAGGTTACATACAAGGTGCCAATCCTCCTCGAGCGCTTATCAGTCGACGTCTCACTGCTTTCGATGACAACTGTGAATCTATGTGCCCCTGCCTGACACGACGACGACAACGACGACGACAACGCTGCGAAGTCAAATAGAATAGCCGTTGGCCTTCCATTGCTGCAGGTTGCATGCTTCCCCGCAATATCAAGGCGACGGACCTGTACTTGTTGCTCGTTAGTACATAGCGGTATTTGGGCTTCGAAGGTCGTAGTAGTCACCTACGTGAGCAGGGGTCAGGGAGACCTCCTCAGTAACTTCTGGCTTCGATGTCCAGCTGCGCACGTGTCTGGCCTTGCCTCCCCAGGCTTCTCGTTTGTCGTTCGCTCGTCGCCGTGGTGATGCGAATGAGAGCAACCGGATGTCCGGCGATGCCGCGGCCGGCCAGCGACCCTTGGTATAGACGTTCGGCGCGTCATGCACGCCGACCCTCAGCCGAACGGATCCCTCACTCTCGCTCCCTCTTCTCTCCTTATCGACAGGAACCCTGGAATGAGTAGACTCTTTGATTAAGCCGAGGCGGTGTTGAGGCGACCTACTTCACCAGCAGTGACGGTGGCCGTGGCCGTGGTGCTGGCCTGCGGTGCAGATGCGAGGAGCGCGTAGGGCATCGGGTAGTAAGGGCGCGCCGCCGTGAGGGCTACCAGCGCTGAGACGAGGAGAGTGCGGTTGATGAGAGTGCGGGCGTGCATCTTGCCGGCGGTGATGGTCGCGAGTCTGGGCGGCAGTTCTTGTCACTTTATTCGGCGCGTGGTGAGTGAGAGTGAAGCATGAAGTGCGTAAGGTGTCTGTCTGGGCACCAGGAGGGAGGGAGAGGCGATTTTGTGCCTTTCTGCCGTATTGCTTGGGGTAGGTAGGCCATGCCGAAAGAGGAGTGTTGCGCTCGGCACCGCGGAGGAAGTATAAGGTTGAGTTCGGCTTTGCTCTGTGTCTTAAAGTTAAATGCTGCTGGTGAGGATGCTGAATGACGGGGAGCCCAGTCGAAGGGGGCCATTATCCCATTCGCGGGTCAATGCTAATATGATCTGTGTGACCCCCTTATTCGGCTAATTCTTAAGGTTGGAATCGATTCCATTGTCGCGTTGGAAACATCGTCAATGTGACCGTCGGATGGACCTTGTGACGCATCCCGACGTGGCGAGGGGATCATAAACAACGTTGCTGCTACTTGAAAGCAAGACGAGTCAATACCGGTATTGGGATTAGGTAACTGCAATGATAGCACCATTGGAGAAATCTGCGTGTGTATCGAAGCTTAGCCTGGCCTATTCATCGAAGCTGCCTCCCGACTGGTCCCGCACTCAGGGGTAAGTCATTTGCAATGAGGCGGACGAGATAGGCATGGCCAAGGCACCACTGCACATTCATGCATGTATCGTCTGAAACAGTATTTGTTGAATCTTTATGGGAGTACTATGTCGCTTTCTGACATTTTAAGCCGTGACTTTATCTCCTACCGGTCTGGCTGGAAGTGGGAGGTGATGGTAGCACGAAAGGAATTGTCTACGACCAGGAGTGGCAATTTTGACCTGCGACAGGACGCTTTGCTGCAGTCCTGCCGCCAACAGTTGCAGAATTCTCCTGGCCCCTTTATTAGCCTGCTTCCCCCTCTACACTGTAACTACAGTGAATCTAGGGGGTTGGCACGGTGTGCTACGTTGTAGGTTACACAGCCTGCCTGCAAGGGGTGAGATCTCTGTTGGCAGCAGCCAACGGTCTTCATGTACTTCGCCTTGATCCTTCATCCTCAGCTGCCTACGGGGTTCTCCCGAATTTAAAAGATTCACAAAAGCCCTTGCCAGCAACCTCTTTCAATCACATTTCACCATCTGCGACCTGCGACCTCCCCCTTATTCCTTCTACACCGGCATAGGAGACTACCTGTTGGGACCCAGATCCAACACCACATCCCGCTTATTTTTCCCGCAGCACCCTCCCTGTCATCACGTTCCAACCCAGTATATCATCGTCATGGCGGCGAACCAAACAAAGACAGCTGCACTTGATTTCACGACGTTCCACAATGTCATTGATGGTCAATTGACGGGTCCAGGTACAACCTATCACACTGTCAATCCAGCTAATCTCGAAAATAATCTAGGGGTGCCTTCTAGCACACTTGGAGATGTCAACAGCGCGGTGGAGGCTGCTCAACGAGCAGCCAAGTCATGGGCTGAGGTTCCCTGGGACGACCGCAAGACCGCTCCCGGGGGCTTCATAGCTGCGCTCGAGGATCTCTCGGATGACTTTGCGCAGATGTTAAACAAAGAGCAGGGAAAGCCAGTCAGTATTGCTGCCCAGAGACTGAACAGTGGTTTGTAATAACTAATGATATGTGCAAGCTCTTCTGGGCAAAGCATGAGATCGCCACCGCCCTGGACTTCCTGAAAGGCTTCTGCAAGCTCACGCTGCCGGAAGAAACCATCGAAGACGCCCCGGAGCGGAAGGTCACCATCCACTACACGCCTCTATGAGTTGTGGCCGGCCTTACACCCTGGAACTATCCTGTTCTCCTGGCTTGTGGGAAGATAGGTCCAGCGGTGCTGACAGGAAACGCATTCATCCTGAAACCGTCTCCCTTCACACCGTATTGCGGACTCAAGATGGCCGAGCTTGGCACTGGTTTCTTCCCGCCTGGTATCTTCCAGGCCTTGAGTGGAGAGGATGAGCTGGGGCACATGCTCAGCACACACCCTGGTGTGGAGATGGTTACGCTCACGGGTAAGGCCTTGATGTTTCTTCTTTTGCCCATTTATCCACAACTGATTCTAATGAAGAACATCAGGCTCCGTCGAGACTGGCAAGAAAGTGATGGCAGCATGCAACGCGACCCTGAAGCGCGTCATACTCGAGCTAGGCGGCAACGATGCCGCCATCGTGTGCGCAGACGTTGACCCTGCTGTAGTTGCACCCCCAAGAATTCGGATGTCAGAAGCACAGCGGTCTGGGTCCAGAATGGGGTGTTGAAGGCTTGAAGGCCTGTTGTAACCTTCAAAGTGCGTACGTCAGGGCACTGTAGATTGAACACACGAGAAACAGAGATCCGTTTGCTATAGATGCATTCTCTAGCTACTACTAGACGACCGCAGCACAAGGTGGTTTCTAGGGAATATGCCAAGCTGGCTGGCATCCTGCTCCGCCCACCTGTTCCGCAGCTTATCATGGGTTCCTGGATGATCATGACAAGGGGCCCAGACCACGCTAACCCAGAGGTATCAGCCGTAGGCCCAACTAATTTATGCTTACTCTCGAGCCTCTCAGTCTCGGGGGCTTTGTGATTCTTACCTCTGGGCCCTGGCCAAATCTGACAGTAATTGAGCGGTAGCAATTGTACAGCGTTTGTCTTCCATGGCACAGCGATCCAAAGGTGGATGTATAACATGTCGGTAAGAGACACTCATGCCAAGTATGAGCGTACTTGAAGACTCACGACCTCGGCTAGAATCCGTCGTGTCAAATGTGACGAGACAAAACCGCAATGCCAGCGCTGCTCAACCACCCAGCGCGTCTGCGATGGCTATCTCGAGCCGGGGAAGCATATGTCCCGTCGGCAGCTCGTCGATGCGGTTCGAGACTCGTCCACGTTAGGGCCGGCGTCAACAACTTTGAATGGGACCAAGTCACCGGCCATAGCCTTTGGGAGTCCTGCTCTACCTCAAACGCGGCTGAGCACGCTCCCTTTCGGGGTAGCAGCGACCGACGTCCTCTACTTTGAACACTTCCGATCGTCCACGGCGCCGAGTACCGACTCATTCATCCCTTCTGGTTTCTGGCGGCAGGATCTACTGCAGCTGGTACACACCGAACCGGCCTTGTGGCACGCTGTATCGGCCGTCGGCGCTCTGCATCGACGGTGGGGCCGTGAAATACACACGTCAAGGATGATCTAGTCCGCGTTGCCACCATGCATTACGGCAAGGCCATGTCTTTGGCCAGGAGTCTCGACTCGCCGGAGAGGCTTCTTGCTCTCAGCCTTCCCCTGATCGCCACAGCGAACATGCTGGGCTTTTGGAGGGACTCCCACGCCCATATACTGTCCGCTCTTAAGCTTCTCCCCAGGGGCGGAGCCCAAAGTTGGTCCGATGCTGCATCAATCGGGGCCACACTGACGCGCATGGACTTGCAATCCATGACTTTCAGTGACTCGGCGTCTCCATACCCTTTCGACACGCGGTTCGCGCTTAGCGATCCCCGTGAAGGCGAGCTGCAACCTGGGGGCCAGCGACAGACATACTCACAGGCTTCGTCTATGCTCTTCGTGCTTATACGGCAGATCATCTTCCACACCCAAGCTGTTGAAGACCATGCTATCAGTAGAATCACCTTCATGAAGGCGCACGCGCGGTTAGAAACCAATCTGGCGCTGCTGGAGCAACAAATGGCGGACCTCGAAGCCAGGCCTACGAAAGAGAAGCACGAGTGCGCCTCGATATCCGTCCGAATCTACCACACGTGGCTCAGGTTGATGATGAGAATCCCGCCGTTCTCGCCGCAGACAGCCAACGATGAGAACCTGGCGTATTTTGAACGCATCGTAGTGCTCTGCAAGGTCTTCCTTGACCGACAAAGCCCGGTCCAGGATCTCCAGCTGAGCCTCGAACCGGCCCTCATCGTACCGCTTTTCGAAACAGCCAAGCGCTGCCGTCACCCCCGCCTGCGCCGCACCGCGCTCAATCTTCTCAAAGGGATGAACCGGCAGGAGGGTATGTGGCGAAGCGACGGCGCTGCGTCAGCGGTTGAAATACTTATCGCGAAGGAGGAGAGTATCGCAATGGATGAGCTTGCAGATCTTTTGGCGACATCCCACATCAGCGACCATCTCGAGGAAGCCGCGCTGGCTGTGCCGTGGTCGGCGTGGTCGTCCTCCGAGTTCGAGCTGCCTACGACATATACCTGGGAAGGGGTTGCGAAGGTTCCCGAAGAGGAACGAGTCCTCGAGATGCTAGTCCTGTCACGTTTCGACGACCAGAAGATTGATCTGAGGCTGCTAATGTGCTCTGGAGATGAGAGGAAGGCGTTTGGGGATACGAAAGAGTATGTTATTGACTACACTCGTAGGTAACTAACTGTAAAGAAACAAAGAATATTAAAAGGTCGCAGTCTATAAAACTAATCCCAGCTCCATATTGACACTATATGTAAGCTCCCGCATGTTGAATGACTGCCAGGGCCATGATCACGGCCATCACGGTCCTGGGCAGCCCCCTCAAGGGCCTAGATCCAATGCTTAGCCGATCTTCATTTCCAGCTGCATTGTCTTTATCTCCCCGAAGGACATTGGTTCTTCGATTCGAGAGGCTTGGGCAGTGCTCCTTGTGGCTCGACTACTACCCAATCCCGAACTACAGCACTCCCGTCTATTAATGCTGACAGCTGTTCATTCGTGAAAGTGAAAGGTGCATCAACGACAAAGCAGGTGCTCTCTTTTGGCTCAGGTAACACATTGAGGACGTCGTAGACCGTGCCAGGACCTTGGGTAGAGTAATCGGTGGTTTGGGCGAGGCTCGTATTTCCGGTTGCCACATCGCGGCCGAACATGGCTCGCTCAAAGATCCTGGATAGAGTCTCCGGCTGGTAGCCTGCGACACCGTGGCCAGCTTGGAAGACGCGAGAGAACGACAGTGGGCCATGTTCGCGAACAAGGCCACCCTGGTAGGAGGAGTTGGTCGCAATGGGTTCGTAGCCAGCGGCGCGGAAGCCCTCAGCAGAAGCGAAGTCGAGTGATAAGCTGACGTTCTCACCTCCATACCCTTAGAAACGCCGTGTCAGCTTTGGACCCGCAGACTTGATTGAGTTGAACCTACAGTTGCAGCGGTAGTCGCGGTCTCCGTACATGAGCGCAACATTAACACCCGTGTCGAGGACCTTCTCCAACGAATGAAGACTGCGTCTCATAGGGTCTCCTGTCAGTCCAAAAAATGCCTGGACAACCAGATTCGACGATGGCGTGAAGTTAAGAGGCACACCCAGGTCTTGTTGGACCCATTGTTGGTTGAGGAAGACGTCCTTGTAAGGAATAGGGTAAACTGAGATATTGAGTGCGGTAACGTCGAAGGCGGCTCGCTGTATGCTTGGTCAGTCCCTGGATATAAACTTGTATTGCGTCATGAGGCTACATCTGAGAGGGCACCGTACGTCCCTTGTACTACACCCCAGCAGACGTTCGTTGCTGCTACACAGGCCTCGTTGACAGTCTGGTTGTTTCCGAAGCTGAGGGGGTCCCCCTCGGCAGCAAGCGCCCGACAGTTGTCGATCAAAGCGTAGCATCCAGTCTCAGGCTCCGTAATGTTGCCCATGACCATATCGTACACCTGCTCGGGGTAGATTTCGAGTCCGTAAGTGTTATTGAAGGCGAACGTTGGATACCCCTTCCCCATGGCCCTGGCGTCCATGCAGGCATCTGCGAGACCAAGAGTGGCGAGGTCAAAAGTGGTAGCATTAGCGAGAGTCGGCTCGCCGGCCTCGATGAGGTGGTTCTGCTCCAGGAAATGTTCGAATATCCCAGGACCGTAAAAGCCTCCGTACTAGAAACCACCAGCGTCAGTCCTTGCCTTTATTTATTGGGTACGGGGTCCAATGACTGTACCGAAACTGCCCACAGGGATACTTCGGTGCTGCCTGTTTTCCAATGAGGGAACCTTTGTTATATGCGTCAGCGCTGCACAGGTCCAAAGTCAATAGCAGGAACATCGAACGCACTCGTTGAACCAGACTTGAGAAAAGGTCCAGATAGTCCTGGCAGTACTAGCTGTGGTGTTTGTCACCGTAGAGGGCTCACTCGGGTCGAGGGTTGCTTGACGCAATGTCACGTTTAGCTTTGGTAGTCTCTCGCCATCATCGAGTGGCACGAACTCCTGTGCCACGAAGCCGAGTGTTCCGTTGACTAGTGAAACGTACGAGAACCCCGTGAGAACCGGCTGGTCAATGTAGAGCATGTTGACTTTGTCATTCCAGGAGAACTCATTGATGGTGGTAGAGTTGCCGTCTGGGTTGAAGAAGCAAGGAAAGTCGGACATTTCGTCAAAGGATGTCGCTCCTGGCCCACCGCCGAGATAGATCGAGGTCGGCGCATTCTTGGGGTCTTCTCGAGCCTCTAGAGGTATGATGTTAGTACATGTGTGATCGGTTTGCTGGTAGGGCTGTAGTGTCCTACCAAAGTACCAGAAGAACAGGTGTGCAGCCTTTTTATCGCGCCAATTACTGGCATCGGGTAGCATATCCTTGGGCAGGGTCACATAACCGCTATATGCTTCGACGCCTTCTGTCGTCTCGCAGACGCTGGTCTACATTTTCGTCCCAAGTTAGTCGGTTGTTCTTATGTGCCACTGTCTGCGATCATTTACCTTTTTGAATGAGATTTCAGCGCCCGGAAATAGCGTCGACGAAAGCCGGATCATGTCCCGTGGCGTTGGTACAAATTCCTGCGCGTCAGCAACGCTGGCAAAAGCGAACACCAAAAGAATATACGGATACACTGTGCAAAGATGGCGAAAGTGCGTATCATGAGTATTCAGTTGGGCCACGTTGTGATGTTCCTAGTCCAGGGCGTGGAAGGGCATCAGCAGTGGCTCTTATACAGTAGTCAAGCCATGCTCACGACAAGAGCCAACATGATATCCACAAGCATCTCGACAAGTGAGCCACACGATGCGTTCACTACGCCTCAGAGTCCAAGTAGATCCAGACTCCTCATATTTTGTTCCGCCCCTCAAGGTTTGGCGATATAACCAATAAGATGACTTCGCTCCACAGCCTTGCTATTACAAGTAATCTCGAGTTCATTGCCCTCAAGGAACCCAGTAACCTCCACAGATGAAGCAAAGCTCTAGTAATCTACTAGAGGCTCCATTACGCGGAAGCCCGCAGGCTCTTTTACATGGGTGAGGAGTCCCATGGTATGGTGTGAAGCTATGTACCATCGGTTCCCAGTGCACAGCCCTGCCCGCCCCTCTGCCCCTTTGACTGCTGGAGGAATGAAGAGCATGTCAGCGTCGCCATCGCGTTTTGGCGAGCGGACCAATCGCTGTTGCGGAGCTGTCGTGTAAGCAGAGACACGCCACGATCATCGCCCGTCGGTGCGCAGCCCTCCCAGAGGCCAGGATTGCCCTGGCCATTGCTGTGACACATTTCAAGGGCTTCCTAGGGGTTGCATAGTCAGCACAGTAAATGCTGGTAAGAGACGATTTGCCTCCCGAGGGCCATGATTACAACTTTTTCGGTCAGATTGCAGTCTGACAGTCCTTGGATTGTCACCCAGACAGTTACGCTGATTGTGTTGGTTGACTCTGATGATACCTCTCATATGATGTTCGTGATACGCATCGCTGTGAAATATGTATGTCATGTTTTCTGCCACTTAAACGTGGTGCGAAGTCAGTGATATAAGTGATATAAGATATGCACCCGTCTACATAGACAGCGTCCAATCGGTCACCGACTACAGAGGGTAGCCTCTTACCGAGTAGAACAAGTCATGGACTGAGAAATCACCAACTTCTGGTGTGCGACATATCAGAAAGGATGGACGATGTCGACAAGGTCGCTGATGTCTTGAGCGAGGCTGATGCATACCTCGGGCTCCGTAACGGAGAGCTTGAGGCCCGCAACAGCGCCCGGAGCAGCGCAGAGATCCGCCAGCAAGCTGCGAGCAGCGGCAAGCCTTCTGTAAACATCCGCCGTTCTTAGAAGTGCACCGTGGAGCTTACGCCTAGCCACGAGAGGCCACCCTCCGTGCGGGCGGCTTCCCGAGGGAGTGGGTGACATGGGGCCAACTTGCGGTGTTGACCGTGTTTGTGGGCTTCCATTGGCCAGAGCCATGAACATGTTTTGGTATGTATTCACCTTGAAAACCTCTACATAGACCGCTTAACTGGAGGATTTTGCTTTGCGGTACTGCCTAGGTAGGTAATCTGGGTGGGTGTTTGCTAGGGACCTCTTCTGTTCAGTAAAATCTTCGAGAAGCACACGACGTCCTCCTCCCAGCCCTGACAGTAAATTGCACCAACATCTATGATAACAAGAAGCGCGAGCCTCACCTGAATCTTCCGGCCTCTACCTCGCCGAGTCAGGCTGTTTCGATCAAGTTATCGCTATCTCGTCACGCATCATGTCAATTGATCACAACCTCACGGCCGCCATCGGGGCCAGCGCCGAAGACCGTGCCGGCTCCTATGCCGTCATGCATGTGCTAGCTGCCACAGTCATAGTGGCGCTCTTCTCATACATTTTTACCCAGAGGAGAGGCCGGAAGAAGGTGAGCCAGAAGTCCCAAGAGTCTTGTGTTCATATGCCTAGAACGCTTCTGACGAGTCTTGTTACACCCCGGCAGCTGGAGACTGCGATTGCAGAACAACACAATTGCAAGCCCGTCATCCCTTTCGTGCCGTACAAATGGCCCCTCGCCCTTGATCTCCTCAAACGTCAATACTACATCTTGTTCAGTGACAACACATTCGAACGCCTGACGCCGTTCTTCGACCTGGCCGGGACATGTCGCATCCACCTCTTTGGCAACACCGGCTACTTTACGACCGACCCGGAGAATATCGAGGCCATTCTCTACACCCGATTCGACGATTATGGTCTCGGCAGCCGCCGCCTGGCTTTCTTCTCGCTTCTCGGCGAGGGGATCTTCGGACAGGACGGGCCGGCGTGGAAACGGTCCAGGGAGCTCATTCGACACCAGTTTGTTCGGGTACAGAAGCAGATTCCCGAGGCCTTCACGCCGCTAGTCGACGAGCTTGTATCTGGCATCGCGGAGGCCGCAGTTGACGAGCAAGTGGACCTGAAGCCTCTTATGTACCAGTTCACCTTGGCCACCACCACCATGCTTCTGTTCGGTGAGCCCCACAGTAGCATGGCAAAGGAGGAACGGGATGCGGTACGCGATAACTTCGATTACGCTGCTTTTGGCTGCGGCATCCGTGTCCGGCTCGCTGACGTCGCCTGGCTCTACAACCCTGCCAAGTACAGGAATGCCTGCAGGGCTGTGCGTGATTAGGCAACCTTCTTTGCGGCAAAGGCTATCGAGTACAAGAACGACTTCGGTGAAGAGGCGGCTGCCGAGAAGTATGCTTTCATCATTGACTTGTAGAAAGAAATGCAAGATTTCGAGGTGGTCCGCGACCAACTGTTGCACGTACTCGTCGTCGGACGAGACTCGACGGCAAGTCTGCTGTCTTAGACTTTGTGGGTTCCATTCTCTACGCCTGAGGCAGCTAACTGACCGTGTTCAGCTTCCATCTTGTTCGCAACCCTGTCATCCTAGAGCGGTTGTTGGAGGAGATTGCTTCCGTCCCCACGGGCGGCGACATAACGCGGGATCAGATTCAGCGGCTGCCCTTCCTCCGGTGCTGGCTCAACGAGAGTATGTTTTCATGTCAGCTCCGAATTGCATGGCCACACATTGACAAGCTGTAGCCCTGCGCTTGTATCCGACGCTGCCCTTGAACCTCCGTTCTGCCAATAAGCCTACCGTCCTCCCTCGTGGCGGCGGGTCCGATGGCAGGTCGCCAGTTCTGCTACCCAAGGGAGCTGGTATCACCCACTCCGTCTACCACCTTCACCGTCTCGAGTCCATTTATGGGCCGGACTCCAGAGTCTATCGCCCGCAGAGATGGGAAGATGGTGAGCTGATCAGGAAGGCCCGTCTAGGGGCTGGCTACGTGGACTTCAATGCCGGCCCGAGGCTTTGCTTAGGCAGTAAGCAAGCTCAGCATAGACATCTACTGTCGGGCGACTTGCTAACTTTATATAGAGGATTTCGCCTTGATGGAAGCAAGCTACGCTATTGTCAGAGTTCTCCAGGCATATCCTAGCATTCGACTTGCTCTTGGGACCCCGAATTAGCCTGTCGGAGACGAGAAACATACGTACACTATATCGTTGTCGCCTGTAAGTGGTGTGCTCGTAACATTGGCGTAATCAGAACAACGAATGTCGAGGGTAGGCCGGAGAGGACACGATGATTAATACGCGCACGGTATCATGGGCCGCGGCTAGCAGCATATGCGAGACTGACTGGAGCGGGTTGACAGATACGGTGCAATGCAATTTAGATGCCCGAGTTGTACGGGTTTAGCTGACGAGAGGCGGGATAGAGCGGGATAGCGATTATCCCTGAATACGAGTCTGCTATGCCGGGATAACAATCCCTCCAATCCCGCTCTATCGCCGGAAACTTCCGTTGCTGACGGATTTAACGCGCTTATCAAGTCGCCGTCGTCTTTCACATCAATTGATTCTACTTAGTCAATCCCGTCTTCTTTCTTTCGTCACCTCCGGGTTTACAATCGCTCATTCAATCGTTCCACAATACCTCTGGAAGAACAGCTTCCCTGACCTGTTTCAGTGGCAGTCCAGTGACAAGGCCTAAATCTGTTCCTGGATATTTGCGGCAGGCCTTCAGCGCGTTGCAACGGGATAGCGTACCACCTCAGCATCGCGCATCGCGCAATGTCAAGCACCCCCGGCCGTGAAGGGAATACCGGCCGCCCTCGCAGCCCCCTTCGCCGCCCTCGAGCATGCTTGCCCTGTACGAAAGCCAAAGCACGCTGTAACTACGACGGCAACAGGGTTGACAGTGGCTGTGAACGGTATTGAGTCCTCCGAAACCCCCGCCAGGATCTCCTGGCTGTTAGCTACACGTCTAACAGGCACTTGCAGGTGTCATCGGTTGAAGGTCACATGTACAGCCCAGACAACGAGGAGTATAAGGAGGCCAAGGCAAGTGAAGACGAAGCCAACGAAGTATGTCTTTGGTTATAGCCCCCTTTATTTTGGGCCAATGGCTGTCCACCCCAAGACACAGCTGACAGACCTAGCAGCACCGCTGTCTCTACCAGCGTAGACCAGTCGACCGTGAATCATGCGGAAACTCTTTTACCTGATGGTACATGGAGAATACCTAGCAGTGACCTGCGGGACCGGACTTTGGAGGCCAGACATGAGGTTCCCACCACAAATGTGGTACCCGAGCATGCGCCAGTCCATATAACGACACTGGACACTATACCAAACCACCCCCGGCAGTCTGACGATACTGCAGGAAACATCTACCGACAATTCCGGGGTTTGGCTTGACCTGGCCCCAAGCTGAGAAAGCCATCTCAGAGTTCAACTCGATCTTCTCGATTCATTTCCCCTTCGTAACTCTAGATCCCGACACCACCGCATATCAACTCCATCGTGAGAAGCCTCTTCTGGTTAGGGCCATAATGCTTGTCGCCATCAGGCTTACAACCGCAAAGCAGAAGGAAATCAGGAGAAGCATCAATGCGTGGATAGGTCAACACTTGCTGGTCAAGGAGGAGGCAGACATCGGTACCCTTCAAGGCCTACTGGTATTTATCGCTTGGTAAGCTTGCCTATTAACTCACGAAGTCTTGTTGACCAAGAGCAGGCCCCACCATGAATTCTATCTTGACGAGCAGCTTACCCAACTCATATATCTCGCTGTCGGCCATGCACACAGTCTGGGTATAACGAGTCGTCGACCAAGCCCATTGACTCACAAGGTGATGGTGGCAGTTAAGCCAAGAGACATTAGCGACGCTTTGATCGGGCGTAGCCTGACAACGGACAGGGAGGAGTCACATAGCTCTGAAGAGAAACGGGCCTTCTTGGCTTGCTACTATTTCCTCTCGGTGTAAGTTGAGTATGAACTTAAAGGCGTTTTTGAACAATAACTGAACACAAATATCCAGGAACTCTTCCCAATTTAGTCGCTGCAACACATTGAAGTCGGACTACGTGGCTACTTGTGTCGAGTCGCTTGAACAGTCAGGCGAGTTTGCGACCGATATGCTCCTCACCAAACAGGTCAAGTTTCGGCAGGTGGTTGATCGCATAGCCGAGACGATGCCTGTTATCCATGAGTCAGGTCGGAATAATGATTTCACATCGGCTCTTTACGATGAACTGGAATCGATACGTGCTCAGCTCGAGAGGATTTGCGATAACGTAGCTTACGAACATCCCAAATTCGGTAAACCTCGCAGATTGTCTTTACTCTTCCGGTGAGGTCATCTTGCAGGTTCTAGCTTATAGCTAACTCAGTCGCTTCCGCAGTTTTGCTTTGGACTGTACAAAGCATTGCTTTGCTCCGATTATACCTGCCTGTCACATACCTGCGGCCTACGGCAGAGGAGGGAGTATCGCAACGCCACCTCCAATGCATGCTGTACGGCCTACAAGCAGCCCGTACCTTTTTCACGACTGTTGCATCTCTCGGCGCAATAGGGCTCTTGTATTGTCCTTTTCCCGTACTGGCCGATTGGACCTATGCCATTGGCGCATCATCGCGACTTTTGCTGGTTAGCACCGATGGCTGGGACTTGGACCACGCGCGACGAACACTCGACCTTCCATTCTTCCTGGACGACTTAATTGCTAAGATGACGGCTGCGAGTCAACTGAGGAACGAAAAGGTCGCAGAGAACACGGCGTTGTTCCCTTCGAGCTTTGCGCAGGACACCCCAGAAGATGAAGAAGAAGAAGAATCCTACAAGAAGTACGCGAACAAGATCAGAGTCATCAAAGCTTGGTATGAGGAGCGGATATCTGCGCCGGTTGAGGATCCACCGCAACCTCACCATGCAGGCGTCTCTGAGCCTTTGGAACAGACTCGAGTACTGAATCAATTCTTCATGGGGCTGTTGGGATACGATAGTTGGAACATGGAGTTTTAGGAGCGTTGGGTAGACCGTCGTTCTTGAAGTTCAGATCTTACTCTGTTGGTTATCGAAGTACCAAGCACGGGAATCTTCAGCCACGTATGTCTAAGCTAGCACAAGCGCATGAGGCTCTTTCAGAAAACAATCACTGAAGCGCCTTCTCCGAGGCAGTCATGCCGTCTGTTCGTGAAAAGGGCATGTGCTCTTTCAGCTCGATGATGGACTAAGTTGCCTCCTTGTCGATTCTGTGCAACAAGACAGCACCACTTGTTGTCTTGAACATCGACAAAGGCTGTTACAATCAACAAGGGTACTCCGTTGTACACTATGGAACAATGGCATTGTCAAAGCCATAGCTATAGCAGAACCATATACCGACAGTTAAACTAGAAAACATATATTATGCCCAGACCACTTCGAGGACTCAGCATGTTTTGATCAGCAATAACATCAAACACCCCCGACCTTGAGGTCACTGTCAACAGCACTGGAATCAAGCACCTCAACGAGCACCTCTGCCCTGACTGCGTGGCGGGGTACTCGAGCAAAGACGGCTCTGTCATGATCACCGCCAAGGAGCCCGCAGCCCAGACCAAGATCATCAAAGAGGGTTGCGTCTTCCCTCCAGCCAGCGTCCACCACAACTCGGAAGACGATTACTTCGGAGTTATGGGGGACTGCGGTGAAGACGAGGATTTGGCCGAAGATTCCGACGATGGGTTCATGGCTGACGACGAATACGACAGCCCCAATGCTCGGATGTGGAATACTTGCCTGAGCTGGAACAAACACTGACTGACGAGGAGTACGTCATCATCGACGCCTCGGATGAGGAGTACTTCTCTGAGCAGCAACATATACTGACTGACGAGGAATACGACATGCTCGACGCCTCGAATATGGAATACTTGGCTGAGCATAAACGCATACTGGCCAAGAAGTGAGCTGTGTGTGAAATTGAATCTTGCCCTAGTTTTCATAAAATAAGTTACGACCTTTATATTCAGTAAGTTACTTTCCATACTTTTAATAAATAAGTGATTGAAAAATACAACCGGTTCGCGAGGAGATAGGGGGCTCACGGGAGAGCTGACCTCAGTCGGCCAGTACCGGCGGCACCCGGAGCTCAATGGGCGATTGAAATCTTCCGCGCCATTGTCGAGCTCGAACCTTAGATGGCCATCCATAGTTGCACTTAATCGTCCGGTTCGGTCGTACATGAACCGTCCCGGCGCCCCGAGAAGCAACGGGAGCCACGCGTTCTTATGGAAGGATTCGAAGGCTTTGGAGGTCTTGCATGCTGGAACGTATGTTAGCGGAAGGTGTATGGCTGTTGGGGACGTGTTCCTGTACTCACACGGCGAGGTTTTCTGAGAGAATGAATGCGAACTGATTAGGCGGAGGCGGATTTGTGGCGCGTAAAGAAGGATGGAATGGCGAGTAGGGAAGGAGCCAATGCATGCATTTATTCGTCCGTACAAGCAATTCCACGTGGCTGGAGAAACTAGAGACGCATGAGGACGAGTGGCGCGAAGGAGAGAAGTGAAACTTTCTAGAATGACGAGATTCATCTCATTTGAGAGTGATTGACTTGAGCATCGACTTAATGCATGCATAGGCAAAAGTTGAAAATACAGGTGATCGCCTGGCCACCTCAGGGGTAAAACATGCCGAAACAGCAGGCATCATATGCCGTTTAAACCGCCAAAGAAGAAGCCAAATATGTGCGAGGTAAAGCCCCTGGATTTCACCAGGACATATATTTCGATGCGGTCAACACCGAGACCTGAGGGGTCGAGGATCGTTCGCACCTGGCCCCTGGCTTTCACCATCCAGATAGAACATCTGCGGATTATCATGTACCGTGAGGATACAGCTGTAGCTTTCGCAATGTTACTGGGAATACCAGGAATCATCTGGAATCCCATAGCACCCGAGTTCGATAGCATAGAAGGTGCCAAGCGCGTCATGTCATCGGATCAGGCCCCTCACCAAATACAATCATACTGACAACCAAACAAGCAATCATGTCATTACACATCATCATGGTAACAGTCTTTCTGGGCGCCATAACCGCTCGCTTGATAATTCCGTTGTGCCTGATGCTGCTTCATCCACCCAAGAAGTACGCATCCGGAAATCCCAAACCCAGCTTGAACCTTGGCACTGGCCCCCCTCAGGCAGTTACCAAAGAATCCCGTCTTACTACGCTGCTGCGCGATCCCTCTGTTCTAGATTTCCTTCTTGCTTGTGTGTCAGCAGGAGTCTATAACGTCTAAGCGACATACGGACGTGTTCAAACAGGGGGCCAACCTATCTCTGCTTTACCAGCCGGCTTCCCTGTTAACATCAACCAGGTTCATGAAGTAGTTGATTACTTTCCCGCAATCACTTCCAAGATGATCGCCAACGAGTTAATCGGCTCCGGAAAGCACCACAAGAACCGTCAGGCTCTGCTGAACTGGCTTTGCACAGAATTCGAGGGCACGCTGATCTCCGCTCTCCCATAGGCGCACATCTCGCATATTCCGGGGGCAAAACAGTTTATCCTTCTCAGCACTAACACCAAGCACCAGCGTGACTTCGAAAACCAGAACGCGGCTCAGTCTCCCGGGGGCGGCTCCGCGGCATTCCATGGGACGCCTCCGTCGAACCTTCTTAGTATTCTTCACAGCGGGTTGAGGTCCAGCAGCGGCAAGAGGGGTTTCTACTTCGCAGCTAGCCTTGATTCAAACAAAAACAACTATTTTTCTTGGCGCCCCGCTGTTAGGGCGCAACCTTGATATTTGCACTAAAGCAGGCACTTCTCTCAATAACTGACTATCTCTGCCAAGGCACAAGAGAATTTTTCTCAAAAGCCGGATGGCACCCTTCCACGACAGGCCCCCAAACACGCCCGTGGCCGTCCCAAAGACGACCACTGGCGGCGTGTTCAAATCCCCGGCCCCTAGAAAGACATACAGCCCGGCAACTCCGATCAGGCTCCGCCAGGCACTGCTTGACGACATCAGCAGCAGCCCGTCACAGGTCTCTAAGGCTGACTTCACCGTTATTTCCCCTCTGAAAGGAAAATCCTGAAATATCAATGACAGCAGCATCACTGGAATAAAACGATATTAATTGAACGAAATCTCAACAGACCAAGCCATTATATGCGATATAGGGAACAAAGCCTCCTCCTCAGAGTGCCAGGACCAAGTTGCCAGAATACTGGCTAAAGACAAACACCTTTATGAAGCCAGGATAACAATGTTTCAAGAGTGTGCTGCAGCGGTTGATAAGACACTTAAGAAAGCTAGAACCGAACTATACTCTTATGCTAAGGAGTTCAGCACTTTCTTCTCTAAATGTCTGAATAAGTGGCTAGAAACCCGAGATCCGCCCAAAAAGAAGACCATCCCTAGGGGGATAGGGATGGTAAAGCCCACCATGACCTTCGCCCAAGCTGTCTCCTCTAGCCAACGACAGCATCCACGGACAGTCAACACTCCCATAAAGAAAACATAGCCTGGCGCCCTTATCACTACCAATCAATTAAAGAAGAAGCAAGATGATATCCGCGTCTTTGTCCGCATGGATAATAGCCATTTAAAGCCTTACAGAATAAAGTCTACACTAAACAAAAGACTTAAGCTCCACCTTTAAGAGCTTAGAAAAGTGACCCGGTGCCCCTCCGGATTTACCTTATACCCAAAGGACAAGCCAACTCAGGCTAAGCTCCTGGCCTTCCAAGAAAAAATCACTGATATTCTCAAGGCAGAAAAGATCGAGACCCACACGATCTGGCATCACTATAAGGTCGATGGATACCCAAGAAAGGTTATCAGTGCAAAAAGGTTGACAATCGATATTACCAACATTGTTATTGCTGATGAAGTTAAAGCCCAAATGGGTGACAGACCTTTAAGGTGCATATTCTCAAGGAACACAGTTGATTCTGATCCGGAAACCACATGGGTGATCTCTCTGCCCCGTACAGCAAAGAAACTATTCACGCTTTTTGCTCACTTAATGACCTCGAGGCATATTCAATACTCCCCCAAGGTTCATCAGTGTGCGAGCTGCTTCAGATACCATAATAGGAACTACCGATGTGAAAAGCAAGTATGTGCACGTTGCGCCAGCGCAGTACACCAGGGGATTGCGAAAAACCAATCCCAAAGTGTATCAACTGCAAAGGACCTCATGCTGCCGACTTCGACAAATGTCCTGCACGCCCCAAGGTCATAAAAGGTATCATCCATAAGCACACATAGGAGAAAATCCAGGAAATAAGGCTGGCCGGAGAAAGAGCCAGATCCAAGGCCTTCAATGAAGCAGGCAGAAACTAAGCTGGGTCAACACCCAGCAACAATAGCAAAGACATCACAATACAAATCAACACAACAGATACAACTCATCCTAGAGATGCCGATACCATTGTTGTCAGTCAATATTAGGTATATCAAACGAAACACATCGACACGGGCATCTAGTCATCCATTCTGTGAATACAGCAGGAGGACAAAAGAGTGCAGGCCCTACAGAGTTAGCCATCAACCTGACTGATTACAGAGGAGAACAAGCAGACATCATTCTGATGCAAGAGCCCTGGGTTGGCATACCACCAGGCAGAAGAATGGGAGTAAAGACACACCCCAATTACGATATATACTCCCCAGTGGATTCCTGGGACAGCGACAGTACACGGCCTAGATCTCTCATCTATGTAAGAAAATACCTTTAAGCAGATTAATTTTGGCCCTATGTTACACGAGATATCACCTGGGTCAAGGTACAAGGCATTATATTTGCCAGTGTCTATCAGCCATGTGACAACCCACAGGAAGTGAATGACATTCTGGAAGTATGGACTCCACCTTTTCGCTGCGTTATAGCTAGAGATTTCAATGCTGGCGACATATCCTGGGACTCGAGCAATCCAGGATATCATGGTGGTGTCATACTTGCACAGACTATGGCAGACCATAGACTGGATCTGATTTCTGAACCAGATGTCCCAACACATAATGACAGAAATGTACTAGATCTGGTGTTCTCAGATGTCCCCATGGCTAAAGCCTCAGTCAATGATGCACTTTAGTGCACCTCAGATCATAAGATATTACGAATAGTCATTCCAATTCAGGGAGATCTGGACTGAGTCCCTAAGGCCAATCATTAGATAGTACCGGACAATAAACTACAAGAGCTGGCAGATAATGTCCAAACCAGGATTCATGAACTCCCCCGGCTGGGTGTATCCCCTGGCCAGGTGGATGCCTTTACACAAAGCTTGATCAACATGATCCAAGGCTGTATCAGGACAGTGGGTAAGAAGCCCCGACAATCTAGGCCCACTGCTTGGTGGAATGATGACTGCAAAACAGCTGTTCAGACATACAGGGCCCTTTCTAAACAGACTACAAGCCAAGAAGGGCGGAATTCAGCCCGACAGGAATTTCACCGCGTGGTTCAGAAAGCTAAGAGAGAGTACTGACAGACTCTAATCAATTCAGCAACTTGGCCAAAGAACCTATACAGAATCGTCTCTTGGCACAAGCTATCAGCAGGATTGCGTTTCCCTCTAATCATCATAAGAGACCAAATATTTGAATCACAAGAGAACAAAACAAATGTATTACGCTCAGCCACGCTTAAACGAAGTACCTCAGACAACGATATTATTGACCCCTGGTCCGCTCAGATCACACAACCCAAGCCATACATCCCCCTTGAATACCATGTCGGACTGGAAGAGGCTGAAGGGTGCACTTTAGGGACCAAGAGCAACTCCCCGGGAATAGATACCCTCACAGTACGGATTCTGAAAGCTTGCTGGCCATTCATTGGGGAACATATCAGAGCCCTTTTCCAGACCTGCCTACAGATTGGATACCATCCTAAACCATTCAAAGTAGCTGAAGTGATAATGATCCCAAAACTAGGAAAGAAAGACTACTCC